TTAATTGCCAATAAACAAACACGTCGCTAACGAGGCACCAAAACCTTTGTGTCAACCGATACGATAAATGCCCCCCCCCTTTTTTTTTTTTTTTTTTTTTTTTTGCGGATCTTCTGCTCAGAAACTTCTCGGGCAATGTCCGAGTAGGAAATGCAGGGGAAATTCATCCCGGTGTCAAAAGCTGGGATAAAAAAAATCTCCTGCTGACACAGAAAGCAGCACTGAAGAGAAGTATCTGCACCCTAAATTCTGTTCACTGGCATATTTCTCCAACACCAGCAGGAAGAAGAGAACACTGAGCTAGGAATGCCTGGAAAAGTGGCTGGCACCCCGACGGATTTGAATTATTAAGAGCACCCCCATCAGCAGCTCCTGAGCAGCCTCTGGGACAAGAACTGCCCTGGGAACGATCCCCAGACGTGAATAAATTCGGGACAGTGAGAGAGCTGCTGTGGGAAATGAGGCTGAGTTTGGTGAATAAATTATTGGCTATGAATAATTCACCCCGACCTAGTTGTAATTATTCTGCTCCCATTTAACTCTTCCCTTGGCTTCAGAGAGGCTGCTCATGGGCTTCTTCCCTCCTGCTGCATCCTGGGGTGAGGAGCCAGTCCAGCTCTGAGATCTCCCCACAGAATCCCAGAATGGTTTGGGTTGGAAGGGACCTGAAAAATCATCCAATTCTACTTCCTGCCATGGGCAGGGACACCTTCCACCAGCCCAGGTTGCTCCAAGCCCCGTCCAACCTGGCCTTGGACACTTCCAGGGATCCAGGGGCAGCCACAGCTTCTCTGGGCAACCTGGGCCAGGACCTCACTGCCCTCACAACCAACAATTCCTTCCCAATATCCCATCTAACCCTGCCCTCTGGCAGTGGGAAGCCATTCCCCCTTGTCCTGTCTCTCCATCCCTTGTCCCCAGTCCCTCTCCAGCTCTCCTGGAGCCTTCTCTTCTCCAGGCTGAACAATCCCACCTCTCCCATCCTTTCCTCCCAGCAGAGCTGCTCCATCCCTCTGATCATCCTGGTGCCTCCTCTGGACTCTCTCCAGCAGCTCCATGTCCTTGCTGGGCTGTTCCCCAGGGCTGGAGCAGCTCTGCAGGGGGGTGCCTCTCACCTGAGGGGCAGAGGGGCACAATCCCCTCCTGCCCTGCTGCCCACGCTGGGGGATCAGACACGGAGCCTTGGCTGTGTCAGGAGGTGCCGAAGGGAAAAGCAGAGCCCTCCTAATCCCTGCAATGAATCACTCCTGAAACAGGGTGTGCAAAGCCACATTTGAGAACACCAAGAGAACCCCAAAACAAAGCCAAGAGCCCTGTTGGGCTGTGCCAGCACTGCCCTGCAGCCCCACCAGGGCTTCACCTGGAGCTGCACTTGGACAGAGGGGGAGATGTGTCTGCTGGCAGTGTCGTCCTCTCCTGGGAAGAAGAGGACCCTGAAGAGCAGAGGGGCAAGGGTTGGGTCATTCCCTCTCCTAGCACCACACCATTCCAAAGACTCTCACCCCAGGCTCTCAAAAAACCCATCCTCCAACCCCCCTCCTGGAAATACCTGTCTTGATGGCACTGCAGTGCCAGAGAGATTCCGTGGCCTCGTGGGCTTTTCAGTCTCCCAAAAGAGAAGGAAGAGGCTCTGTGGTGCCAAGGCTGGAGTCATTCCAGGTGACAGCAGAGCTGGCTGCCATCTGCCCTCCCTGCTACTCCTGAGGGCACACAAACCCCTGGAGCCTTCTCTCTGACAAGCTGAGTCTGTCTGAGAGGCCTCAAAGTCTCAAACATGAGTGTAAAAGGGGGGGAAAAACACCCTCATCTGAAAATGGGCAAATGAGCAAATCTCAAGGCACCAGAGTGAAGTCAGAGTAGGTTTCTTCCCTCTTTCCATCTGACTGGGTAGAAGAGACTTTTAAATTCATAGAATCACAGAATCCTTTAGGATGGAGAGCTCTAAGATCACTGAGTCCAACCCCTGACCCAGCACTGCCAAGCCACCCCTAAGCCATGTCCCCAAGTGCCACATCTACACCTGTAAGGTTTTGAAATCCCTCCAGGGATTGGGACTCCACTACTGACCAGGGCTGCTGTGCCAGTGCTTGACAAGCCTTTTGGTTAAGAAATTTTTCCTGATGTCCAACCTGAACCTCCCCTGGAACAACTTGAGGCTGTTTCCTCTCATCCCAACCCTTGTTAACTGGAAAAAAGACACCCCCCGTGGCTCCCCCCTCCTGTCAGGGGGTTGCAGAGCCAGAAGGTCCCCCCTGAGCCTCCTTTTCTCCAGGCTGAGCCCCCCCAGCTCCCTCAGCTGCTCCTGCTGCTCCAGCCCCTTCCCTAGACACGCTCCAGCCCCTCAGTGTCCTTCTTGTAGTGAGTGGCCAGGAACAGAACACAGCAAACTGAGTCCCTTCACCCTTTTCCCCCCACCCCAGTGCAGGATAGAGCTCTCCTGCTGCCCGAGAAGCACATCCAGAGCATCCCAGCCATGCACCTCCAGCAAGCAGCAAGCCAAGCCCACGGAACTGCAGCGGCTGGTCAGGCTGACCAAGGAGAACAGTTGAGAAAGGGGAGCCAGAAAACAGCAGAAAGGAAGGCCAGCAGCCAAGGAGGCTGCCAAGGGGGGAAAATCCAACCAAAACCACAGTGTGCACGGACTGAGAAGGCAACACGGACAAAGACAGGGAGGGAAAACACATAAAACCTTCAAAGAGCACTGGGAAAAGTAGATATGGAAGGAAAATGGGTGGGTACGTGGGGCAGAAGAGCTTTTGCTGGACAGGACAGTGAGGTTTTTATAAAACCTTTTTGGTTCAGAGGGAGAGAGGAAAACCAGGGCAGAGACAAAGCCCTGGCTGCTGGTGACACTGCTGTCCCTGGGCTGGCTCTGGGTGGAGGCTCTGACCCTGCACTGCCCTCCCCAAGCCTCCCTTGAGCTGTGGGAGGACGACAGGGGTGACACTGGTGGGGGACCTGGCAGGAGCAGGGCAGGGGATGCCACAGGCATGTTGTCCCAGGGCCTGATGCTCCAGCGTGGCTCCAGGGATGTGCTGCACGTGGAAGTGGAGCAGGGAAGGAGCAAAAACCAGCTCTGTGTCCCCATGAGGGTTTGGGTTTCTCATCAGCTGGAAGGAAGGGGGCAGCCCAAAGTGCAGCCTTACACCACGGGGAAAACTCTGGCCTGAAGTTTGTATTTCTGTAGTTCAGGGCTCTTTGGTAACGTGTAAAAGGAATGTGATCCTCTCCAAGCTCAGAGAAATGTGGTGTTCAGTCTGGGTTTGAGTTGTTTGAGCTGTGGAACCCACAGGCAAAAATTAAAGATGTCCTTAAAAAAGCCTTTTAAGAAGAATCCATTCCCATGTAGCCAAAGTTCTGTGGATTTGTTCTGTAAATCAGACAAATTAAATGAGATACAGGAAACTCAGAGGCTGGGGAAGGGTCTGTCTGCTCTGGTGCTTTCGAACAGGGACACCACACTGAAAACCAGCCCAAAACCTTATTTAAAATGCCTATTTTAACACATGATCTTTTTAGCCTCTTTTGTTTTTCTAATTTTACAAGATTTGAGGGGGGGGATAAGGAGAACTTTATGTTTCTGGTACCACAGAGCAGAGCTGGGTGCCCACCTGCAAACACCTCCTGCTGCTTTCAGCTCCATTCTAAGTCAGTGGAAACTCCCAGGGGCTGAATAATTGGATTTCTGTGGATAATTGGTGTCTCCAGACAGATGTTCATGTATCTACTCATCGATCTGAAGTAGCTGGAACCTGATCTAGTTGGGTTCCTTCAGCTGAGTTCAGTGGCCAGAAACAAATCAAAGGAAATAGAGAAAAGCCACAGCTGCCTCATTTTAAGGGTATGTTTAATTTTCCTTTCATTTTAAATCCCAGCACGCTGAGGGAGGATCTTTTAGGAAGCTGTGTCTGAATTCGTGCTGCTACATAAAGGCAGAGCCAGATTTGGGTTTAGCTTGAGCCTCTTTAAAAAAAAATCCCACTTTTATGTGGTCACAGTTCAAAAACACAGCACAGGAGGAGCTGTTGGGATTTGGATCCATTGAACCAACCACAGTGGGGTGCAGGGATTGGATTTGGTGGTGGTGGAATGATGGAAACAGTGAAAAAAAACCCTGTTGAGTTGGATGGATTCTCAATTCCACCAATGTGAGATGGTTATAATCAACCTCCCCCTCTGAAACTGGGAGGGTCAATGCTAAAAGCTTCCAAAGAATCACCCTAAAAATGCAAATTTCCAGCCACCCTGTGAGTTTTTGGGGAGGGCTGCACGGCCTGAGCTGGGTCTGCTCCATAACTTTGGCTCCAGGTGTCTCCCCCTTTCCACTGTGTTCCCGCCCAGGCAGTGTCTGACAGGCAGCACTTCGGGGAGAGAAAAGCATTTTTGTGGTCCAATTAAAAAAGTTTCTCCCCAACAGACAATAAGTTGGAGTGATTTCTTCATCTGACTGTCTGAAATGTTTGCTGTTACAGTAATTTCTTCCACGAGGGTGTTTAAGGAGCCCTTCTGGCGTTGTCTCTGTTTAATGGCTTGTTCACTCCTACAGCACTGCCTACTCTAATTACTCCAATCTAATTAAGAGGAGGAACAAACAACATACTACTGAAGGGCCAGAGAGACAAAAGAGCTGCAGGAAGATAAATGGGGATCTATTGGCGGGGTAATTTGCTCGTTAGCACCCTCCTTTCCCAAAATTAGCCTAAATGGAAGCAGAATGAGAGAGAAGAAACACTGAGAGAGAGAGAGCAGAGACGTACTTAGAAAGACAAACTGATGTGCCATAGTTTCGAAGACCAGAAAAAGGTTACAAAAATAATATATATATATATAAAATAATAATAATTATAATAAAAAGCAGAAGATCCAAAATCCAGTCTGCTTGGAAAAGCACCAGAAAAGTCCAGAAGAACAACACCAATGGCACAGAAAACCAGCAGCCACTTCAGCCACGGCACGAAAAGCTGGTGGTTTGGCAGGAGTTGGTGGGGAGGTTGGTCTACCTTATAGGCAACACGAGCAGGGCATTTCTTTCCAAGGCCTAGAGGTGGGGACATGTGTCTCAGCATCTCATACATGTCTGTGTAACTGATGCGACCGCTGGGAGCCACGGGGAGGGAGGCGACAGCAGGACACGGGAATCAAAGCAGACCGGGTGGAGGAGGAGGAAAAGGGGAGGAAAAAAAGGGGGAAGGGGGTGGGGGAAAAGGCGACACAGTGGAGCAAATGAAAAGGAGGAGAGAGAGAAGGGAAAGCAGACAAGAGAACAGAGATCTGGTTAATCAGATTTCTCAGGAGAACAGAAGCAAAACGAAGAGGAGGGTGAATAGGAAGGTTTTCTTCCGTTGCTGTTGTTTCAGCGCCCAACGCGTGCTCCTGGCGGCAGGGACAGCCCCCGGCAGAGCACGGGGGTCCCTCGGGGGAATGATTGATGGCTCTGCTCTGGGACAGGCGGTGGGGAGGGCTGGGGGTTGGCTGGAGGGCTGGGGGAGGCTCCCCCTTCTCGCCCCCCGCCCCAGGCAATCCAGAGGCTGGAGTTCACCATGCCAGGGAGGGCTGGCAGGCAGAGTTATGGGACAGGGAGAGAGACAGGGCTCCCAACACGCTCAGCTCTGGGATAAAAGGGGCAGCTTGCCTTCTGGGAACGAGGACTTGGGGTTTTTAGGGGAGCCAGTGGGTTAGGAGGGCAGCAAAAAGCCAATCCTGGTGTGTTTGCTCAGGGACAGACTGGGACGGCCACGCCCAGGGGGTGACCCTGCCAAGCCTGAGCCAGCCGGGATTTCTGCTCCAGCCTGAGCTCAGCTTTGGCAAACCCAGAGCCCAGCACTCAATTTTCAGGAGGGGGACCTATTTTTCTCCCTTACATTCGGTGGGGTCCCTCTCTCATCAAAATCCCTGCTGGCTGCTTCCACCCTCCTTCATCCTCTGCTCTCCATCACTGCAGGAAACTCCCTGTGCTTCTCCTGGGCTCATTTCTTGGCCATTGACAACTGGTTGTCTCCACCCCCAAGGGCAGCTGTCCTGTTCCCAGTCCCAGGAGCTGGGAATGGCAGAGATTTGGGAAAAGGCCCTTAGACCACCTCATTACTGAGGTCATCTACCTTCACCTTCCACCACACAGTGGTGGTGGAATAGAACCCTGCCCTGAAAACCAAGGGGCGCAGAAGCAGCAAGGAATTCTCCTCCTTCACCTTTTTCTAAGTGTTAAAATTGGGAACATGACTCTGACAATCTCATTTGCTTTTCCCAGCGAGCTGCCTGCTTATTATAATGTGCAAATCTGTGCTGCCTGTCAGCTGAGGAGACCCAAGGATACTGCAGCATATTATTAATTAAAGTTTAACCCCTGGAAAAGCAGGACTATCATCTCCTCTATCTCAGGAGGGCAACCAAGACCTAAGCAGCCCTATAAATCCCCTTTTCCAAGCAGGACAGCTGCAGAGGCAGAACCTGCAGACCAGCCCAGTGTCCTGACATGGGTCTCAATTCCTATATGAGGAGGAGGGGGTGGAAGAGAGAACCTACCCTGCCAAAAACATCTATTCCTGTCCTTGGTAACTGATGCAGTTAAAATACCACCCAGCTTTTATAGCCCAGAGCTCATTTAAAGGCTGCTGAGAGACACAAATTGTAACTGGAGCCAATGTCTTCCCCCTGGCTCCTCTCCTGCTCCTGGGCTGGGGCTGGGGGGTCTCCTGCCTCCTCTGCAAAGCTTGGGAGCTCTTAATCCCCAGGAAGGTGTGGAAAACACCTGGGCTGAAGTGGAAGAGAAAATCCCTGCTGGCTGCTTCCACCCTCCTTCGTCCTCTGCTCTCCATCACTGCAGGAAATCCCCTGTGCTTCTCCTTCTCCTGGGCTCATTTCTTGGCCAGACCTGTCCTTAATTCCCCCTCCTCAGCTCCCAGGCGTGGTACAGCTTCCCTGTGCCAGGAACAGGAGGTTTCCCTGGGTGTCCATCAGAGTTTGGGGACATAATTTAGCCCCCAAGGCAACCTGTGAGAAGCTCATCCCTCACCTCTCCCCAGCCCAGGTAACCACCCTGCTGTGCTGCCCAGTCAACCACTGTCCAGATCCAATGTCTTTTGGGCTCAGGAGAGGGAAGGTTGGTCACTCAGCTGGAGTGACAATGCTACAAAACCCAGACAAAGTGGAATTGCCACTCCTTGGGGTGCCATTTCTCTCCGGGGTGTGAAAATATATATATATATATAAAGTGCTGGGATGCTTTTCCCCAACACTTCCCCCCAGAGCCTTCAGGATGGGAGCTGGAGGGTTCACTGTCTCATAAAGCTGCCTGTCTCCAGCCAGCTGGGGTGTGGGAGTAGACAGGGAAGAGATGCATCGAGGACAAAGGAGGCAGTCAATCATTCCTTTTTTCAGGCAAGGGGTTAGTTATGGGACAGTTTCTTCTCTCTACTGCATTTGCACTCGGAGGGGGGGATAAAAGGAAACAAAACCAGGACTAAAGATGCCTCAGGGGGTCTCTGAAGTTCCAAACCTTGTATGCCACCCTATGAGGGCACTTCTTTCCTAAGCCCAGGGGTGGAGCAATTACACGTAACAAATTGTACATATCCTTATAATGAATCCGGCAACTGGAAGGGAAACGTCACAGGTTAGGACAGCAAAAACCAGGAGCAATCAGCTTTTCCCCGGGAAAACAGGAGGAGCTGGAAGGGCAGAACGTGCTGTAAAGGAAGGTTAGTCCAGCAAAAATTGGGCTTGTGAGGAAGGAGCAACTTTAACACAGAGAGAGAGAGAGAGAGAACTTCCAGCTGCTCATCAAACTTTATATCCTTGGATTTTCTTCTGTGCAAGGCTTTCCAACCACTTGGTTCCCTTTGCCACTAATGTTTTGGTTCCCTTTGTCACTAATGTTTTGGTTCCCTTTATCACTAGTGTTTTGGTTCCCTTTATTTAAAGTTTTAGTCCCCTGTGCCTGAGCATCTCCCTCCAGCCTCTCCTCGCCACCCCCCAGCCAACCCAGAGCCTGCAGCACCCAAAGAACCTCCTTCATGGGTTATTCCTGGGATTCAGAAGAGCTTGGGAAGCTTTCCCTTCCACTGTTCCCTCCCACACAACCCCAGCAGGGCTGTTCTCTGATTCAGGGGCACTGAGCAACTCGCTGCAAGCCCAGAAATTCTCCTCTCAAAGGTCGACTTGGCCGTTGGCACTGGGAAAATCCCAATATTGTTCCCAGCAGGTGGAATCAGACACCTCACAGTAGCTTTCTGGTCACTCTCATTAACTCCCAACAATATTTCCAGCTAATTTAACGGCAGGATGCGATTTCTTCACCTTTTGCAAGTAACCAAACCACAGGCAAAAAGAGCTGAGCCTCCCAATTACCTCTGAAGGAAAACTGAGATGATTTGGCTTCGCTCTGTTTATTTTGGTAATATAAAGAAGGCCGGAATATTTTGGAATATCTCCTTCAGTATTACAGCTTTTCTGGACGGGGAAAAATTAAGGTCTATTCAAAGCCTTCCCAAGCCACTCAAAACTATTAATTCAGGAACAGAGCAAATGGAACTGTGCAAGTCTTGGCTGGAGGCCTAAATGTGGTTATAAAAAGTATGTTGGCTTAACCGAGTCAAGAAGTTGAGTTGACTTTACCTCCAATTTTGGAACGATTTTGTAAAGTCAGGGTGTAGAAATGATGTCTGCCCCGCTCCCTGAGCTCTCTGAGAGCTCCTGCAAGGCTTGAAAACCAGCAGCTGTTTTGCGTTGGAAAGCACAAAATGAGGACAATCAGGGATTCTTTCTCAGGTCCGTGGAATCATGGAATGGTTTGGGGTGGAAGGGACCTTAAAGCCCATCTCAATCCACCCCCCCAACCTGCCACTATCCCAGCTTGCTCCAACCTGGCCTTGGACACTTCCAGGGCTGGGGCAGCCACAGCCTCTTGTTTAAATCTGATTTTGTTTATTTTCCTCGGTTTCCTTTTATCCCAGGAAGTCAAGAGAAAACTCCTTTGGCAGCTCCTGCACCTCCTCCTCCCCACTGAAGGTGCTTCCAGCAGCATCTCCCTCTTTGGGACAACTCCTGGCAATGGGATGGCCAGACCAGTATTCCCAGTATCTCTAAGGGGTGGGCACTGAGAAAGTATAAGAGAGATAAAGTGCTCACTTTATATACACTGAACAAATTAAAGCTCTTAAAAATCCAATTTTCTTTTGTTTTGTCCAGTTCATCCTTCAATCCTGTGTTTTCACTCCTTTCCTGATTAACTCCCAGCCCCCCCAAACCACCTTGGGTTCCCTTATTTCTCTCTCTCTCTCTGTTTTTCTTTGAGCCCGAGGCTTTTACCACCCCTAAATCCAACAGTTTCCCCATACTTACCCCTCCAGAGTGTGACACATCTGGAAAAACGGCTGCTAAATGCCTTTTAAAATTCCTTTTGAATGCTTTTCCCCAGAAAAGTTTACAGGAAGTTGGATTTTGTAACAAAACCAAAGGTGATACGAGAAATAGAGCTGTAAATACGCATTAAGTCTATGTTTAAAATATTATCTGTATAACAAAAATATAACAACACTTGTGCTTTTTAACCATGCAGCATCTTTCGTGGAAGGATCTTAATCCGTGGGAAGTGGACAAATACTGTAATTCCCTTTTTTTGGGGGGACAATCAAAGAGGAAACATTGAGAGAGGTGATAAGTGAGTGACCAATTCAGCCCAAATCACAGAATCCTCAAACCACAGAATGATATAAGTTGGAAAAAAACCCCTCTGAGATCAGAAAGATTGGGAAGATCTTAGATCAGAATGATGAAAAGATTAATTCTGGCCTTAAACTGCGAAGGGCTTTTAAATTGTGGGAATTTTAGTCCCACTTCTGAAAATGTCAGTGATTTCAGTGGAACTGTTCACACTCTGCCAGCATCAATAACGTCCCAGCAGAGCATTAAAGGGAGCAAGGTTAGAGAAAAGCAGAAAATTGGATGTTAATAAATGACATATTCTGCATTAACAGCTCGGCAAGTGAAAAGGTTTGGCCTCTGAGTGACTCACAAAATGTGAAGTCTCTGCTCGGAGTTAATAGAGCGAGAAATCTCTCTGTAAACTTCATATTTGTGCCTCTGATGGGTGGAAAGTTCCTGAACGCAGAAACATTAAAAAAAACCCCACATTGACCCTCATTTTTTCCCCTTGCAGGTGTGTTACTCCTCCCACAGACCTTCAGCTGAGCCAAGGCTATTTTTTAAGGAGCAAACAGGCACTCCCAAGTTTTCAGTCTCATTAAGAGACAGGATTGGATTTTAAAAAGGAGGGAAAAAAACCCCTATTTAGTGCCTGCCAAATACCCACAAAGGATTGTCTGTGTTCCAGAGCACGTGCTGGTGAAAACCTGCTTGGAGATGACAAGCTGTGAGTAAATGTGGAGGATATTCAGGCTGGGAGTAGGGATGGCTTTGAGGTGGTTAAAATCACCCACAGCTCAGAGAAAAGCAGGCATTTTGGGGTAGGTTTACATTTAAAGTTGCCCTAAATCATTTAAACTGAGGTTTTGAAGCAGTTTAATTGCATGCTAGCAGGGAGTTTGAGCTGCTGATTATACAAACACTTTTCTGCATCTGTCTCAGCTGAAGGGGGAAAAAAAAAAGAAGAGGGGAAAGATTGGAGGAGCTGGAGGAATTCAAAACAGAGAGGAGATTCATTGCAAAGTAGCTCATGGGGAGGCAAATGGAGAAAAATTAGTAGAGGTTTAAATTAAAAAAAAAAAAAGTCTCCAAACAGGCAAATTCTCCGGGTGCAGAATATCAAGAAAATTCCTGTGACCTGTGACAGAACATCTAGAAATGAGAATACCACAGTCCCCAGGGCTGATGGGCAGCAGCTCCTTGTGGGCAGTGCAGAAAAGCAATATATTAAACCAGTCTCGCTCTAGAAGCGGTCACAGGTCAGGGCCATTCCCTCAAATTTAAAAAATTCCTTAAAACCCTTTCTTTGTTAACTCCGGGATCCATCCCAAACCTGTGCCACGGGTGTGAAACTTTCCCTTTGAGTAAGGAAAGCAAAGAGAGAAAACCCACAAACTAAACCCTCCCCTGTGTGCAGGAACCATCCCCTCCTTGAACACACCCAAACATCAGGAACGTTTCCTCAGAGGCTCGTTGGGAACCCAAAATGCTTCCAACCTTTGCCTCGTTTCCTCCTGATTATTTCACATCTCGCGTTTCAACTGCGAGTCTAAAAGCTGAAATATCATTTAGAAGATCAAAGTTGCCTCGTAAGGTTCGATGTCATTAGAAGGGGGCTTCCAAGAGCAAAAACGTTGGGATTAATGAGAAAGGGCTGCTTTAAAAAAATCCCATGTTTTCAGCAGGAACAGCCTGCTGGGGAGTGGGTGGGCAGAGGGAGTGGGTGGGCAGAGGCAGGTGATGGAGTTGGAGCCTGCAGGACTTGACTCAGATGTGACACATCCTCTGCCGTGGCCTGAGGGATCTGCACAGGGTTTGGGAAACCATTAAGGTGGTTCTCAGCTAGAGAACCCCTGCACAAATGAGGGGTGACAGGGCAGAGCCTCCCCCAGCACCTCAGAGCACAGAGATCTGCGTGGTTTTATCTCCAAACTGGGGTGCAGAAACCAAAGGCAACGAATGAACAGCTTTTCTACTTGGTAATTTGGATTTCCCCTGGTAATTTTTGGCTGTGTGGGGAGGGGGGTGGGTTTTACTCTCGGCTTGGTTGGGTTGTGTCTGTTTGAAGGAAGCTCCCTTTTAACAACATCAGGTTTGTTCATCTCCGCTGCAGTTGGAGCTTTTACCACCAGTGTCACCTCGGGGTTGTTTTCCTTCTGGAGTTGTACTCCTTAAAAGAGGCTCTGTGTGTGCACAGGTACAATATTTACCCCCCAGTGTGTCCGTCTGTCCCCCAGCAGGGTCAGTGTGTACGTACCAGGCAGCGGGGTCGTACTCGGCCCACACCCGGACAAACTCATCCAGGTGGTGAGGGCCCAGGATGGAGGAGTCCCTGGTCAGGTATTCAAAGTTGTCCATGATCACAGCCACAAACAGGTTCAACATCTGCAGAGAGGGAGCAGGAATGCAGTCAGGGAAGGGGGAAGGAAAGGGAAAGGGAAAGGGTAAAGAGAAAAGAGAAAAGAGAAAGGGGAGAAGGGAGAAAAGAAAAGAGAAGGAGAGAAGGGAAGGAGAAGGAAAAGGGAGAAGGGAAGAAGAAGGGAAGAAGAAGTGAAGGGAGAAGGGAAGAAGGGAAAAAGAAGGGAAGGGGGAGGGGAAGAAGAAGGGAAGGGGGAAGGAAAGAAGAAGGGGAAGGGAAGAAGAAGGGAAGAAGAAGGGGAAGGGAAGAAGAAGGGATGAAGAAGGGAAAGGGGAAGGGAAGAAAATGAAAAGGGGAAAGGGAAGAAAATGGAAAGCGGAAAGGGAAGGAAATGGAAAGGGGAAGAGAAAAGGAAAGGGAAAAAGAGGTAAGGGGGAAAAGGAGAAAAAAAGGAAAGGGAAAAGGGAAGAAAAAAAGGAAAGAGAAGAAAAAGGAAAGGGTAGAAAAAATGAAAGGGGAAAGGGGAGAAAAAAGGAAAGGGGAGAAAAAAGGAAAGAGAAGAAAAAGGAAAAGCTGGAAGGGGAGCAGGCATGATTCCCTTAACTGGATGTGTACTTCCTTCAAGAAGCAGCCTGACTCCAGAGAATAAACTCTCCAAACAGAGCCCTGGGTCCTTGGGGTGCTGCTGCTGCTGTTCCTCCCCTGCACACACTGCAGGGCCCTTTGCCAAGGACTTTGGCTGCGGGTGCTTTTCCAGGTCCCAGTCCTGGTGCTGCCCTCCAGTGTGACCCACCCCAGAGCCCTGAGGGGTCAGCCCCTCTCCCTGCCCCTCTCCCTGCCCCTCCCTCACCCCACCCCAGCCCAGAGCAGCACAGGGGCTGCAGCAGCTGCTTCTCCAACCAGACGTGGGAACTCTTCCAGCACTTCCACATCAGGACCAGGCCAGAAGAAAACCCATTCTTCAGCCTAAATGTGCTATTTTAGACTCATAACAATTGAAACCTTCCAAGATCCCCAGAAAGCTGAGGAGCAGGACACACAGAGCACTCCTGTCCCTGATGGCCACTAACCCAGAGCCTGGCAAACACCTCTGGCATAGAAAGGTTCTGCTCTTATTAAAGCCAAGGGAAGAATCACGAGGATTTTTAACGGGAAAAGATCAAGCTGCAGCCAGCAGAGTGGGAAAGCAGGAGGGAAGAGATGCTCCTGGGCCAGATAAAAAGACCTGATGGGCACAAGGCTCCTTTCTGCCTCTCTCCTGTCTTCTGCAGGGAGGCTGAGCTGCTGCTGTCAGTGCCGTGCTGGGCAGGGAGGGCTGTGGCCAAGCAGCCTGTCAGCACAATTAAACTCAACGTGGGGCACAATTAAACTGAATATGGATGTCATTAAAAGAAAATCAGGCAGTGGAATTTGGGCTCTGTGCAGTTTAAAAGAATTCATATCCCTGTGTGATCTGGAGGGAGGAGGGGTCTTGGCCCCTGCTGGGATGCACCAGTACAGACGAGCTCAGTCTGTAATGAATCACCACATCAGCACCAAAGCTGATCAGACACTCCCCAGAGCTTTAGTCCATGTATTTTCACAGTCACAGAATGTGCTGAGTTGGAAGGGACCCACAAGGATCATCCAGTCCAATTCCTGGCCCTGCACAGACCTGTCCCCAAGGTCACACCCTGTGCCCCAGAGGATCATCCAAACCCTCCTGGAGCTCTGGCAGCCTTGGGGCTGTGCCCACTGCCCTGGGGAGCCTGGGCAGTGCCCAACCACCCTCTGGGGGAAGAACCTTTCCCTGAGATCCAACCTGAGCCTGCCCTGGCACAGCTCCAGCCATTCCCTGGGTGCTGTCCCTGGTCCCCCCAGAGCAGAGCTCAGTCCCTGCCCCTCCCCAGGGAGCTGGAACTGCCATGAGCTCTGCCCTCAGTCTCCTCTTCTCCAGCTGAACACCCCAAGTGCCCTCAGTGTCCTTCCATGGCTTCAAATCAAGGCCCTTCCCCATCTCTGTTGCCTCCTTTGGACACTCTCTAATGGCTCAATATCTTCCTTATTTTGTATATTCACCCCAAACTGCCCCAATATTGAGGGGAGGCCACCCCAGGGCAGAGCAGAGCAGGACAATCCCCTCCCTGGTGCCCCCCAGGACACGTTTGGCCCTCCTGGCTGCCAGGGCACTGCTGACTCAGGGCCAACTGGCCACTGACCACGACCCCCAGGGCCCTTTCCCAGCACTGCTTTCCAGCCTCTCATTCCCACTCTGTCAGTACATCCAGGGCTGCCCCATCCCAGGGGCAGAATGTGGCACTTGTTGAACTTCCTCTGGTGTTTTGAGAGCCCCAACGAGGCTCCTGCCCCTGCAGTGTGGGAATTCACTCCTGTGTGAGGCTCATCAGCTCCAGCATCATCAAACAGCTCTGGTGGCTTTGGGCAACCACGATGGTCCTTCGTGTCCCCCCTCCCTGGGTGTTTGTGCCCCTGTGCCACGGCCCAGACAAGCCCCAGCATCTTGGAGTCCCCATGCAGGGATGGGGATGCCCAAACCAGCTCTGAATAAGCTGCTCAAAGGCTGCAAGAACTCCAGCTGGATCAGCAGGGCTCACTCCTGTCCTGCAGGTACCTCCCACATGGCACAGTGTCCCCAGAGCATCCCGAGGCAGCAGAACTTCTCAGAGTTTGCCCCTTGATCCCAAATCCCTTCCCAGTGTTCCCAGCTCCAGCCATGGCTCAGTACAGTTCCCCCTTCCCTGCCTGGAGCTGTTTCTAGAGTTCCTGGACATTCTTAACTTCCAATTCATATTTTCACTATAAATTTCAATTGATGTTTTCCTCTGTCCCTTATATTCTTAGCTTTCAATTTATATTTTTCGTAATAGATTTCAATTGATATTTTTCAACATGGATTTCAATTTATCTTTTTTTTCCTCTCCCTCAAATTACAGGGGGGAAATTATGTCAAGCTGCACGTCCACACAGAGCCAGAAACACCATTGGAAACCAAATACATTATCCAATTTCCCCTCAATCTATGGCATAACATTGAGCAAACCATAGAAAAAAGTGCTCTCCTGGCAAGGCTGGGGCTCTGCAAAGCTTGTGGGGAACCACATGGTCAAGTGCTGAATGCATTTTAAGGAATGAGTTACAGCCCAATCCAGCTGCTTGGCTTCCCACTGCCTATTTTTGGAACTTCTGCTGCTCACAAGGGCTCTCACCTCTCCTGGTCCAGTTTCCAGGGGTTTTTCCAGGAGCTCTGACCCAGGGACAGAGCTGCTTTTGCACAGCTCCAGTTCTGCAGCTACATTTTGGCTGAGATGGCTGATGCAGCCAGGGAGGGCTCTGGGGGGATGTGATGTTTGTTGTTGTTGTTGTTGTTTTTTAAATAAAAAGCTTGAAAATAACACTGAGAACGTCTGATGTCGGGTTAGGGATTTGCACAAGGGAAAAAACCCTGGTTTTAAAACTCAAGAGTGCTGAAGGAATCACTGAGTGGAGCATTAACTTCGTGTAAGCTTTCAGGGCTCCGGGTTTTTTTAAACTCTTCAGAAGAAATAATCCCCGGGGTGTCAAAGGAGCAACAGCAGTGGCACAAAGGATGCCAGTAGGGGCCACTGAAGTTGGTGTGTCTACACCCAGCATCAAACTGCCCCGTGGAGCTCCTTCTCCTGGTGGAAGGGTTCTGAGGAGAGCAGGATTAGCTGCACAGAGCAGCCAATCTGCTGTTTGAGAGCAAACCTGTGGCAGCTCCAGACGCTGCTTTTGGGTTCATTTCAGAGCCTTCATCTCTTCCTGCTTGAAGCTTAATTGGGTCCCTGCCCCTGGTTTTCCATTCCTCTGCCCCAGTGGTGCTGGAGAGGGAACAAACCCCCAGGGGCAGAGGGATGTTTGTGGATGTGCCAGTGCTCAGGGAGGGCACTGGCACCTCTTAAAGCACCTCTTAAAGCACGGGCACGACCCGAGCGCTGAACACTTCCATGTCTAAAAGCTTTTCTGGCAGCAGCAAATGATTATTGCATTTCTTTGACCAACAAAACACAACACAGAGCATCAAATGAGTGTGATGCTCCCAGCAAGAGCTTCTGAACTGGTGTTGTCTCAGCCATTCTCACCCTGCCCTCCCCAGTCCCCTTCTTCAAAGGCCCGTGTTACAAATCAAGACAAAACCGATTAGTGCTTAATTCCAGATATTAGACCCCCCCTGTGAGAAGAAAGATAAATCCCTTCCCTTTAAACTAATGACTAAATGATCTCTTTGGGGATTAAAGGGATTTTATCACCAGGATGGTAAATGGGGTTTAGCAAAGCTGTCTGGTGGTGTTGGATAAATTATAATTAGGGAGGAGGAGGAGGTAAAGGGGTGGGGAGTGTTTGGGGGGATCCACCACAGCACCCCCACTTTGGGAGGGATCAGGACCGACTTACCAGGAAGGAGCAGAGGAAGATGAAGGACACAAAGTAGAAATAGGCAAAATCACTGCCACATTCCTTCTTGGTGAGGCCAGAGAGGGGGTCACAGGCTCTGTTGCTCAAGCAGGACAACATGATCTCGTGCCAGGCTTCCCCCGTGGCACTCCTGGGGATGGGAGGGCAGAAGTGAGTTTATCCACCCCCTTCCCCTTACAGACCCCAGGGGCAGCCACCTCACAGTGTTACTGTGCCTAATTAACTAACTTAATTAGGTGAAGGTTGTGTCCAGGTGGAGAGACTGTATTTACACTGGGAATTTGAATTACCAGCCTGCTGATGTGGAAAGAAAGGAGAATAACATTTCCTTCCATCACAGGGGGGTAAAAGAAGCCAGACAGGCTGAGGTAGGCTAAAAGCTTTATTGTTTTATGGAGAATAAAACCAGATTGATTTCAACATGTCCAGTGCAAATCTAAGTAAACAGAGTTTAGCTTATTCTCTTTTGAAGCAGCCAAACACTTCTGTCCTAGTGCTGGCTCTAAACCCAGTGGAGATGATGGGAAATGAAATCAGGCTTCTCCACTTGAGTCTCTTATTTTCTTTATCAGGCAGATAAATTCCAGCACGGTCTGGTTGGTCGTAGTGCCATGAATCTCTTTTTCATGCCAGTCTCCTGGGTGTTTTCATCATTTCCCTCCTCCCCCTCTAACTTCTGCTGCTGAGAAAAACAGCCAAAAGGAAAAGTTTTGGAGTCCCAGAGGGTTTGTCCTCAAAATAAACCACCCCCTGCAATGGCTTGGGTGTCAGGGGATCTCCACATCTCAGAGTAGTCTGGTTCCTTCCTCATCCCAGTCCTGCTGCCCCTCAGTCCCACTGTGGCCTGTGAAGGGACCACGAGGTCTGGCCACGAGACTGAGTAATTATCCAATTTTATTAAAATGCAGGGCTTTGAGCTGAGTGATTATTCTGAGCTAGAGAGGGCTAATTTCATTTCCATCTGGCTTCACAGAAACTATGGAAACCAAATCCCAGGCAAGAGATCCAGTTACAAGCTCCACATCATCTGCAGAGCTGGGGTTAACTGGGGGGGGTCTCCACAGGCCCCCCCAAACTGAGCTGGAGCAGGACCCAAACTTCAGTTTTGACAGGTTCTGAAAATGAAAATCTTCGGTGAAAAATTAATTGCTCGGGTTTTAATTCGAAAATGCTTCGTTTCCTTGCAGAATGAACCCAGAGGGAAACACTTGCACTCCGAAGCAGAGGCGGGGGGGTGGTGGATGAAGTGTTAAAATGACCAATTTAAGGGATTCTCACTTAAAAAAAAAAAAAAAAGAAAAAAAACAAGCTTCATGACAGGAAACCCATCAATCAGTTATACAGGGGGAGCTGTCCTATATTAAGCTCCTGCCTGAGCTGCCAGGGGGTGTCACAGCCCTGGGTGACACGTTGTGGAGATGATGATGTGTCAGCTCAGATCCCCCGAGGAGGAGGAAGCAGGAATGGCTGCTTTACTCAAATACCTTTCCCACAGGATGCCCAAGGCTCAGCAGCCAAACAGAGACTTTTTTCCCTGCTCACATGCAAGTCAGATGGTGTTTTATACCCTCCTCTTACCTGAACAGAAGCATCAGGGCTTGGAGGAAGGTCCGGAAGTTGTTGTGCCGATTAATGGAGGTTTCATCATCTAATGCAATGTTCCCAAATACCTGCCACGGCAAACAGAAGGGATTCAGGCCAAGCACATCCTCCCATGGATGTTGTCAGGAAAGGTGGATCAAGTGGAGTAGAGTAAAAAGGCAGGGAAATAATTCGTCCTGGTGTGAGGGATCTCAAAAGCTAAAATAATTTCTGTGCTGAAGAGGGAGATAAAAAAGTGTTGTGGAGGTCAAATGGGGGAAAACACCAGGTTACTGTGCTTTGTGTTCACACAGGACCTTTCCAACAGTGCAGCTCCATCCCAGGCCAGCAAAACTTCAGGATTTCTTCTCAGAAAAGTGCAGTGTCTTGATGTGTCCATAGCCAGGGGAAGGGACGTCTCTTCCCATGGGAGACAGGGATACCCACCCTGCTGCTGGAAAGGCAGTGGTACAGGCTCATCCCCACAGCTGATGTGTCTTCCCATTCTCTTTGTACACCCAGGGCCACATTCAACTTAAAACATGACAATAAGAGTACAAAAAGTGACCCTTTTTTCCACTTCTAATTTCCCTGACACAAGACAAGAAGAGCCTTTTGCCTCACCCTAAGCCAGCTGAGGAGGCAATAACCCAGCTGCTCCCTGAACAAACCCAGGCTGAGTGTGGGCAGAAGGAGAGCCAAATGTTTTACCTGCATGCCAATAATGGCATAGATGAAGAAGAGCATTGCAATGAGGAGACACACATAAGGCAAGGCCTGTGGGAAAGGAGAAGGTGGTGTTAATGACAGCAAAGGCACAGCACCCAGGAGTGTTTAATCCCTGGGCAGGACTGTGTTTTGTGGCATTTGTCCTTCAAGTGAAGGAGCTGGGAGGACAATGTGAACAGCTCTGTCAACAACCCCCCTGGAGCCGCAAATTCATCAATCCCAGAACAGCCAGGGCTTTCCAAAGGCTCTCTGTGTATCCTTGCAAGCAGGGAAAACACAACCCAAAGCTTCCCAGCAAGCACTGGAACTACCAGCAGGCCCTGGCACTTTCTATGCATAATTGTATGAATGTTAATTTTTAATGACCTTGCTGTAAATGTAGTCTGAGAAAAAAAACATATCCATCCCAGAAACGAGTTGCTGCTCTGAAACAGGCACAGATTGCAGGCCCAGGAGGACAAAAAGCTTCTGAGTTTTAGCAAGAAATCAGTGGAGGCTGCGATGTAATTATGTCACCCAAGCTGAGAGTGATAGCTGCTTTCCACTTGGGCTAAACAAATGGGTAATTAATGCTTCTTAATTGGTAGTAGCTGAAAAAAGGAGAAGTCTTGCCATAGGATTAGCCCATGTGGTGCTGGGGACAGGAGAGGGGTTATACAGCCATGGGGGGCCCAGTGGCTGTATAACCACTGTGGGAAACACAGAATTATAAAATATCCTGAGTCGGAAAGGACCCACCAGGTCCATCCAGTCCAACCCCTGGCCCTGCACAGACACCCCAACAATCCCACCCTGTCCCTCAGAGCATTGTCCAAACCCTCCTGGAGCTCTGGCAGCCTTGGGGCTGTGCCCACTGCCCTGGGGAGCCTGGGCAGTGCCAACCACCCTCTGGGGGAAGAACCTTTGCCTGAGATCCAACCTGACCCTGCCCTGGCACAGCTCCAGCCATTCCCTGGCTGCTGTCCCTGGTCCCCCCAGAGCAGAGCTCAGTCCCTACCCCTCCTCTGCCCCTCCCCAGGGAGCTGGAACTGCCATGAGCTCTGCCCTCAGTCTCCTCTTCTCCCGCTGAACACACCAAGTGCCCTCAGCCACTCCTCCTATGGCCCCTCCAGACCCTTCACCATCCTTGTGTCCCTCCCTTGGACACTTTCCAACAGCTTTAGATCTTTTTTTTACATTGTGTCCTCCCAAAACTGCCCCCAGCACTCGAGGTGAGGCTGCCCCAGCCCAGAGCACGGCAGGACAATCCCCTCCCTTGCCTGGCCGGTGCTGATGCCCCCCCTGATGCCCTTGATGTCCCCCAGAGGCAAAACCCGAAGGAACCCTGGGGCAAAGGGCTGATGTGGTTTCTGCTGGACACCTTTGCACAAGGATCAAAGACTGAGAACTCAGCTTTGGGGGGACAGACAGACAAAGAGCTGCCCAGGCAGTGCAGGAGTGTCCTGTCTCCGTTTCAGGGCAGTTCTCTGCACACACCCTTGGAAAGGGTCGGGGCTGTGCTGGAAAAGGCCAGGGCTGAGCCCCTCTGCCAAGATCCAGCCAAGGCCACACAGTCCAAGGACACCCTCCTGAGTGGGAACATCTGCCTGGCAGGGACTGGAGCTCTGCCCTTGTGTTAGAGCCCGGTATCAGTCTTTATTTCACGTTATATGTTCTCCTCTCTGCACTCCAGTACCTGAGCAAGCCCCATAACCAGAGTTAAAGCCCAAAACAATGCACAAATGGGCTGCAAAACAAAAATAAGCAGCTTTGGGGCGTGTGGGCTCTTATTTAGGTGTGGAAAAGTGTTGGCTCACAGCTAAGCACGGGCTGAGCAGTGCTCTGCTGTAAGGCAGTTGGTTTAGGGTCACTTGGAGCAGAAGTCACCCCTGGGCCACAACGTGCTGAGTCTTGCTGGGAGGGAAGAGAAACCAGGCCAAGCAACCGCCTGCACTTCAGAACAACACCTCATCTTTTTAAAATCCTCCACGTCATCAAAGGCCAGCCCTGCGTTCTGCAGCTCCCCAGTTTGTGTCACCAAACCCCAGTGGTTTGGGGTTTGCCTCTGCCACCTTCTACAATATCCTGGTGAAAGCAATTTGACCTCCCACTCGCTGCAGACAAATAACAGTCACCAGGGCACCACTTCCTTATGCAAATGCTTGAGCATCAGGGCTTTGCCACGGGGATTTTGGGGTGGTTTCAAGGGCAACCTGAGCTCTGTGCACCCGCTGGAATCTGCACCAGCAAGCTTTTGGACTCATCTCCCAAAATGCAGCGTTCAGGGGCTGGTCAGTGCTACCCAGTTTGCTTCCCTGCAGAATTAATATCCCTGTGATGGAATGGTGGTGCAGAGGGAATTCCCTTGGCAAGGGGAGCTGTTTGATCCCAGCGGAGGACGCTGTGGATGCACCAAGCGCGACCGAGTCCCCACGTCTCTCAAACTCACCTTAAAGGACTGCACGAATGTCCAGAGCAGGATTCGGATGGTGTAGCCCTGGCGGAGGAGTTTGATGAGTCTGGCTGCCCTGAAGAGCCTCAGGAAGCTGAGGTTGATGAAGTTGTCCTGCGGAAAGTAAAGGTTTTGTGTCCTTCAGAAATTAACGCGCTCGGAAACCACAGCCCGCGAAAAAAGAAATTAAAATTACCAGCTTCACGATCTAAGCAGCAAATCGGCCACCAGAAAACCTTCCAAAAGAAACATTCGTCAGTGCAGATCACTCCACATGCAGCAAGAATGAGAAAATCCCTCTCCACAAGAGCCCTCCCCTCTGCTACTGGGTCAGTGACAGAAAAGGCCCTTTCGCGCTGTCCATGGAGGTCTGATTTGCTTTGAGAAAGGCAGATTTTTCTCCCCCATAAAGACTCGGGGAGAGGGAATGGTGCCGTATTTTCATTTTGTAAGGAATGAGGTTGTTTGGACGTCTTGGTCAGCTCTGAACTGAACTTAAGCCAAGACAGGCGTGTACAGCCTGTAACGTAACAAAGAAAGGCACTGTCCAGTGAAGATTCAAACATCCTTGAAGGAATGAGGATGTTTGCCAACCTGCAGGTTTTAGATCTGTTTATACAGAGAGTAACTGGACAGGTTCATCAAAGAGAAAGGGCACCAGAAAGACTTGTTTGGGAGATGGATCAATGGCAGCGAGTCAACTGGGGAGGTTGAGCTTTCAACAGCAGGAGGATGCCTTAGGAACCTGCTGGTTTTTCCAATTGCCATTAAATGTGCCTTTGCAGGTGGATCAAAGAACTGCTGGAGACAGATTCAGATTTCCATTTGGTTTGGATGATTCTCCCCACCCCTCACTCCATCTTTTTTTTTTTTTCTTTCCTTCAGGGAAAAGAGGTTTCTTGCCCCAATGAGCTAATCTAGAGAGGGTTCTTTCCAAAAGAAAACATGCAAAAGCCAGATCCCTCTTGCCCTCCTATTTGAAGGAGATAAAAAAATATTGCCCCTTTCCATACTGATCCCAATTCACTTATTTGTGAATCTCTGTTCACAGCCACTTATTTTGACTGAGCGAGCTAAAGAGAGAAAGCATCCTACTTTAAACTAGCAAGCAGTGGAGCAGAAAATATAATCATAAGGAGCTCTTGTTGGTAAAGATGAGCAAAAATAGTATTTCCCTTGTATTATTGTTTTACCAGGTGACACCCAGTCACATTGAACTGACCCACGTTTCTTGCTCGTTTGGCTACAGAGCTCATGCTGAAATTGGGGGGCTTGTTGGATCTATTCATTTCTTTAAATGCCAGCTCAGTTTTTGGGCCATTAGCATTGCATTCCACCAATCCCATCAAAGAGTCCAAGAAATCAGTCTCAGGCATGCACTCGGTTTCTCTCAGGTTAAAAACACAAGCAGCTCAGAGTTAGGCACAGACCGTCAATCAGACTCAGTCCTCAAATAAAGAGAAAAGAGAAAAGCACAGGTATGTTCCATGAAAGAGCAGGACAACACAGAGCTCATTCCAGTCAGCAACAGAGCCAGCTCTGGCAGGCAAAGCACAAGCAGGATTCCCCTGGGTTGCTGGAGGGCGGGAGAACAGGCACTCGGGATGGAACGCTTGTCTCGGAGCATCAGCTCAGCTTTGTTTCACTCATGGCTTACCTTCCCTTCACCACATTCCAGCTGGACTCACCTTGGCACGTAAGGGCCCGTGGGGCAGAGCTGGCACTCAGCTGGATAAGGAGGTGCCATCACTAAGCTGGTCCCTGTCCCCCTGTTCCCCCTGCGGGGCTGATGAGCTCCACAGGGCAAGGCAGAGCTTTAACCCAGAGCCTGTTTGAACCAGGTCTTCCCAACAGTGGGAACTAGACCAGACCTCATGTGGCATTCACAGCACTTTCAGGCCTGGAAGGCTGACAGAGTTTAAACTTCAGAGCAATGCTCAAGCCAGACCTTTCCTGTGCTCCAGCCTTATGCTCTTCCGAGGAGCACACGGACAGTGTCTGCAGGATCCATCTCTCCCCTGACCCTGCTGTCCCTCCCTCTTCCCATGTTCCTGCAGCTTAACAGCAAGAATATTGTCTTGCTCAGACTTTGCTGTGGCCTCGTAATCAGAGCTGACAGGATGCTCAACATCTGCTTTGGGCTGGGCTGCCTGAGAGGTCGTGCTGAGCACAGGCTGTGCTTTACACATGGAAAACAGGGATAAATGGGAAAGGGGTTCAAAACGGTGTAGTTACGCCTGTAATGCCCCATTCCCTGGGATTTGGAGGGATAAACAGTCTGTACAATTTTTATTCCCCAGCCTCTAAGCCTCCCTCTTTGACTCCTGCAGTCCCTAAGGCGCAGGGGGATCCCTCACAACCCAGGCAAATCCCCCGTCCCCGACGCCGGGACGGTTTGAAGGACAGTTCTCTGCTGTGGGGAGGCCAAATTGCACACGCTGGGGATGGCTGGGAGGGCTCTGCGTGTGCCACCCCCAGCACACCACGGAGAAAACCCGTCCTTCGACACCTCAGCCCTCCAGGCAGGAGTTAAGAGTCACATGCAGCTGAAGGGGAAACTCCACAGTGCAATATTTCTCGGGTACAACAGTGCTTTGCATCGATTCTCCCCCCGCTCAGCCACCCCTGGGATGTGTCACATGATTATCCAGGTCATTCTTCCCGGGTTTTTTTGGTTGCTTTCCTGTTGCACAGATGCTCATGGTTGTTTGGTCCTCACAACAGGCACCAGAGCTTTGGGATGGTATGATCCACCTGGCAGCTCCAAAATTATGTTTGGGAAAAGCATTTCCCCCTGCCCTGGCCCTGTTTTCCTGAAAGAGGAAGGTCTGGTACTGAAGGTACCCAGTCACCAGCCAGGGCCTGGGCACTGCCACCACTTCTCACCACAGGAGCTCAGATGAGTGATAAATCCCCGAACAAACTGCAAAGCAGGAGGGAAACGGAGAACAGACATCATGGATAACGAACTGGCCTTGATTGCTGTCCCACCATGGGCAGCCTTATCTTTTACCCTTTGTTTTCATAGAATCACAAATTGGGTTGGGTTGGAAGGGACCTTAAAGCTCCTCTCCTTCCACCCCCTGCCATGGGCAGGGACACCTTCCACCAGCCCAGGTTGCTCCAAACCCCGTCCAACCTGGCCTTGGACACTTCCAGGGGCAGCCACGGCTTCTCTGGGCAACCTGTGCAAGGGCCTCCCCACCCTCACTGTAAAAAACTTCTTCCCAGTATCCCATCTAACCCCGCCCTCTGGCAGTGGGAAGCCATTCCCCCTTGTCCAGTCCCTCCATCCCTTGTCCCCAGTCCCTCTCCAGCTCTCCTGGAGCCCCTTTAGGTCCTGCAAGGGGCTCTCAGGTCTCCCTGGAGCCTTCTCTTCTCCATGTGAACCCCCCCCAGCTCTCCCAGCCTGGCTCTAGAGCAGAGGGGCTCCAGCCCTCAGAGCATCTTCTTGGCCTCCTCTGGGCTCCAGCAGCTCCACATCCTTCTTCTGTTGGGAGCCCCAGAGTTTTCCACAGAAAAGGACAGAAGCCATGAAGAGCAGGGTGTGCAGCCATCGCCTGGGGCTGTTCCTGCAGCACCCTCAGCAGCAGGATGATCTCCTGCCCAGCCCAGGAGCTGTGCCCACTGTCCCCAGGGATGCACAAAGAGCTGCTGGAAGAGGCATCTGACCAAGGCAAAAATGGGATCGCTCAGGAAGCTTTATAGCATTTCTCTTCATCTGGCATTGACAAGAATTAACTTATTCTGTTGAGGAACTACTGTTGAGGAAGTGGCCTTGTTCCCATTTAAATGTCCGTGGCGTTGCCAGAAGTGTTCCTGAACCTTGCACAGGGTCCTGGCTTCCTCTGAAGCTCAGGGAATCCATTGCTGATTTTAAGAGGATTTTTGAAGATTTTTGCCACACTCATCTATGCCTTAAGGACTCTGTCATTGCAGTTACATCATATCAGTCCTTCCATCCTGAGCCTGGAATGCTGGAAGAATGATTTTCTGTGGGTGATGCCGAGATCTCTCCTTGTTCCCTGCTTCACAGAATATCCTGAGTTGGAAGGACCCACAAGGCTCACCCAGTCCAGCTCCTGGCCCTGCACAGACACCCCAGCAATCCCACCCTGGCCCTCAGAGCGTTGTCCAAACCCTCCTGGAGCTCTGGCAGCCTTGGGGCTGTGCCCACTGCCCTGGGGAGCCTGGGCAGTGCCAACCACCCTCTGGGGGAAGAACCTTTTGCTGAGATCCAACCTGACCCTGCCCTGGCACAGCTCCAGCCATTCCCTGGGTGCTGTCCCTGCTCACGGAGAGCAGGGATTGGAGCTGCCCCTCTTGAAGAAGCTGCAGCCCCTGGTGAGCTCTGATTTCAGTCTCCTCCAGGCTTCCCTTGAACTTTGGAGCTCCTGCTGCACTCACTGCAGTGTCCCAGCAGCAGCAGTGGAAGGAAGAAAACATCTCAGGAGGACAATGTGGTTCTCCAAAGACCTCACTGGGATGCCAGGTGATGGAAGGAGCCTGGACTCGTCTCTATGAAACAGCAACTGCGATCCTAACAAACAGCAGGGTGAGCTTTAAAATCCTTCACCTGAACGTGGACCAAAATTTAGCCAAATGGAGATAAACTGGTTTTTTTCCAGTATATTTTCACAGCTGATGCCAGGGCACTTTTCTGTGCTGCCTGGGCCAGGGGTGCAGCAGACAACATCCCACTGCTGCCACACATCTGTAGCACTTCCAGCCACCACAGAAATTCCCTTCTTGGCTCACCCAGGGCAAATTTTCACTCACACATTGTCATTTTCTCCTTTGCTGCTTCCTAGGAAATCCCCCCTGTGACCCTCCCTGAACGGTCACGGAGCTTCTGTGCAGCCTGGCATGAAGATTCCCCCTGATTTGTGTCTTAACAGCAACTGTGCAGCAGGAAATGCAGATGTTACAGATCCAAGAGCTGTTGTCAGGTGGCCAAGCAAAGATTTTTGATAAGCTTATGGTCTCCTTTGTGTTATTAACCATAGCCAAGATAATTAAATATCGGGGAAAAATATATTTCGATTGCATTTTTCTTTATTCATTCTCTTTTGCTTAATTTTCAAAGAAAAAGGCCAGGATTTCCAAAGGCATCTTTGGAATCAGGCACTAAATTCCCAGTGGGATGTGGCTCCTGGTGCTTTTCAGCTTTGTTCATACCACGATTTATGCTTTAACTTGAGATGTTTGGTTTTGCAGCCCAGGGACTCTGTGTCCAAAATAATTCTATGGGCTGGTATCACAGGGAATTTTCCAAGTGGAGTAAAGATAATTTTTCCCATCATTTCAATCATTTCTCTTTTGATTTGAGGGCAGCAAGTCTGTCATCACTTCAGAATGTTTCTGCCTTATAATACTGGGGTTTTTTGGCAGAAAACATCTTGTTCAAAAGAAAACCAAACCCACTTTCCAAGAGCTGAATTTGGTGCCACCAGTTTTAAAGTGAAGCATTTCCCAGCCAGCCAATCTTCTCCTCTCCAGCCCATCCAGGAGCATCATTCCCTCCTAATCATCCCATCCCGTTTTCCATGGAAATAAGGCAAGTGGGAGTCTCCCCTTTAGCAAAGTGGGGGGGAACAGAGAGCAGAGCTATTGGTAACTGGGTTTGCCTCACGTCACCAATTAGCCCAGGGAAGGAGGTGCAGAAAGAAGCCAGTTTGGGGCAGTGCTGCAGTGAGGCTTTTTCACCAGTGCAATCGGAAATCTCATCAAAAAAAAACTCAAAAAAACCAAACCAAACAACTTATCAAATCAAAAGAAAAACGAGAGAAAATAAAAGCAGAGGCTTGAAAGAATTGTTTAAATTCAATGAAACCAACCGTGTCCTATATGTGATGTTTTCATGGATGGATATTGGCAAGAGTTATTTACAAATTTAGGGGTTTTTTTTTTGTTTTGAGCAGCAGGTGCACAACATACAGACGGAGACATGGTTTTCGCATTGTATGTTGATTGGATGGCGTGATTTCAGCAGGTAGATTAAGGAAAATAAAGAACAAAACAGGGAAACAAAAAGAGAAAATGAGTAATCAGGACAAGCAAAAAAGGAAACTCTGAAAAATTTCATTGAGGGAAAAGAAACTATCAGGTATCGGGGGAGGGGGGTGTTATTTTATGGGAATTCTATAAAGAAAAAATGCTTCAAACCAAAAACAGGTTCTGAGATCCTAAAGGTAACACACACAGTGCAGTAGTGATTTGCATTTCAGTTTGTAATGCAAATTGGGAGACAATTCACAAACACTTCTCAGGAGGTTTTTTTTTTTATATTTCCAGGCATAGAAATAGATGTCAGTTTGCCAAACTCCCACTCTGGATGTGTCCACAAGGACACCTTGTCCTTAAAGCCACCTATTTTCCCTCGATTACTGAGAGGGTCAAAAAACTGACATTCACTTTTTTTTTGCCTAAGGAAATAAAAAAAAAAATATATATATATATTCCACTACAATCACAAAGTAAATTACATATGGCATGATTACAAAATTGAAACAAAGCAATTCATCAACACATTTCTTTTCCTTTTGTCTTTACTTTTCCGTGGGTTAAAGGTACCGATGCAACAAGGCTGGTGGAAGCCAAGTCTCTCAAGAGGAGACAACCCCCCCGCCCCAGGTGAGCGGGTTTATTTACCTTGGAGAACATTTACGGCTGGAAAATACAGTCATGGGAAAAAATAATGGTGCTTTGTGAGCCTGATCTCGGGGTGACACCTAGAAAACCTAGAAAACCCCTGGATCTCCAAGGGAGCTGGAGGGCTCCTGGTGCAGGACAGATGGAGGCTGCCAGGGTCATGCTGTGGCTGCCACAGGGACCTCCCAGCTGGAGAACTCCCATGGGATGGGTGACAAGAGGGCTGGATGCACAAGGAGGGACTGACAGGGGCTGCCACCCAACTCTGCCCGTAGTGCCCATCAGCTGAGGGGGGGCTGGAGCTGAGGAGGTGGGATAGTTTTAGTCTAGGCCTTCCTGGAGACCAGCTTGTAACCAGGCAATTACCCTATATTCCCAGTATTCCATGCTATTCTTTACATAAGCAGAGGCATAAATAAGAAGGAGAGAGAAGGCTCTGCCGCCTTCTCTTCTGGAGGATCTGAAGGCACAGGTTCTCTGCTGTCAGTCCTGCTCGTGTGAGGGAGTGCGGCCTAGTGAGGCCTAGTGAGGCCTAGTGCGGCCTAGTGAGGCCTAGTGAGGCCTAGTGCGGCCTAGTGAGGCCTTGTAGGCCTTGGGAGGCGGAGGGTGCCAGCGGTCATTTGGTGCAATTCTGCTCTCTCAAGGAGAGTGGTAAGAGTTTCTTTTGCTAGTTTTTATTGATTGTGCATACCTGCTTCGGGTTTCTTCTGTGGTTTTGTCCGTCTTTTGTGGTTTTGTCCCTTTTCCCTTCCCCTTTTAGGGGGATTGTTTGGGGTTCTTTTTTGTGTGTACATAGTATGTGAATGTCTAAATGTGATATATGTAAATATATATATATTTTAATATAGTTCTGCTATTCTGGGTTTTTTCATAGTTTTTTCTCTCTCCTTCTTTGCCAGAGGCTTTTCACTGGATCTCAGGAACTTGGCGGGGAGCCAGCTCCAAACTCTAACAGGAGGGTAGATGGAGAAGAGGGAACACTGCTGGGGACACAGCTCGGGGTGGTGAGGAGTCAAGACCTGTTCTCCTCTCTGGTTATTCTCCACTCCACGATGGAGCTGCTGCACCCCTGGGCACACCCTGAGGAAGGTGAAGAAAGCATCAGCTGTGGCACTTTGTGCAGAGCAGATGCTCATCCCCAGCCTAAGTTACTGCTCTGCCTTACCTGGGAATATAAAGAGGTTGGGAATACAAAGAAAGGGTGGGCAGAGGCCATGGGATGAAAGGTTGGAGGCCACACACCAGGGCTGTGCTCTGGGAATGAGGCACCCACCGGCCCTCCCTTCAGTCCCTGCTGTCTGCAAAGACCATGTTCTCATCCCTACTTCAGGCTTTTCAGCCCTTTTATACATTTTTAATGTATTGTATTAAATTGTGTTTAGGTACAAACAAATTTAACTAATTGTTTAACAGATATTACAGAGATGGTTTAAAATGTAGCTCTGCCAGAATAAACCTTACATATATTTTTGCTGTCACTTTGCAGGCAGCAGAAAAGGGTCCTGGCGTTGCCAGGCAGGTGTGGGACCCCTTGGGTTACCCCTGCTGTGTTTTGGGTCAGAATACCCCTAACTGCAGCCTGTCATGGAGCCAACAACATGGCACAGCAGCAGAGTGCTGGATCCTTCTGCCTGTTTCTCCATCCTCAGGACTGGAAAGGGGAGAAGCATAAAATCACAGAACGGTTTATGTTAAAAGGGACCTTAAAGCTCATCTCGTTCCGCTCCTGCCATGGGAAGGGACACATCTCACACAGCCCATCCAGCCTGGCCTGGAGGCCAGGAAGGCTCGTGGTGGCAGTGGAGACCCTGGTACAGGAGCACCTCCACCCCGTGGCACTGGCTGAAGCAGCACAAACTGCTCCACGAGAGGCCTCCTGACAGCTGCCATTATTTTCTGCCACTGTTAATTCTGTCAGAAATGTGATTTTTGGAGCACCACTGGGGTAGCTAAGCAGTGGTGCAGAGACCTGTGCATCAGGGTCACCTTGAAGCAAACTAAGCCTCCTGAGCACGAGGCCTTTGACCCCTCAGCCCGTTGTGCCTGTCTGAGGGTGGGATGGATGTGGAAGGGGGTGCTGGTGGGGATGGCAGTGCTGCTGCACAGACATCAGGGGCTGCAGAAACCTCAGAGAGGAGCTGTGTGAGAGGAGTGTTGAAAAGCAAGTCTAGCAAGAAGGTGGGAGGGGGGAATGACCCCTGGGCACTCTCTGTCTGCAGGGAAAAAAAGCCTGTGGGAAGGAGACAGGATGGCTACACAGAATCAGAGAAGCTTTTAAGTTGGAAAAGATCTGTGAGATCATCAAGTCCCCAGCACTGCCAAGGCCACCTCTAAAACATGTCCCCAAGTGCCACACAGCTTTTAAATCCCTCCAGGGATAAGGACTCCACCACTGCCCTGGGCAGCCTGTGCCAGTACCTGGCCACTCTTCTCATGAAGAAATCGTTCCTAATATCCAACCTAAACCTCCCCTGGTGCAACTTGAGGCTGTTTCCTCTTGTCCTGTCAGGTGGTACTTGGGAGAAGGGACTGATCCCACCTGGCTGCTGCAGAAGGGGAATATTTAGAGAGAGCAGAGCTCCAACAGGTCTGCAGACACAGACAGAGGACCAAGAGATCAGGGGCTGGAGTGGTACTGGGCTTTTCTATTAAAGAGATGTTTGTGATCAGCTTCACAGTGCCAGGGGAAGGTGTCAACCTGCATAAGAAAGTCCTCTCTAATGTTTGACTTAAAGGATCTGGCTACTCATAAACCAAAAACCTCTTCTTTTCCACGTGGGAGGAGAATGGAAAGGCATATAGGTGTTTGGGAGCTTGACCCTATTGGAGTTAGACTGATTTTAGGGCTAATTCACACTCCAAATTGCTGCTGCCTTTGATGCTGGAAACCAGAGAAAGCCCTGTGGAGGGGAGGGGTGATGCCATCAAATCCAGTAATGCCTCACAGCCCAACCTGATCAGTCCACAGCCAACTTTCCAGATGCCAGACACCCTCCCTGAGGCCATCCCATGGGAGCTGGAGGGAGAGGCAGTGTCCTGTTAACTGAGCAGGGAATGGGCAACACCACTGGCTGCAAAACAGCTCCACAATGAGGGTTTTAAGAAGCAGCACATGGGCTTGGTGTTGTGAAGGAGACACCTTGCTGAAGGAGAAGACACCAATCTCAGAGAGAGCAGAGGCTCCTCACCCTGTGTGAGCTGCCTGTGCTACTTTCTCCCAGGAAATGTGGCCAAGGAAGGGTGGAGGAGAAGTGGCAGTGTCTGTTTTTGGCTCACTCATGAATCTTTGCATAAGTTTTCAAACCACAGCAAAAGTTTGGCAAGAAAACATCCCATGGCAGAGGGAGTGGAAGCATCCAGCACTCAGAGAGGTGGCACCCAGACCTTGGGTTTGTTTTGATTAGTTTAAACCTGGCTGCGCTGAAAAGAAAAGGTAATTCAAAGCCTAGGAGAGGATTCACCAGCTGGTAAATGAACACTTGTATGGGGAGTAAAACTTGGGGGTTTGTGTGGTTTTTGGTACAAAGGGTAGGTAAAAATGTGTTTTGTTAGGAGCAGTGATAGAGTCTTCACCACCATCTGTAAAGAAGCCTGGGGAGCACAGTTCTTAGCACACACAAAACAGGTCTATCAGCAAATCCCAGGAGACTGAGAGAAAAAAAGTTATGGTAAAGTTCAAATTCATCACATACAGATACAACATGCACTGGGACAGGAGAGGAGCAGTTTATAGATTGGATAATGTCAAGGTGTCATGGCTGGAGTCAGATATCTGCTGCCCTTCTGGAAAAATCCTTTAGAATTTAATAATTTAATGGCAAGTTGTGTGATCTACTGGGCTCATTAGCAGGGAGACAGCTGTCCCTGTAGGGCTGGCCAGAAATCCTATGGGAAAGTTGTTTGGTTATTAATTTTAATCTGTTTATTTAATTAATTGTTTCTTAATGACCCCACAGAGATTTGTGCACGTGACAGAAACACTCCCCCAACCCAGCCTGTGTGGGCTCTCCATTCCCATCACTTCTCACCCTCACCCTGCCCACGGCCGGGCAGGAGCCCCAGGGGACACGAGCGGGGTGTGTGCCCTGCAAAGCACCTCACACCATAACACAGCAGAGCCCTTTTGGGCTTTCCCCTCTATTAAATTCAACAGGATTTTTCCATTAATAGGCAAAAAATGGCCCGGGGACAGATTTGCTGAACGAGAAAGAGCTGCTTCCTGGCAGAGGCAGCGGCACTGTCGTTCTCATCAGAGCCTTTCACAAGAGCCTTTGGGGCAGGCAGCTGTGCTCAGCTCCCTGGAAAGAGCAGAGCTGATGGAAAAACAGGCTGCCAGGTCACCCAAGGACATCCCAAATCCCAGAGGCAGCTCCAGGGAATCAGGCTGGTAGGGAGAAGGTGCAATGTCTTTGACAGGGCCCAGCTTTGTTTATGAACGGAGCGAACGGGACTTACCGCGATCTCGGTTACTAAAATATCAGTAATACTTCCCAACACTGTGACAAAATCAAAGACATTCCAGGCATCTCGGAAATAATTCTGCCAAATGAAAACACAAGGGGAGGGATAGAGGGATCCAGGGGTTATTTTCTTCCCTTTTTTGTTTTTTTTCTTGCTTGTTTTTAAATGCGCGTCACGAAATACGAGCGGAGCGTTCTGTGGAGAGGGGAAGCAGGGGAAGGTGAAGGAGGAAGGCACGTACCAGCACACCAAAGGCAATGATCTTCAGCACACATTCCATTGAAAACATGGATGTAAACACAATATTCAGGCATTTCAGCATTTCTTCATATGCTTCTGGAGCATCATAGAACTAAAGCAGGACGGAAGAAAAGCTGTTACCAGAAGATCATGTACAGAATAAATCCTTTCCCAGCTGACTTGCCCGACTGCCAAACTCTTGCTTGTTTTAGTGTTGGATTTTGAGCTCACTTCAAGCAAGATTTGGGGTTACAAAAAGTTATTTATGTCCCTCCAGAAGGACACTCCTCCCTACATACTGTCCCAGCTGGAGATATCCCCAACACTGGAGCTGCTGGTGGACATCCCCCTGTAAGCACAACATGGGCCAGGTGGGAGGAAGAGCATTTTCAAAACCAGAGGACAAGTGCAGCACTGTGGGTCATTCCAGAGGACCCTAAGAATAAGGTGACCCCATGACTGTGAAGATACTCTAAGATAGGCAAGGGAGAGGAGGGGACATCATCCACAATGTGTCTCCACCCACATCTCCCTCCTGAGCACTGGGGATCACATCCCAGAGTTCTGAGCCTGTTGCAAAATTGAGCCATTTCATAGAATAACAATGGTTTGGGTTGGAAGGGACCTTAAAGTCCATCTCAGTCCACCCCCTGCCATGGGCAGGGACACCTCCCACTAGCCCAGGTTGCTCCAAGCCCTGTCCAACCTGGCCTTGGACACTTCCAGGGATGGGGCAGCCACAGCTTCTTGGAGAATTCCATCTCAACCCCTCATCACCTTCAAAGGGAAGAGTTTCTTCCCAATATCCCATCTAAATCTCTTCTCTTTCAGTTTGAATTTCCTTGGCATGACTGGATTTTGAGCAAGACGTGGCCCTGCTCTGCAGCAGGAAGCCCAGGCTGAGCTGGAGCTCAGGACCTGCAGAGCCCAGTTCCCACCCCACTGGAGGGGCTACGAGCCAAACCAACACCGTGCAGGGGAACATTCCCAGGATCCCATCACAGCTGAACCACCTCCCTTGGGAGACCAAAGGAATCCCACCAGGAATCTGAGGGGCGGTGGTTGCTCCTGATGATCCCCCCCAGCTCCCAGGTCAAGAGTCCAAATCCTCTCCCTCCAACACCACAGTCAGCCCCCAAAACCTGCCCAGGATTCAGTAAGATCCCACTGACCTTCATCATGAGGACGATGGTGTTGAGGGCGATCATGACCATGATAAAATACTCGAAGGGAGGGGACACCACGAATTTCCACATCTTGTACTGGAAGGATTGCTTGTTCTGGGGCATGTACCGGGTCAGGGGCTTGGCACTTATGGCAAAGTCTATGCAGGCCCTCTACAAAACAGAAGTGGGGTGAAAAATGATGGAAAAAGGGCTGGGAGTCTCCATCCCTCGGGATATGGTTGGGAGAGCGAGCAGAGAATTCAGAGGGGGGTATTTCTAAGTGACTGTTCCTGTAAAATCCAGCACAGAATCCCCAAATCATGATAAATGTTGCTGGAATATTAAACCCCCAACACCCCTGCAGTCCTAGGAGACCACCTTCCATCAGAGCCCAGCTCCTGGTAGGTCCCAATCCCTTCCCTAAGTGGTTTTAAATCCACGGGTTCACTTCAGAAAACACTGAATTCCTCCTGATGGATAATTGTAGAAACAAGGGGATGTTATCTAAAGTGAAGATGTTATCTGTGGGTTTAAAAAGTTATTGTGAAGCTCAGTTATGTTCTGGCACCTGCACAGCTCAGAACATTTCATGAAATGTAGACTGAGCCCAGTCAATGAATTAACCACCAAATAGCTCTGGGTGAACTCTCACAAACCCCCTTTGTTGTTTTTTTCTGTTCACATTATTAGGAATATAAAACTGCATTAAAAATTGGTTTCTACTGACAACAAGTTTTGATTCTGGAGGATTTTCTCTTAACTTTCCCATTTTCAAAGCCTTATATCACTGCAAAAATACTTTCTGGTCAGTTGAAAAATAACATGGGTGAAGCATCCCTAAATATTCTTGCTTTATTTTGGACTTTTTGGTCACATGGACAAATGAGGAACTAATTAATAATTGAATAAAAAAATCATCTCTTTTCATCAAAAAGCAGGGTCCAGTTTCAAAATCCATGAAAAGAGATGGTTCTTTGCACAACAGGTCGTTGAGGCTGTGGGACCCCAGACAAAGGATGTTGCAGATGCTGAAAATCTGCTTGGGTTCAGAAGGAAACCAGATACATCCAAGGAAGATACACAGATGCCACTGACTAAATTAAAAACATGTCCAACTCAGGACATTCCTGAGCTGAAAATGATGGTATTTGCTGGAGATTTCAAGAAAAGCCTCACAGGGTCTTGCCTTGGTCTTACACTCTTCTCAAGGCACCTACTTTTGGGGGAAATCATCTCAGCCAGGCCCAAAGCCAGCCTGGGGAGAGGAGCTTTCTCTGGGGAGCCAAAACAGTTGTAGTTTGGTTTCTAAAAGGCCACAGATTTGTCTCCTTTCACGCCCACATTCTTGAGCAAACATGGAAGGCAGGACTGGGTTGGGTTGGAAGGGACCTTAAAGCTCACCCAGTCCCACCCCCTGCCATGGGCAGGGACACCTTCCACCAGCCCAGGTTGCTCCAAGCCCCATCCAGCCTGGCCTTGGACACTTCCAGGGATGGGGCAGCCACAGCTTCTCTGGGCAACCTGTGCCAGAGCAGGTCCACGTTCTCTTTGCAGCAGAGGTGTGGCCCAAGGGGACACCTGACAGTGGTCACTCGGGGGCTTTCCCTGGCTTTGTTTCTGTGCAAAAGCTGACAGGCAGTTGTGTGTTTGGTCTCCACAGCACAAACCCTCAGATAACCACTGCTTTCCACCCCCCATGGCACAAGAAGGAGGAAGGAGGGGGCTTCCACTGCTGCTCTGAGCCCCCCGGGTGCCAACTGTGCATTCCGAAGACGGGGGTACCTCGTTTTTCTCGAGGCTGCACTCTGACATCACTTTATCTCCTTGCTCTTGGAAGGTGATGATGATTAAAGCCACAAAGATGTTCACAAAGAAAAAAGGGAAGACAACAAAATACACCACGTAAAAGATGGACATTTCCATCCTGTAGCCAGGGCTGGGACCCTGTTCCTCGTAGGTGGCGTCCACCGAGTGCTTCAACACGCTGCAATCAAGGGCAGAGAGAGGAGAAAAGTCACCAAAAATCACTGTGAAGCACCTCAAAGTCACTCACTGGCCTTCACTCAACGTGGAGGGTTGTCCACATATGCTCAGGTCAAACCCCTTCCCAACTATATGGTTGGGAAGGAGTTTTCCTTGAGGATATTTTTACAGGAAACCCTTCCTGGTTTCACCCCGTGAAAACCAAAGCAATCACTGTGAAGCACCTCATGGTCACTCACTGGCCTTCACTCAACGTGGAGGGTTGTCCACATATGCTCAGGTCAAACCCCTTCCCATCTTTATGGCTGGGAAGGTGTTTTCCTTGAGGATATTTTTGTAGGAAACCCTTCCTGGTGTCACCATTCTGCAGAATGATGATTTGCTAAGTACAGATCCACTGATCCCCCCTGGCCAAGGGCAGAGGATCCAGGGGGATCTGCCTTCCCTTCTCTGGTCAACAGGGGTGAAGGAAGAGTGGGCAAAGAGAGGTATTGATGATGTCTGAGGAAGGGAACACAGTGAGGGACTGGAAAAGGGAGACTGGTGCTGGTTTATTCTTTATTTCCACAGAATATGCTGAGTTGGAAGGGACCCACAGGGATATTTTATGAAATAGTTGAACGTGGAGGACAGGGAAACCCTGATCACTCCACGTGTCCCAGCAGCAAAGTGTGCCAAAATAAAGTCACATGCTGAGCAGTAAATATCATTTGGGGGCTGTCATACTCTCAGCACAGGTCACAATACTTTTCCCCCTTTATTTTCTTACATTTCCATGAGCAGCTTTACACCTGAGAAAGGTGGGCAAGTCCAAAAGCCTGAAGCAAGCACTGAAAACTGCCTGAGAGTCAGGAGAACAGCGAGAAAAACACAGATTCACCCAATGCTGATTCACCCAGTGACCACACAAAGGAAGGAAAAGCTTAGTTGAGAAAAGCCTCTTCTCATTTCCCATTTCCAAGCCCCTCAGAGCTGTGGGAAGGTGCCTTCACCCCCCCAGTCACTGCCCCTGCCAGCCCCGGGTACTCACGTGGGCCACCCTTCCCCCGTGGACACGGTGAAGAGCGTGAGCAGAGCCCAGAGCACGTTGTCATAGTGGAACTCGTATTTTTTCCATTCCCTGGGCTGTGCCTCCACCTCATTCTTTTCATAATCGAGGTACTGACCCCTAAGAAGAAGAGAGATTCAGAGCAAACGAGGGAATTAAACTAAACCAGCCGTTTCTTGGGAGTCACCGAGGAGCATCGAGAAGCCCCGGTGGGTGGCACAGGGATTAAAGACAAAGGGGCAGCCCCCCTAGGCTTGGGACAGAAGTCAAGGCCAATTTCTGAGCCATTTTCAGCCACAGGAACTGGATCTGAGGTCACAAAATAAAAGAAATTGTAATCAGGGCGTTCATCCATTCATTAGGCAAAGCCAGCAATTAACAACTGGTCCCCAAATCGTGTGACCCCACAGAAAACTGGGCTGCTGGATGGGGAAAGGGCTCTGGTTCCTGTTTCAGGGTTGGAACTAAACCCTAAAGGGGTCTTGTTTTAGGGGCCAAGGGACCTGGCATCTGGAGAGCTCCCCTCCAACCTACACTTCTGTGTAATTTCACTTTCTTTCTATAATATATTTACATCATTCCAAGGAAGTGACAGCCCCCGTGACTGCCAGGATCCCACCAGGGACATGCCCTGCATGCACAAGGCAGCAGGAGAGGGATGGGCAGAGCTGGATGGTGCTGAGGATGTGCTTTGGGTGCCAAGAAAAAAGGCAAATGAGGAAGATGCACACTGAGGTAACACACCTTGAGCCTGCTGAAAGGGCAAGACATGACAGGGCTTTTAAGAAGTTCAATCCCTTTTCTCACTAATTAGGAGCTCTTTGACTTCCTAAGCTTCTGATTATTTAGTCATTATGTTTTTCCAGTTCCTAGGAGTTCTGAGGATCAAGGCAACAGGCGGAAAGAGGAGTCACACTGTCAAAAACCCTCCAACCCCTCAAACCCCCTTGATTTAAAAAACACCCCTAGACCTCCCTGGGAAGGAAGGTGACTCCCCTGCATCCTTAAGCATTTGGGGAAGCACTTGCTGGATCAGAGCCAGGAATGACACAGCTTTTAAAGAAGGAAAAGGAGAATTCACCTCTAGGGTAACTGTGCTGGTGTTGCCCTCACTTGGAGGAGACTCTTCGTGCTCAGCAGCTGATTCAGCTCTGGGACAACCTGGGGAGCTGCTGCTGGAGGAGGAAAGTTGCTGCCCACCCTGGCCCTGCCCCCAGCTGTACCTGCAGTCCTTCTCCAGCTCCTTGGACTCGTCAGTGCAGTAGAAGAATCTGCCCTTGAAGAGCTGCACGGCAATGACGGCAAAAATGAACATGAAGAGCATGTAAACGATGAGGATGTTGAGGACGTTCTTCAGGGAGTTCACCACACAGTCAAAGACAGCCTGGGAGGGAGGAGAACGAGGTCAAGGGGTCGGGAGAGAGGAAAAGTGCATCCAACAGCTTGGCATCCATCTGAGACCACTTCATACACTCGTGGAATCACTGGCTTGGGTTGGAAGGGACCTTAAAGATCACCCAGTGCCACCCCCTGCCATGGGCAGGGACACCTTCCACTAGCCCAGGAGGCTCCAAACCCAACCTGGCCTTGAACCCTTCCAGGGACGGGGCAGCCACAGCTTCTCTGGGAATTCTATCACAGGGAAGAATTCCTTCCCAATATCCAACTAAATCTCATCACACAACCCAGGGGTGGGTTCATGGAACTTGCCCACCAAGGGTTTGACCAAACAATAACTCCAGCTTCCTTTAGCTCCTGCTTTCTTGGCAAGTTTGGCTGTGCCACTGAATTTTCTGGGCTTGCCCATAAAATTTATAAAGACAATCACAGCTTGTTGAGATCAGTATTTGTCCTAAACAAACATTCCCATGGCCAATTATGAAATGAAAATTGTACTTGTGTTTATTTTACTCACGTACTGGATAAGTAAAAACTACCTGAATAATAAGGAAAATATACCAGATACAAACCAAATGCTTTAAATAATATTTTTCTAAAGGACTATCTCTCGAAATTAAGTGTGACTAACCCAGTCAGCACAGGTCACTTCTGAACTCCCTGCAAAGAACTCAAACACATTTATTACTTGGTTATTAGTCCCTGCTGCACTGTTACAAGTAACCTGCAGTTTGATTTTAGTAGGAGAAGTTGGTCCTAATAATAGAAATGGAGTGGTCTTAGTGCCCAAGCTCAGGGTTTGTACAATACTGCTCCTGCTTCTAGGAATGGAAGGGAATAATTCCCAAAGTTACACTCCTGAAGCAACTCAGAAACCCTGAATTAAAACAGTGGGAATATCTCTGATCAGCCCGTTGATCCTGCTGATTGTTTCTCACAAGACCACATCCAGTAAAAAAAAAAAAAGAATTGAAATAATTTTGAAGACTTTTAATCCTAGAATTGTTTAGGTTGGAGAAGGTCTCTTAAGATCATCGAGCTTCAGCCCCTTGATGTCTTCACAGTGAGAGGCCCAAAATGGACCCAAGTTCACTTAAAAAACCAGATAAACACAACTTCTGCTTCACATAAAGATTTATGAGTATTTCTTTTGAAATTAGAAAACCACCCTGTTTGAAAATCAGACAGAAATCAACAAAAATCAAGTGTTCAGTGTCCTGCTGGAGGACTGAGCTACTGCTGACTATTTTGGTTTTTACCTCATAGCTTTACATTTTAAATTTCTAACCAAATGAAGACCTTTTTCTGCGTTGTCCAACATGAATGTTCCTTATCTTTTCAGAGACATTTAGTATGCATAAAATCAGAATTATTTCAGCCTGAATAGTGGGCAAGGATAAAAGGAAACCTATAGAACAGCTGACCCTCATTTTGATGTGAAATCAGGAACTGTCAGACAAAAGCACCCACTGCTCTTCCCCCACCTCTCACAGAATATTCAGCAGGTATTCAAGAGTTCCCAAACCTCAGAAATTATTGAATTTTGTTAACTCCTTCCTTTCTCTGCTTCCAGGGAGTGGCTGTATCTCAAAGGGTTGGTGAAATGGCATTGAATGAGTAACCACGGGTCACTACATTTATTTTAATTTGTAGCTTAGTGTTGTAGAGGTGAAAAGGTACAGCTCTAAAACCCTGCACTATGGATTATTTACCAGAGAGATGAACAGATTAAAACTCCTCACACAGCAATGACGTTTCTCTTTTGACAGCCCGTGGAAAATCTTGCAATATTCACGTTAAACTCTCCAGGGAAAGCCAAACATTCCAACCCCCATTTTCTCCTGTATCATTTCTAAGAGCATCCCACTTGTGAGCTGTAAATTAATTTACTTGAGGGTGGGGGGTTTTTTTATTTCTTTTCTTTTTTTAGGAGTTTTATTTTCGCGTGGGCCCACAACAATTCATAACATGGCCCACGATGTTTGCAACAGAAACAAAGCGTTTGACATTTGCTAAACATCTGCACAGCTATTTTTACCCATCTGGCAAAGGGATTAATTGCAACAAAATCAAAGGAGCAGAAATAACTTGGGTTGGGTCCATAGGCTTCTACTCAGATCACTCACAAAGCTCCAGAGAAGGAAAAATTGGGGGTTGTTTTCTAACCTTTAGCTTTGGCAGCCTCTTGATGGTTTTCAGAGGTCTGAGGACCCGCAGGACTCTCAGGGACTTGATGGTGTTGATGTCCTTGCCTTTGGTTCCTCTGCAAGGGAGAAAAGGCACAAGAACAACAATAATTTGGTCCTCAGGTCGCCAACCTGGATATTTGTAGGTTCCCAGTGTGGTTTTGGTGGTGGAACTGCTTTGCTTTGGGGTGTTTGTTACAGGTTTGGGGTCCGTCCTCACCGTGGCCGCAGATGAGCCCCACCTGAGCCGTGTCCTGGGCAGGACGTGGGCCTGGCACTGCTCCCCACAGGAGCCTCCTCTCCCTTCCCAGCTACTCACCGAGCATCCCCCAGGATCTGGGGCCCTTCCTGCCCCGACTCCACACCCAGGCAACAGTTCCTGCTCCAGCCCCAGGAGAAGGGACAAAGTCACACTCGGCTCTCCTTCCTCCCGAGGGAGTGAGGCAGGAGGAGGTTTCTCCGTGCACTTCTCCGGCAGGAACATTGTGCCTGGACAAGCAGTGACCAGAGGGAACAGGAGCCTTCCAGGTGAGGGACAGAGCCTCGTCCTTGAGTGTCTCTTGGAAGACATGCTACCAAACCCATGCAGGAACATGTAATATTGCAGCATATTACATGCCTGGAGCAGCGCTGGGGCAGCTTCCCTCTTAGGCATGCAAGGGGCTGTGAGTCACAGCCTGGGTTTGGTTCAAACTGAGTGCAAGGCTTGAGAAGGTTCCCCTTGTTAACATCAAGAGGTTTTTTAGGGGAAGGACAGAGTTCCTTTCCTCGTGCACTTCCGAAAATAAATAAATAAGAAAAGACACAGTGACACCTTCTTCCAACCCAACAGCAAAACAATGACATTCCCCTTCGGTTCATATGAAGTGAAAAATGGGATGAAAGTCTGTCACGGGGTTTTATTCATGAGTGTGGGTTTGGGTCTGAGACTGTACTGAGGTAACACAGGTGTGAATGAGGAACACGTGGAGCAGATGCTGGAACACCTATTCTATGCTCTCCCAGTTGGCTCCTTCTCCAAGAGGAAGGAAATAAAGGTACAAGTGACCCCACAAGAGACCCACAGGAGGTTTGTGCAGGGTCTGCAGAGCTTCCCCCACCCTCTGGCCCCCAGCCCTCCACACTGTGCTCAGGGAGAAGCACCCAGAGTGCAGGAAACCACCCCATTTCGTGGCTGACTGACCTTGCTCAGCCCTGCAAAGTGTCTTTTTACAATCAATCCACTGCCAGAAGGCTTAGAACTCACTGCTGACACTGGAACTCAATCCTAAACAGGACTGGAAACTACAACCCATCTCATCTCTCTCTTCTCTTCAATAACCAGGCCCTGCGGTTGTCCTGGAACACAATAAGATACAGGAATGTTTGGAGGGCTCTGGGTTGGATCCCAGTGATATCTACACTGAACACAAATTGCCTTTCCAAAGGATTTAATATAGGGGGAGAGGGTGAACAGGATGGAGAGGTGCCATCTCTCCCTCTCTCATCTTTCAGGGCTGCTTTAGGGCCATTCTGATCCATCCCAGGTGGATCCTGACTGCTGGCACAGCTGTAAATCCAGGTGATGGAGCTGATACTCAGGACTGATTTAATGCCACAAAATACCCATTAGATATTTAAAAGAAATAGTATTTGATTCTCTTTAGAAACCCTTTAATCTGTTCTAGATGAAGCAGGCACTGCCAACAGAGCTTTTCCTGGCTTTCTTGTCAGGTTTTGGCACAGCTGAAGGTCTGGCCCATGCTTGGCTTGGCATATTTGCTTTCAACTCCCCCAACTCCCAGCCAGTACCATCCCTGCTGTGGTCACTGTGTCACCACAGCTCACCTGGAGCTCACCTGCTCCAAGGGGGCTTTGTCTGAGCCCTGGCTGCAAAATCATTTGTTCATCCTCTCAAGGAGGACGTTCAGTGGCAGGAGGGAAGTAGAAAGGGAAATGGGTTGTAGGGAAGGAGATCCCAAAGGAGATCCCACCTGGCCTGGCCAGCCTGTTCCCAGGGCTGATGGTCCCCCCATCCCCGTGGCTGCCCCTGCTGCTCCCTCCACCCTCTCCCCTCTGGAAGGCCAAGCAAATCCCTTACACTGCTCCACATTTCCCAGGATTTCCCTCCCTGAGGGAGGTGGGAGCTGAGGAAAGCAGAGAAGAGTGAAAGTGAGACAGTTAAAGGCCGTGTTGGGGCAGGAGGAGGGAAAAAAAAGAGGTGGGATGCTCAGCCCAGAACTCTACTCATTCTCCATCATTGGTGGCCACGTTTCTGGTTTGCAGATTAACACACAGCCCAAAAAAACAAACCTCAGCACTGCTCTCCTGGGCTCACCCAGAACTCCAGAAGCTCCATGTGCTGTCTGCCAGTGCTCCCAGTTCCAGGAGACCTGGACACCTGCCCCACACTAATTAACAACTGCACTAATTAGGCCTCATGGAGGGCGAAGTTCCAGACCAGAACTCGGCTCTGGTCTCACAGGGTTGGCCCCACTCCTGAAGGAACAACTCCCGTGGACTCAACATTTGGAGGGAGGTCAAAATATTTGTAGGGAGGTCAGACAGACCTTCTGGGGGCTCGTGGCTCCGTGGGGCAGAGCAAATCCTTGCTCCTGCTTTTCCCTGGCCCGGGGGGTGTGTGGATGAGCACCCTGAGAGCTGGGAGGTGAAGGGCAGCCAGCTCCAGTCACACCCAATTCCTTCTGCCTCAGAGGAGGACACTCAGAAGGGCTGATTTCTCTCTCTCCATTCAGGCACTTAAGCAAATAAAGAGCGTGAGCCAATTAAATGTTAATGGGATTTCTGCTCTGAGCCATACAGAGAATCCTGAAAAACATCCTTATTTCTTGTCTCAGGAAGGTTCCTGCTCCAGGACAAAGCTTTTCCAATGTCCTGGTGCTCTGAACTGGAGGGATGCAAATTGCTTTTTAAATTAAAGGACACCCTGCAACTCTTTCAGCCTCTCAAATAAAAACCCTCAGGGTTGTTTTTGGTGTTTTTAAGAAGCCCCTCTACCAATACTGTTTTTTTTTTTTTCACTGCTTTAATACAAAGCCAGATGTCCAACAAAACAAAAGGTCCAGATGGAAACAAGATTCAGTCAAAAGGTGTATCCAAGCACACATTTGACCTGAATATTCCTCACAACAAAAATAAATTGCTGTGGAAGGGCAAGATCTCAGCTGACTGCAGAAGAACAACTACAAAATTCAGAAGAGCTGAATTTGGAAGAAGAGCTGTAGAGGGTCACAGGATAAAGGCAGACAGCAAACAGCAGCCTGGAGACTTAAAAAATAATAATAATAAAAGAATTCCATGAATAAAAAAAATTGCATTAGATCAATTTTAGTTGCATTAGGCCAGTTCTGGGTGTTGTTTTTTTTCCTGTGGCAGTTTGCTGCTCGTTTATTTAAAACATTAAAAACATTTTAAAAGAGCTTCGCGAAGCCTTTTTTTTTTTTTTTTCCCCTTCAATAAATCAAAAGAGCCTTTAAAAAATTGACGAGTCCTTTCAAATGGAAGCTCCCTGTTTCTGTTGCTGCTGCCAGCAGCTCTGATTTCACACCACATGGGCTTCTCAGAGTCGTGGCATCAAAAATTCAGGGCAGGGCGGAGCCGCCGCCGCCTGTGAGTGCCCCAAAGCCCCAAGGCAGAGGGTGAATTCCTCCACTGAGGAGGAAAGGAGGTCACTCTGCTCTGCCACAAATACAAAGCCTCCCTTTTCCTGCCTCTAAACTCTCTGCTTTCCTAGAGGGAAGAAAGAATGGAGCACCTGATTCCCTGGACCACATCAAAGCCCTTCCTTTGCATCCTTTCTGTGGCATCTCCGCTGGGGAGGAGCCCACCCAGCTCCTGCCCTGCTGGGATGGGGGTGGGAGATGACACAGCTCTGGCCCCAAAAGCAGACAGCAAAACTGCCACCTCCTTGCAGGGCATTAAATAGGACTTTTTGACCCCCTTCCTTTGGAAGTTGCCCCTTCCAGCCTCTCATAAAACTCTCCACCCTCTGTTCTTTTATCAAAGAAGATAAAAGCATCGCCCAGGCTGCCCTGAGTTGGTCCTGAAGCTTCCAGCACTGCTGTTTGCAGGTGAAATCCTCCAAAAGAGAATAAACCTGCTCCTTTACACCTAATTATTAAGATTTCCAGGAATTGCAACTCGCCCATCAACGCTGCACCCACTGAGTCACCCCCTCAAACCCTTCTGGCACAGAGATCTCTGCGTGTGCTTTGGTCAAGACTCCCTGGTCTGCTTGGCTTTCTGCCTCTGCCTAAAGAAAAGCGGGATGAATGAGGATTGTTAAGGGAGATTTCACTGGGTAATGGGGAAGAGAGGGACGGAGGAGTCGATGCAATGGGTGGAACATGAGTTGTTTCCACAGGGGTGACTGTTGGACAGGCAAAACAGTGCAGCAAGAGACAGGAATAACATATTACCCCATGAAACTCCTAGAGAGAGATTCCAGCGAGGAGAAGACAAAGAAAGAGCAGAGTCAATGACAAACAGCAACATCAGAGCCCCCCCTGCACACAGAGATCCCCCTGGCCCTGGCCCACACCCCCAAATAAAGGAGCCCCAGCCCTTCCCCTCGGGAGCAAAGAAACCTCCAAAGGTCCTGTGCAAATGGGTGGTTGGGACATGTTCATGTCCACAAAAAGAAAGGAATGTCTCCTTGAAATGCATTGCTGAAGGGCTACATTTAATTAATTCTTTATCAGCAGCGTCAGTGGTGTTGTTTCTGGCATCTCTCCGGGGACTGCTTCTAAAATTTATTTTAATTTTTTTTTAAAATTTATTTCCTTTAAAATATTTTAATTATTTTTTTTAAAATTATTTCCTTTAAAATATTTCAGTTTTTTTTAAAAAAATTTATTTCTTTTAAAATATTTGAATTAATCAGCCCTTCCACTCACATGAAAATAAACCTCCAAATGTCCCTTCCCCCTCCTCCCCTGCTCCTCAGCAGCTGTTTTTTTAACCAACCAGGTACATTTTACATCTGGAGCTGATGGGTTTGGACGACAAATTTTGCTTGTAAATTTGCTTTAAGCTCCTTTACTTCTATTTCCCTCAAGACTCAATCATGTCTGCGTTTGTGGCATGTTCATGTCCACAAAAATAAAGGAATTTCTCCTTGAAATGCATTGCTGAATGGCTACATTTAATTAATTCTTTATCAGCAGCGTCAGTGGTGTTGTTTCTGGCATCTCTCCGGGGACTCCTTCTAAAATTTATTTTAATTATTTTTTTAATTTATTTCCTTTAAAATATTTGAATTATTTTTTTAAAAAAAATATTTCCTTTAAAATATTTCAATTTTTTTTTTAAAAAATGTATTTCTTTTAAAATATTTGAATTAATCAGCCCTTCCACTCACATGAAAATAAACCTCCAAATGTCCCTTCCCCCCCTGGACACTCCGGGAGGTGCAGCCTCCACTCTTGGGCAAATGCTGGTTGATTTTCCAAAGAGCATCAGGACATTCTGTGCATCTCCACCACCTTTGTGCTGCTCCTCAGCAGCTGTTTCTACCCACCAGATACATTTTACACCTGGAGCTGATGGGTTTGGATGACAAATTTTGCTTGCAAAGTTTGCTTTAAGCTCCTTTATTTCTACTTCCCTAAAGGCTCAAACAAGTCTGTGTGTTTGTGACATGTTTCTCTGTAGGAAAAGAAGGGAATTTCTCTTGGAAATGCATTGCTAAATGGATAATTTTAATTAATTTATTATCAGCAGCATCAGTGTTGTTGTTTTAAGCATCTCTCTGGGGCCTTTTTTAAAAATTTAATTTTTTTTTTCTCAATTTTATTTATTTATTCCGAACTGCTTCTATGAATGTATTTATTTTTTAACTCCAGTTAAGCCCAGAACAGCTTCTAAAGAGGCAGAAAGCAGACCAGCAGCTGGTTGGAGAGGCTGAGCTGGGTTTGTTGAACCTTCCAGCAAGGGCTGATAACCATCTCATGTGCTTAAATAAACACAGGCTGTTGCAATATTCCAGCTGGGAGCCTTTCAGGGAGCTCTGTTATTCCCAGGTTTTTGGTGATGTGTCTGTTCAGCAGCTGGTTCAGACACCAGGGAGGTCAAGGACACGAATTAAATCCCACCTTGCACGAGGTGATTGTGTGTTCTGGCCACAATAAATAGATTTATTACACTGCTGGTGAGGGGCAGGGTTTGCTAGAAAAATCCAACCCAACAACAGAGATGATCCAGTTGATTCTCCAAGAGCTCATTTTCAGGATTATCAAAATTCAGGGTGTCCAGTTTAACCAAGCAAAGAGTTGGGGCAAGGACAGGACTCTCAAGTTTGCACCTGATTATTCTGTTATTATTTATAACTGGAACAGAGAGCAAATAATCCCCTGGGAGGGACTGAATTAAACCAGAAATACTTCAAATATTCTCTGAACTGGACATCAACACTCCCCTCCTACTGAAACGTGGATGTGGGGCAGAGGGTACAGAAATCATCAAAAGCACAGAAAAAAATTCCAATTTTTCCAGGTCTCCCATTAGGTTTGTCTCCCTTTAATCTGGGAGACAGTAACTAGGCAGGTTTTATGCATTCCCTGCCAAATTCTCACTCAGAAGGTAAAATAGAAGCAGCTTGGGGCACTATTATAAAGCACAGGCAGGGGATGTAAAAGTAATTTATTTAGAGGCTGATGAGGTGCTGTTAGATATTCATGGCCCAACATAGAAAACCTGAGCATGAAAAGACTCCGAAAGATTAAAAATTATTCATTTTAATCCTTAACTTGACCAAAAGAAAAGAAAAAACCTTGTTCAAAGGAAAGTCTTGCTCAAAGAGAAGAGATTTTCCAGGCAAACCCTGGTGTTTGTGCTCACAAAATGCTCCTTCTCCCGGTCTGCCCTGAACGTTTGAATTCCTGATGGGAAAGGGAAATTCTCACTGAACTGCAGACTTGGGGAATATTGTTTTGCAGATTAATACTTGTGACTGTGGTTATTTGCCTTTTCTATGTCTCTCCCATTCCAAGGAGCTCTGTGCTAACTTGCTAAATGCTTTTTTAGGAGGGTTTTGCTTAGTCTGGCCACGTCCAGCTCTAAAAGCTGTTCTATAATATACCCCACGTGCAGGGAAAAGAAGCCCCACATGTCTAGTCAAGCTTAAAAAGCAGCTTGGGTTTGGATGTTAAATTTTAGGTAAGACATTCACCAGCCCAGCAATTCCATCTCAAGTTTTGCTTAGGACAGAGCACTCAGCTCCTCGAAAAAACTGATTTTTAACGAATAGGGACAAAGTTTTTAAAGAGGAGAGGGCAACATCCCTTTGAAAAACTTCTGCTGGACATGACTTTCTCAAAAACTTAAATAATTCCTTAATAATATAATTTAAATAATTAATAATTCCGGAGGATCAGGCACAGAAAGCCCAGATCCCAATATCCCCAAGTGTCACCCCTCAAAAATCACACCAACAATGTCAAGCCCATCTCCTTCAGTCCATCCACTTCTTGGAGGTTTGTTTGTTTGGTTGGTTGGTTTTAATCCAGCATTTATGGAAAATAGAAAATAGATCTAAACCACAAATCCGAACGTGAAAGGAATTTTGACGCCTCAGAAAACGCAAAATTCCTGAGAAATATTCCAGGATACCCTTCCCAGAGAGGACCCAGGAAGCTTTTGTGCTGCAAAAGGGGACACGTTTTCCACCAGCAGAGCTGACAGGAGGAGCTTGGGGACGAAGCTTAAAAATGACTGTCAGTTTAAACTGGACACGACACACTCCCGTGGTTCCCTGACAAAGGGGAACGCTTTTCTCGTGAACAATTAAACCCTGCTAATTCTCATTAGCAAGTTAAACAATTGCCTCCCCCGCTCATCAGCGTGTTGACAAACAGGTGAGCGAGCTGAGAAACGCTCCTATAATTGCTCAAGGCTGATTTAGCAGAAGATTAAACTGCCCGAGTCCTGCGGGCTCTTTCCAGGTCATCTCCTATTGTTTCTCCGGGAAACATTTGCAAACAACTCTTTCCACGGCCCAGAAATACAGGTGGAAAATTTTCCTTTCATTGTCCAGCTCTGAACTCCCCCAGTTCTGAGGAACCTGCCTTGGTCTTCTTCTGAAAAAAGTGCTCAAAGGGAAAGCCAATCTTCATTTTGAAACGGCAATTCCTCTGTGCCCGGGGCTGAAAATCCTCCCTGATATTAAAGAAGCCCAGGGAATGTTATTTAATGTCATAAATCCCGAGCTGTGTTGGAGGGAGGGAGCAACGAGCCTTAAAAGTGAAACTGTGGAAATGCAAGTTCCCTGAATGAGAGAGGGGAAAAGAGCAGAGAAATGCCGAGGTCTGTGACCCAGAAACACCCACAGCTCCAGAAATAATGTTTTGCAGGGAGTTCACTGAGTTCTCAGCTGATTTCATTAACTCCTTTCTCACAGGAAGAGCAGTTCTTACAACAATTGCCCCGAGACACTGGACTGCCACAAACTGTTACAATATGTTCTTGAAAAGAAGTTGGCCAAACAGTCACAACAACGTTTGAAGGAGCAGTGAATGGACTCACCCTAAAGCTGGAGGATTTTCAAGAGGTTCAACAGCACCAGTTTAGTTGGGTTTACTTTTTTCTTCCCCCCTCCAGCTACGAGATGAAAAAGGGCAGAAACTGAGCATTTCACTGAGAAATGGGGCCACACGTGTTATGGATCAACTCTCTCTCTGTGCCAGGTCCTGCCTCCTCTGTGGTTATTCCCTAGAAACTGGGGTGTTAAGGGAATGTACTTACGAGAAGGCAAAGGCCACCAAGGCCCCACTGACCACAATGAAGTCCAGGATGTTCCACAGGTCACGGAAGTAGGAGCCAGGGTGGAGTAACAGCCCCAGGTCGATCATCTGGAGAGGAGACACAGGAAAAGGAAGAGTTTTAATAAAACTCTGTACCAAATCAACACTGCCAAGGTGCAGGGGAGTGTTCTTGAGCAAATGACCCTTCCCAAGGTGGAGATACTCGGCCAAGCTGCTCCTCTCCAAGAGGCACAAGAGCTCTGCCAAAAATGAAGCTCAAGAGTCAAGAAACCAGAACCAAAAGCTCAAGAAAAGAGTCTCCACTGCAACCCAGAGTTCTCTGCACAGACACCCATTAATCTGGGGGTTATTCTGCATCTCTTTTGCAGCTTGCTCTGACAGTAAAACCTACCCCAGGAATAAATCCGGACTTTATTAGGATTGGGCTTCCTGGAAAGTTGCTGCCCCACAGGCTCAGCAAAACCTGTCACCCTACTGAGTAAAGTCAAAAGAGAAATCCTCAATTTTTTGAGACGTGACAGAGCAGGAATCATGGCTGTTAACATTCCAAAAGGAGAAGGGAAGATTCAGCCACGTCTCAGTGAGGTCTGTCAGCTCCCGTGTCTTTAACCACACACCCCAGGCATTTCTCATCCTCTTACACAGCCACAGCTACTACAGAGATCTTTATTTTCCTCCATAAATTGTTAGATTAAAGAAACCAGGAGAGCCACTGCAGAAGGACATCTGGCTACTTCTGAGAGCTGTTCTCAAGTTAAAGCTTTCCAGCATTGCCACCTCTCCAGAGAGTTCTGTCCTGCTCCACCCCTTCTCCAGCATCCCAGAAGTAGATGAATGTCAATTTAAAACAGGAGGTGAATCTTTCTGCTCGGAGAAATTCTTACCTTGATCACCATCTCAAAGGTAAAGACACCTGTAAATATATAATCCAAGTATTTCAGAGCCTAAATGGGAGAGAGAAATGTGTGTTAGGAGGGGCCACACACTGAAATAACACATAAAGAGTAAAACAACATTATTATAGCAATGGTTTATTTGGGTAAATATGATCTGACAGGAGGTTTTAAAATAATTTAGGCATAAAATTTAAATCTGATTTTAAACAGTTACTTTAAACAGCAGGATTTCTCCCAGTCCTTGCCAGACTCCACCCAAGGGTGGCTTCAGTGCACCTGCATTTATGGCAGGTTTATCCAGGGAAAAAGGGTATTTCACATGGAAATATTGGAATATTCTTTCCTAGAGAGCTTGTTCACCAGCCCCTTTGTGGTAGCTTGGGTTTCTGTTCTCTAGCTGAGAACAGTATTATCAAAGTGAAATACCACATGAGCAAGTAGCAAAACATTATTCTAGCAATGGTTTATTTGCTTTGATGGGTAAAAATCATCTGACAGGAGGTTTTCAAATAGTTTAGGCACAAAATTTAAATCTGATTTTAAACAGCTGACTTAAACAGCAGCATTTCTCCCAGTCCTTGCCAGACTCCACCCAAGGGTGGCTTCAGTGCACCTGCATTTATGGCAGGTTTGTCAAGGGAAATTTCACATGGAAATACTTGAATATCCTTTCCTAGAGAGCTTGTTCACCAGCCCCTGGGTAGCAGCCTGGGTTTATCTTCTCTGGCTGATGACAATGTTATTGAAGACCTCAGGAGAGTAAAAAAGTGATAAAATCCTTCCTGAAAACCTGATTCTACACTTATTAAGGATGAGGAAGAGAGATTGCTCCTTCAGCTCGTTATTGATGTGGGGATTATGGATCTGTCTCTGGAAGAAGCTGATCCTGACCAGATTCAGGAGCAGGAGGCCAGGCCAGGCACCTCCTGCCCTGCTGAGCTCTGCTCTGGAGCAGTTCAGCTCCTCAGTCTGTTCAAGGGCTGGGTCAACACAAATTCCTTGGTACACGGCCTGGGAAGGCAACACCAGTGCCTGTAGGTCTCCTAGATTTGACCACAATTCCGTGGATGGGATGCACCTCTTTGGAGTATCACAGATCTGAACAGAGTGGCTGGACAGTAAATCAATACAGATACGACATCATAGAATCATCAAGGTTGGAAAAGAACTCCAAGATCATCAAGTGCAACCTTTGACCAAACCCCCCCATGCCAATAACCCACATTGCAAAGTGCCACATTTCCTTGCTTTTTGACCCTTTCCAGGGCTGGTGACCCCACCATTTCCCTGGACAGCCTGTCCCAGTGCTTGACCACTCTTTAAGTGACGAATTTTTTTTCCTAATATCCGACCCAAACCTCCCCTGGCACAACTGGAAGCCAGAAATATCCCGTGATATCCACACCCTACAACCATCTACACTGATGAGTCCAAAATTAGGCTTCACCTTGCAGTGTCTATACTTAATTTCAGAGCTCTCAACTCCCACTTGCCCATGTAACCACAGCCAGCTCTGTACCAAGGTCCTCATGGGAACGTGCTTGAAATAAGCCACCCAGCTGCTCCATGAACTCTCCTGGGCTGCATGTCCTTGTGTCAAAGGTGTCACACTCACATTTGTGACAGCACCATCTCCAAAAATCCAAACAAGTTTGGTTTGACACCCCCAGACAAGTAGATTTGCTACGAATTCTTGGAGATTTCTACCATGCCCCACCAAGATAAAAAACACATCTGGTTTGACTTCCTCAGACTCTGCTCTAGCAGGAGACCTTAGGACAATGCCCCATCCCTGGAAGTGTCCAAGGCCAGGTTGGATGGGCCTTGGAGCAATCTGGGATAGCGGAAGCTGGCCCTGCCCATGGCAGGGGGTGGGAGGGGATGAGTTTTAAGCTTTTCCCAGCCCAAACCATGCTGTGATTCTCTGATTCTGTGTCAGCCCTGGCTGGTGACCAGGGAAGCCTTTCCCACTGCTGAATTGTGTCCCAGCTTTTCAGGCTTCTCCACACAAGTCACATCAGTGATTTCCAAGTGCTGAAACTCGGATGTGGTTGAAACAGCAGAAAGGGACAGGAATTGTGAGTATTTTGTCCCAGAATATGCTGAGCTGGGAGGGACTCACAAGGATCATCCAGTCCAACTCCTGGCCCTGCATAGAACTATCCCCAGGAGTCCCACCCTGTGCCCCAGGGGATCATCCAAACCCTCCTGGAGCTCTGGCAGCCTTGGGGCTGTGCCCACTGCCCTGGGGAGCCTGGTCAGTGCCAACCACCCTCTGGGGGAAGAACCTTTTCCTGAGATCCAACCTGACCCTGCCCTGGCACAACTCCAGCCATTCCCTGGGTGCTGTCCCTGGTCCCCACAGTGCCCAACCACCCTCTGGGAGAAGAACCTTTTCTGGTGCTGGGAACGTGCCAATCCACGTGCAGGGAGAAGCAGGGCAAGGTTACTCTGGCCACACTGGCTGGTACTCACGTCATTCCTGGGTGACTCAGCTTGGACAGGGTCTTCTGCAGCCAGGGCAATGCTGCTGAGGGCGATGACTATCAGGATGACCATCTCGAAGTAGCGCAGGTTGACGATGTAGTGGAAGAGCCGCCGAATCCTGCGGGCAAAACAAGCACAGGGGAGGTTTGGCACGGTGGGATGAGAGGCTGGCACGAGGACAGGGTCCCTCAGGAGCATGATCTTTAGGATTTCTGCTACAGTAAGGGTAATAAAATAAAAAACCATGAGCAATGGGTTTAAATTCTGCTTTGCAACAAATCTGCGGGGTGAGATTGAAAGTAAGATTTAAACATCCCTGCAGCGCTCTCTGCAAGGCAATGACCATTTATCTCTGTATTTATCTATTTATCTCTCTCCCCATCTGTCAAAAGGGAGCTTCCAAGCCTTGAGACTCGATTCTCCAAATTCCTCAGGAACACCACCTTTAGGATTCCTGTTACAGCAATGGTAATACAATAAAAAACACGAGCAACGGGTTTAAATTCCAGTTTGCAACAGAGCTGTGGTGAGATTTCAAGTCAGATGTAAACATCCCTGCACAGCTCTCTGCAAAGCAATGACATCTATTTATCTCTCTGTTTATCTCCCTATTTATCTCCCTATCTATTTATCTCTGTATTTATCTCCCTATCTATTTATCTATTTATCTCCCTATTTCTCTCTCTCCATCTGTCAAAAGGCCATTGAGAGCTTTCAAGCCTTCAGACTTGATTCTACAAATTATGTTTCTCTCCTCCCCCACCCTTCTCCCTCTGAACCCCCAGGTTAACGTCCTGCCAGTTCAAAACAAGGTTTGAAATCCTTTTAATATCAACTAATCCCTTTAAAATTGAGACACAGGCACTTGGAGACTCAGCTGAAACTGCCTTTGTAGCTGAGTATTATTCCTTCCACTCTCTCCCTTGCCAAGTATCTCTGCCTTCACTTTAAGATACCCTTTCTAAGCTGCACAAATACTTTACAGTAATATATTTGATTACTTTACCCTAATCTTTTTATTCACAAATGGTGCCCAAGAAAAGTGACAAATGCTTCAATCTCTGAGCAATCCGAAACTATTCACAAATTTCAGCTAATGGCTCTATCTGACCACAGTTCACAAATCCTTAACTGCACACAGAGCTCTACATTTGCACGATATTTGTCAGATGAATAAAGGACTTGGGTTCTGCCTGGGAATCAAATCCTATATTTAACTCCCCAACAACTTTATCTGAGAACGTCTTTCAGTTGCTACATCCCATTTTCTCTAAGCAAATATCTGAAGAGTCAGAATTAAAGTCTGTTTTTTTCACATCTACTTACACATTCCTTCTCTTTGGATTGCTAATGGATTCAGAATGAAAAAGAGCTACAAATACCGGGGAAACAGATTTGATAGAAAATAACGTGAAGAAAAGTGCTTTTGTGGATCCCTGAACTCTGGTTATCAACCCAACAGAGGAAGATTATCATCTGCATGTAGATTATCATCTACACGAATCCACAGGAGGGAAAGGCACCATTTTCAATAACATTTGTAGCCGTAATTCTTGCATCAAACCCAATCCATCAAAGAAATAACAAGGCCCTATTTTTAGATCTTCATCATTCATGACCAGCAGTGGGGCTCGAGAAATCACTTTGCATCCACGGCTGCTCGGAGAGGCTGGTGCCTCTTGGAAAGTCATGCAGTTTATTTATGCTTCCCTGAACTGTTTTGCCCCCTGGCAGCACCCAGGCCATGCAGCCCCAGCAGGGCTCGGATGGGAGATGTCAGCGTTAGAGTGAAGTGTCAGCCCCCGGAAAGCAGAAGGACCTCTCTGGAGAACTTAACACCAGCCAAAACACCTCAGGGCATCCAGCTGGGGCTGCATCTCGCCCAGAGCAGGAATAACAAGTTGCTGACATTCCTAGAGTTTGGTCTCTGTCTTGTGATTCCCCCTTGGCCCTGTGTTGTAACACGTTTTCTCTCCCGGTGAACTTGGGTTCTTTCAGTGGTCTTTTAGTGCAGCTTTTGGGGGAGAAAACTGCAGGGCAGCTGAAACAACACAGCACATCCTGGACTGGGGGGCTCAGGAGGTCAAAACTGTAGGGTGAGGTGAGAGGAGATCGGCAGATATATGGTACAAAAAATTCTTGCTGCTTCTCTGTCTGCCCAGCCCACACCTCAGACCCTTCTGGGCTCGGGACCATCTCACTTCCCACTCAGCAGCGCTGCCTTAGCAGGCATTTTGCAGCTGAAGCTCATTTTTGGTGGTCACTCCACAACAAAAAGGCTTGAGCTACCAAATATTAGGGAAATACTATGTCCTTATCCAGCCAGACAAGCTTCATAATCCTAATTTGGCTCCCCAGGGCAGTGGGCACAGCCCCAAGGCTGCCAGAGCTCCAGGAGGGTTTGGACAACGCTCTGAGGGACACGGGGGGGTTGTTGGGGTGTCTGTGCAGGGGCAGGGGTTGGATTGATGATCCTGGTGGGTCCCTCCAGCTCAGGATATTGTGTGATTCTATGATTTTATTCAGCCTGCCCAGTGTCCAGGGGGCCAGACCATGGCTTCCACCACAGATGCTTCTCTGACGTCACATCTGAGCTCGTTTTGTCCCACTGACGGCACAGACAGCCGGGGTGCCATGGTCCTGAGGAGCAGCAGGTGCAGGAGAACTCATTCTTCTCTCAAATCAAGCTGCCAAAAAAAGGCCTGAGTTCTCCTTTGGTATCTGAGCATAAACCTCAGGGAGAAACTCCAGGCTCTACACCGAGTCTACCTGAGCCGGAGGGCAACAACCACCTCTGCTCCCCGGAGATCTCCGGCTTGGCAGAAGCTTCAAACGCCCTAAAAATGACTCACAGCCCTTCATGCTATGATTATTACAACCCCTGCTGCTCCCCCCCGGTCCTGCAGCCCCCCAGAGTGACACAGGCAGTGTTTACAGGCCCTGAGCACAAAGCTCCCCACGAGGCAGAGCCGCCCGGAGCGGAAGGAATGCCAAAATCCCAACAGATCCCACCAGCTGCACCCTCAGCCTGGGCAGAGGAAAAACAGGCATGTTCTCCCACAGGTTCAGAGTTTGCACTGATGTGAAGGTACCAGGATGGAAAGAACAGGAATTCCAGCTGAGGAACCTGCAAGAATTTGCTGTCAAAACCAACCTCCCCAACGTGCTACTCCTGATACCTTTTCCCAGTGATAGCCCAAATTCCCACCCTTTAGTGATTTAGGTGAACAAACTCCCCATCTGTGGATCAGCAGGGTGGTTTGGATCTGCCTAAAGCATCCTCTTTCCCCAGTTTATTTATATTTATTTTTATATTTCCTTTTTATATTTATTTTTATTTCTGTTTCTTTTCCCCTGGCAGTTTATTCCCCAGGAAAGCCCAGCTGAACGGCAGCATCCAGCCCACAGATTTGATATTATTTAATATCCAAATGTGTTTGACCGGCAGAGATGGAGATAAAAGTGATGTGATTGCTCTGAATAACCAGTTCCTGTCAGCCAAAAGCAGAGTTAGAAGGACTTACGGGTTTGTGGGGCTCAGGATGAACATGGAGCTGTAAGGCAGGATTGGTTTAGGCCCATTTTTCGTCAGGTCATCGACGTCTTTCTTCTCCTCTGTTTTGCTTTCAAACTCCACGTTGTTCACTGAGATGAGAATTTGAGGGGAGAGAAAGGAGAGAGTTAAAATTGCATCCCCAGTGTCCCCACAGGAGGCTCTTGCAACAGCTGGATATGCAAACAGCGCAGCTGGGAGAGCAAACAGCCTTTGGATATGTTGATTAAACGTGATGAACAATCATTTGATTATTATCCCTGCTACTTACACACAGTTCTGCCCCACAACTGCTGTGCTGATGAGCAGTGGATCACAAGCAGGCAGGAAATGAAGCTGCTCAGTGCAGACACACAAAGAAACCAGGCACTTATTTATCCAAGAGCTGCCAAAGTGGGGATGGAAAACCCTTTTCAAACAGCACAGATTATTAGGGGGAGAGGATCAGCGAGGGATCCTTGGGAAGAGAACAAAAGGCAGGATGGCTGAGCAGCCTCCTAATCTTGTGTCTTCTGCCCTAGATCAGGAGCAAGGTTGGCTTTGGAGGGGGCAGAAGTGCAAATTCATAGATGAGATTTAATAATTTTGGGGCTAAAATTGCTGAACTTCCCAGTATTAGGAAAAGAGACCTGGAAGGGGCTTCCTGCAGCCCCTGATCTGTGCCTGCCTCGTGCAGCTCAGTTTTGTCAGAGCTGTGTAAAGGTGTCGAGCTCCACCTCCCATCAGACTTTTAACTTCTCCAAGATTGTTCCAAACCTCACTCCCAGGGGTTGGAAACTTTTCAATTTTCATCCTAAATTGACTTGCAGTGGGTTTGTAGGATAATTTACTGAAGATCATTTCCAATATATGAACTGAAACATGTTTTATTCTGCAAATACTCTTCTTAGGCAGATATTGAGACTCATCCATTAACTGCCAGAACCTGGAGTCCACAACCTCAACTCCCTTAGAATGTGCCAGGTGCAGGGCTTTTATCACTTTTTATTTTATTCTGCAAGGAAATGACAGTTCCTTGTGTGTGAGTGACATGTTCAATAAACTCCTTATTGTATCTCCAACCAGATAGTGAGGAAATGGGCAGGACAGATAAACTGTGATTGGCAGGAAGTCAGCATTGCAATATAGTAAAATTATTATTTAAGAGGAAAAAAAAAGGAGAAAGAAGAAGGAAAAAAAAAAAAAGTCTTGTGGTTGACAACACAGGGAAAAAGCTCACAGAGACCCTGCTTTTGGCTGTGCCTCTTGGAAAGCAGAGTCCTGACAGCCTGAAGGAGTTCAGGACCTCTTGGAGTTCACACTGCAATTTTCCTTGGCATCCCTACCCTCAAGAGTTCTCCAGGTTGTTCCTGCTCTGCCAGGGATCAGCCCCAAGCTGGTGGCTGGGGGGCTTCAGGGCACATCATGGGCACAATGGTCTTGGGACCATCTGGAGAACTAAATCTGCACTGACAGACCCAAGGCAAAGAGCTGTGGAGCAGGACAGGCTCAGTCAGAGGGGATCTGCTCAGACTGAGGTGCAGAGGGTTGCAGAAAGCTCAGGACTGGCCCAGCCTGCAGGAACCCGGAGCAGCGGGACCACCAAGGGTGCTGTGGTGGCTGTGAGGCCACAGGGACCTGCTGCTCCACAGTGAGTGAGCCAAGAGGTGGGAATCCATCCTGAGGGCCTGAATGCAACACCATCACCTCCCCTGGCCTTTGCTGAGGGGCCTGTGGCTGCTCAGCCCCCAGGATGCCAGAGGAACCACAGCCCCTCCCTGCTGGAGTAGGAGGCAAGGGATAAAGCAGAAGAGCTGCTCCTGTTCTCACCTCAGGCTGGGGCTGCTTTGCTGCACCAGCTGCTGATTTTCCTGCCCAGCCCTCAGTTACTACATTTTTCTGGTTTTCCTGCTCCTTCATCTTTCTCTTTTTCAGAACCAGGATGTGCTCTGGGGGAGCCATCTCCAGGGAACCTCACGGGGTGTTTTCCAGGAACCCATTTTTGGGTACCCGCAGGCTGCATGAAATGTGGATCCTGTATCAACAGGTTCTCCTGTCTGCCTCTGTGAGGATGCTGGTGGCTAGGAGAGCCACCAGATGACGCAGGAACCTATTTTTGGGTACCTGCAGGCTGCATGAATTGTAGAATTGCTGGTGGCCAGGAGAGCCACCAGGTGACCCAGGAACCCTCCTTGAGTTCTGCAGGCTGCCTGAATCGTAGATCCTCTATCAACAGGTTCACCTGTCTGCCTTTTGTGAGGATGCTGGTGGCCAGGAGAGCCACCAGGTGATCCAGGAACCCAGTTTTGGGTACCTGCAGGCTGCCTGAATAGTAGTTCCTGTATCAACAGGTTCTCCTGTCTGCCTTTTGTGAGGATGCTGGTGGCCAGGAGAGCCCCCACCTGACCCAGTGTGTGCTGCCCCCTCCTCGACAAGTTGGCTCTTCCCTGGCAATTCCCTGGCAGAAGAAGCCTGGAGAGCAAGGCACTCACTTGGTATGACAGTGGTCTCCCCCGGGGGGGCCGTGATGGTGACGGGGATGTTCACAGTGGTGGTTTTGTCCAGGGGGGGTTGGATCATCCTCGTCACGTTCTTCTGGTTGTCGGCGTCCTCGGGCTGCTCGGGCACCTTCTGCAGGTACGTGCTGGGCAGGGTGTGCACGGGGACACTCACACTGCCACTGGCCTCCAGCTCAACCTGGTTCTCCCTGAGGCAGAGGAGCAGGGGTTGGTAAATGTGGTAAAGAAGGATTCAGAGAACATGTGAATGTAACCCTGCACCTCTGTGACACCTCTGGGTTGGGGTTAGGGTTGGGGTTTCACCTCTGAAACCTCTGGGTTAGGGTTAGGGTTGGGGTTAGGGTTTAACCTCTGAAACCTCTGGGTTGGATTTAGGGTTGGGGTTAGGGTTTCATCTCTCTGAAAACTGTGAGTTGAGGTTAGGGTTGGGGTTAGGGTTGGGGTTACGTTGGGGTTAGGGTTGGGTTTAGGGTTGGGGTTAGGGTTTCACCTCTGAAACATCTGGGTTAGAGTTAGGGTTGGGGTTTCACCTCTGAAACCTCTGGATTAGGGTTAGGGTTGGGGTTAGAGTTTCACCTCTGTGAAACCTCTGGCTTGGGGTTAGGGTTGGGGTTAGGGATGGGTTTAGGGTTTCTCCTCTGTGAAACCTCTGGGTTAGGGTTGGGGTTAGGGTTGGGGTTAGGGTTGGGTTTAGGGTTTCACCTCTGAAATCTCTGGGTTAGGGTTAGAGTTGGGGTTTCACCTCTGGGTTTCACAGACTCTTCTCCTCATGGAAACCCTTTGCAGAAAAGCCACAGCCTGCAGGACACAATTCACTGATAGCACAGGACGGGCCCTTTCCCCCTGAGACCTCCTGGGCCAACATCCAAGCACAACATTAAACTGGACTGTGCCCTGAGTGTCCCTTTATTCTGTTTAATGAGCCCCATAACTGAGGTTCACAAGGCCCAAGTGGCCCTGGCATGGAGCGGTGACATTAACTCCCCACATCAGCTGGCTGCTGAATGAGGGCTGACATCCTGCTTCCTAATGCTCTCCTGAGGCCTTATTTAAACGTGGTGGTTCTCCCTGGCACTCCTGAACTGCTCTGTAACGTTGCTGTCAGCAGCTAAAGAGCTCCTGCTTTCCTCTGCAGCAGCAGCTCCACTCCAGTGAGCTGGAAAGGGAGCCTGTGCACACGAGCAAACTAAACAGCACGCAAAGTGTTTTGAAATTCATCTGAAAGCAAGATAATATAGACAGGAAAATTATTATCTCAGTGCCACTCACAGCTCTCCACGGTGACATGAACTCTATTCTAAAGAATCCCAGTGCAATTTCTTTTCCATTGGACTAATAGAGCTGAAAAGGCAATCTATCCTTCTTTATTAACTACTCCAAATGCTCCACCAGTGCTATTTTTCTCACTTGACTTACATAAGAATTAAACCAAATGGGAGACATCGTTGTTCTCGATGGAAGGAGCCACGTGCTGGAACAACTGGTGGTGCAGCTGACAGGGCTCAGCATTAAAAAAAGGGAATTTTAAAAAACGTCCCTCAGAAAGTTCTTTCAGAGGCTGTAAAATTCTCTGCTCTGTGTTATGTCCTAGAGGGTCTGTGGGTATTTGCATCAAGGATGTTTCCTTCCTTAAAACCTGGTTCCTATGGACAGAGATCAGCTTTGGGAGTAAAATAGGACTGCAGGTTATGGTGGAGGGTGGGGTGAGCACAAGGACCACAGGGAATGCCATGGGAAGGGGAATAAGGAATTTTCTGAAATACATTTGAGGTTTTGTGGCCCCTGAGCCATCCAAGGGGTGAGTCTGTCCTGTCCAACCTGGCCTTGGACACTTCCAGGGATGGAGCAGCCACAGTTTCTCTGGGCAACCTGTGCCAGGGCCTCCCCGCCCTCACTGTGAAAAAATACCTTCCCAAAATCCTATCTAGCCCTGCCCTCTGGCAGTGGGAAGCCATTCCCCCTTGTCCTGTCACTCCAGGCCCTTGTCCCAAGTCCCTCTCCAGTTCTCTTGGAGCCCCTTCAGGTCCTGCAAGGGCTCTCAGGTCTCCCTGGAGCCTTCTCTTCTCCAGGTGAACCCCCCCAGCTCTCCCAGCCTGGCTCCAGAGGGGCTCCAGCCCTTGGAGCATCTTTGTGGCCTCCTCTGGACTTGCTCCAACAGGTCCATGTCCTTCCTATGTTGGAGGCCCCAGAGTTGGACACAGGGCTCCAGGTGGGATCAGAGTAGTTCCCAAGGCGTGTATCCAAACGAAATCCACTTACTTGGGCTGGTGGTTCCGGTGCTCCTTCTCTCCCGCCTCCGCCTCCTTCTCCCCGTTCTCCTTCTCCACCGACTCGTACGTGGACAGGGCCCTGTTCCTGAGCCTGTGCCGCCTGTGGGGCTCCTCTCCGTTCTCCCCCTTGGGCTCCCCATCCCTGTTGCCGGAGCGGGACCCTCCGCGGTGCCGGGAGCGCCGCTCGCCGCGGGCGCCGTTGGCGGTGCCGTTGCCGTCCTTGCCCTGGCGCTCGGTGGAGTGCCGGTGCGTGCGGTGCCTGCGGTGCTCCTTCTCCCCCGACTCCTCCACCGAGCCCCGCCGGTGGTGCCTCTTCCCCCCTTCCTGCCCCCTGTTCCGCTCGCTCTTCCCTTCCTTGCTCCCGCCTTCCACCTCCTTGCTGCGGCTCCGGTGCTGCCGGTGCCGCTCCTCCTTGTTGGCGGCCGCGGTCTCCGCGCTCTCCTCCTTGGGCGCGTCGCCCTTCTCCTGCTCCGCCTGTTTCTCCTTGTCCCGGTGCCGGTGGTGCTTCCGCGGAGCTTCTGCCCCGTCGGCAGAGCCGCCCTTGGGGTGCTCCTGCACCTCCTGCACGTCCCCGGGGCTCAGCTTGTTGATGTTGTTCCTGCCTTCGCTCCGGGGCTCCACCACCAGCGGCCGGTCCAGGTGGGTCTTCATGTCCGGCCTGATGTGCAGGGTGGTGGCGTAACGGACCCGCTCCTCGGGGTCCAGCTCGTTGTACAGGGCCTCGCAGCTGGCTCGGAAGTTGTGCATCCGGATCTGGCTGGTCCTCTGCTCCCAGACCGACTTGGATTTGGAGGAGTTCTGCTGCTTGCTGAGGGGAAGGGAGGAAGGCGAAAAGTGAGTGTCTGAATTTACGCCGATTCCCTGAACAACAACCCAAAAAATTAAAAAGAAAAAAAAAAAAGAGAGAATTTTCAGCTGAGATGGGGAATTAGAGGGTCGAACCAAAGGAATTGTAGGAATGGAGAGAGAATGGCTGGCGGAGAACACGAGCAGGGAAAGCCAGCGGGATCACCGGGGTTAGTTTGCCCACACACACGTAAGGCACCCTGGGACCAGCCCTCTGGAAAGGAGTCCTCCTCATTTCTAAAACGTGGAAGCATCAGGTAGAGTCTGAAGGACTAAAGTGTCAGCACACAAATCACACACCCCAGCCAGAGCTTTGAAACAGCCCACAAAGCTTCCCACAAGTAACAGCACCTTTTCCCCATCTGGAAACATCGGGATGAGCAAATTAGTGATGAGCAAGAGCGGTTAGATTGGCAGCAGGAGTGAGGAGAAGTCATTGAAGTCCAACCCTTGGCCCTGCACAGACACCCCAACAATCCCACCCTGTCCCTCAGAGCATTGTCCAAACCCTCCTGGAGCTCTGGCAGCCTTGGGGCTGTGCCCACTGCCCTGGGGAGCCTGGGCAGTGCCAACCACCCTCTGGGGGAAGAGCCTTTTGCTGAGATCCAACCTGACCCTGCCCTGACACAGCTCCAGCCATTCCCTGGGTGCTGTCCCTGCTCACAGGGAGCAGAGATTAGAGCTGCCCCTCAGGAGGAGCTGCAGACCCCGGTGAGATCTGACCTCTGTCTCCTCTTCTCCAGCTGAACCTCCAAGTCACCTCTTCTGCTCCTCTTATGACCCCTCCAAACCCTTCACCATCTCTGTAGGCCAAGATGGAGATGAGATGGGAACACCTTTATCCCTGGAGACACCTGTCCTCTCTGTCTCTGTTATGGTGATACCTCCACTGGCATTGCCTTAATCCTTGGAAAGTGCCCTTCTGCTGAGTGGAGCCTTCAGTTTATCTGCAACCACCCAGTCCTCATGTTCCATCCTGTGCTCCTTTTCCATGGGACCACACAGGGGTGGGACACAAAGCCCTCAGTCTCCCTGCAGTGGCTCCCCAAAGTAAAACCCACAGGAAATCCTCAGGCAGCTCCCAAGGACACAGCCTGTCCATCAGTGCCCATCCAAGCCAAGCCATAAAGAAAATCTCCTAAATCAGACCGGGTGGAAGGAGGAAGGTTGAAGATGCCGGGCAGAGGAGACACTCAGACCCTGCCAGCTCTGACACAAGATGTGTCACTCCAGGGGGGTTTTTTAGTTGTGTTTCAGCTACACCCAGAACATAAATCAGCCTCGAAATTACCTCTGAGGTGCTAAACATTCCACTGTACATCACTTCTGGCTGACAGAACCTGCAGAAAGCACATATTAACAAAGCCTATTTGGCTAAAATCCCTTCCTGAAAACAGTCACTGTCATTACAGGCTGGAATTTCCCAGCATCCAGAAATGAGCTGCATCCTTAACGTTGACACGAGGAGCGGAGGCGACTGCCAAAAAGGCTCCAGCACCCCACCACCCGCTGGCTTTGGCTGCTAACAAGTGAAGAGCAGGAGGTTCAGAAGCAATGGCTGCATCCTTTCCTTGTTCTACAGGGAAAGACACTTAAAAAAAACCAACCAAAAACAAAAAAAAAAAACAAGTAGGAAATATATGAAGCGCAGCAAAAAATCCAATCAGGAAAAAGCGGAGCTGCCAGCGGGCTCGTTATCGTGTCCAACCCGGGGAGGAACATCGGTGCCAGGGCACATCAGACCTGCTGGAGGGAAGGGGAGCGAAGCATCCGAGCAGGCAGGTCCCTCTGGGGACAGCCTTTGGGGCTCTCGGAGCCAAAACAGCAGCAGCTGGAGGGAAAGTGTCCATCTGCCCGTCCGGCTGTGTCTCGGTTCTCCCCGAGTTCCCACAGCAACGATTCCCGGGGGCAGCTCCCCCTCTCCCGGTGCTCTGCTCCGCTCGGCCACACGGAGCTCCGGGGCTCATTTATGGCACAGCAGGAATGTCACCTTTAAAACTAAGCACGGGCGTTTCGTTCCGTGCTCCTCGTGAGGATGCGGGGCAGATACACCAAAATAAGGGATGGAAAACCAGCAAACAGGGCAATAATTATTTCCTCTGCTCCCCCCATCACTTAATTCTGCGTGAGCAGGGACAGACACAACCCATCTACAGCACAAACGAGGCATGACTTGCCCAAACTGGTAAAAAAATGAGCCTTTGTGATAACAAATATTTATTCCACAAGGAAAAAAAAAACTATTTATGGAGCCAACTCCTTATGTGAAACCTTGTTTTCTTCTTAAAATCCTTCTGATCCATTAAAAGAATTGCCCTGTAAATACCTTCTGACTTGCAGACATAGTGCAAACATTGTTGTTAATTCTTTTGCTTTACAATTCCTTCCCATCCATATTTTCTGTCTATAGAATATTCCTAATTCTTTTAAGGGTACTGGCATTATATTCAGTTTTCAGATCCTCTAGGCTTGAACTGTTGTAGTAGATAATGCTGCTAATTCCAACTCCACTGGTTTTGCTGGGATTAAGAAGCCAACAAACAACTCCTGCCCGTGGCTGGAAAGAAAACCACACAATTCATGTAGAATCAAATAAAATTCATATTAATGAATCAGTGACTCATGTTGGTATAAGGAAAAAAAGGCAGCCAGTCACTGTGTGGATGGTTCAGGAAAGGAAAGCCTATTTTTAGTCATATTCTAATCTTAGGGTACTCCTGAATGATTAAAGATTTTGTTACCATAACCTTTCCAACCATTGCTTCAGTTCATGGCAATCCTTAAAATTTTGCTTTAGTAAATAATGAATGAAAGCTGACTAGGAGGAACATAATAATTTGATGTTAAAAATACCTCCACATTAGACTGTGGGTACGAGAGAGTGTGTTCTGAGTACACATGAAAGGGAATTTCTTGTTAAAATACAGCTCCAACCAAAAAACCACGCAACAAAACCTTCCCCCTAAAATCTTATTTTCTGTTCATAAACTTGGAGTTCATAAACTCTCCACATTTCCATTTTCCACTTGGAAAACACAAGGAAACCTTTCAGTCTGGGGCAGGCAGCACAAAGCAGAGTGTTCTGTCTCTCTTGCATTCGATAAACTGATTTTCTTTCAGGTGAACTCACCACCAGTGGTTAAATTTGCTTTGCCAGTGACCCCAGGAATTGCTGCTTGGATGCTCCAGCACCTTTTCTTCCCCCTGAGCTCCCCCAGGAGATGCTCTGAGCTCTCCCACTGAGCTGCTGCCTCACACACACACCTCGGTCCTGCAGAAAACACTGCCCAGGCCCTTCCAATTTTTATTCTCAGATTTAATTTTGGGTTTATATGAGAGAATTTTTGATATAGCAGTTTCTTGGAAAGAAAACATTTTCTTCCATAATATTTCTCCCCATATTAGCTAAAAACTCTAAATTATTACTGTGGTCAAAGCCTAGACTGCCTGTAAATCACACCCTTACCTTCAGAAACTCGCCGCTGGAATTTGAGATGCCTTTCAGGCTGTCACATATGCCAATTTTTTGATCAACAAAGTTCACTAAATGCCACGTTTTGATTTTTTTCCCCCCAACATTATCATTAGTCTGTTATTTCTACTCATTTTCCCTGTTCTTTCAGACAATTTGGAGAGCTGCAGACACAGGGGGTGCTGAGCCACAGGGAATTGGTCTCAGCAGGAGGAGGAGGCTGAGATGTCCGAGGGGGATAATGCTGAGCATCTCTGGGGGGCTTTGAGGAGCAGCTGAGCTCCTGTGGCCAATGTGGAGCCTGAAAGTTCCTAAAATCACAGACTGGGTTGGGTTGGAAAGGACCTTAAAATCATCCAGTTCCACCCCTGCCATGGGCAGGGACACCTTCCACCAGCCCAGGTGGCTCCAAGCCCCATCCAACCTGCCCTTGGACACTTCCAGGGATCCAGGGGCAGCCACAGCTTCTCTGGGCAACCTGGGCCAGGGCCTCACTGCCCTCACAGCCAAGAATTCCTTCCCAATATCCCATCTATCCCTGCCCTCTGGCAGTGGGAAGCCATTCCCTGTGTCCTGTCCCTCCATCCCTTGTCCCCAGTCCCTCTCCAGCTCTCCTGGAGCCCCTTCAGGTCCTGCAAGGCGCTCTCAGCTCTCCCTGGAGCCTTCCTTTCTCCAGGTGATTCCCCCCAGCTCTCCCAGCCTGGCTCCAGAGGGGCTCCAGCCCTCTGACCATCTTGGTGCCTCCTCTGGACTTGCTCCAACAGCTCCACATCCTTCTTACATCGGAGGCCCCAGAGCTGGACACAGAACTCCAGGTGGGATCTGCCCCGAGCAGTTTCCAACGTATCAAACCAAAATCCAGGAGAGATCCAACACTTTGCTGCCACTCCCCTGAGGTGTCTGTGGCCCCAGTTTCCCCCAAGCATTAAAATAATGACACGATGCTGCTGCTGCTGCTGCTTTGGGGTTTGGCCACAGCCGAGCCCCTGGGTTTTGTGCAGCTCTGAAGGGATGCAAAGCTCAGCCATGTTAAAGGAGCCAAAATTTCACTGCTTCCTGCTGGAGTTTTTCACAGCAGAATGATTTCACTCAGCCACAACTCACCACCCTCCCCGCTGTTCCCCGTTGCTCTAATAATAAGAATTTCCTAATTGTTTTCAGTAAAAGTGCATCCCATAAAAATCTGACCAGGATCCGAAGAAAATGCCAGAAAATATTTCTTCTGTCTCAAGTTATGTTGGTGTCCTCAGACACCAGATCCTTCTTCAGCCCTCGAGGTTTGTCTGGTATTTCAGTTATGATTTGTGATCACATAATTTCAGGCTCGGTAATAAATAACGGGGTGAGAGAGTTAAAAGCAAAATAAAAAAAAAAAAAAAAAAGCAGAGTTAAAAGCCACATTGCTATGGCTTGATTTAACAAAAAACACACTGAGGTTAAATATGTGGAGCCATTAAGTTCTCCTAAACCCCAGGAAAATTATATTTACTTTAAATTATTGCTTTCCTCTTAAGTGATGAAGCCCCACTCTCCATTCTGGCCGTGACACTTCAATATCCCAGAGCAAAGTCCCCCCATAAACTCCAGGCTTTTGATAAAAACCAAGACAAAACACACCAGGGAATGGAGTCACAGCCCCTTTTTTGGCACTAAGAGGATGTGGAAATAAAGCCCAGACAGTGAATATAAAGAAGCAAGAGATAAAGATCAAGAATAATTTGGGTTCTTGGCTGGCAAATGACAAATTCGTCCTGGGAGAGGATATTTAAGGGTTTTCATTTCTCTCTGTGTGAGATCAGCCTGTCCACACTCGGGATGGTGCAGCAGGGACGTGATGTGGTGGTTGGGGTGGGAAAGAAGGAACTGGGGTGGGAAAGGAAACTAAGTTTTATTCTGGAAAAAAAATTGGCAGGTTCAGCACTTTTGGAAAAAAAAATCATCCCCACCTTGTGAAACACTGGCTTTCCCTTTATTTACCATCCTAGAAACTGCCTTAAGAACATGGAATTTGTCCTGTCTGACACCTCAGGATCTTGTTAGAAATGAACAATCAACAACAGCAACACAAAGAAGACCTCAGGTGAGTGAATGCACCAGTTGGGATTTCATCACCCCTTGCAATGTAAGGATTCACATGAAAATTCAACACCCCACAACTCCTAAATTCCCCACTACTGGAAGAACCCAACCCAATTATTCCCTTGGCTGTGTGTCATTGCCTATGTACATTTAAATTAGCTGCCAGTTTGTATTTTAGATAAATGCTGATCTACTTAAAGAAATAGAGCATATCTCTATTTAATGACCTTCTCTCAGTGAATGAAAAATGTATTTTGTACTTCTTGCCTTGCCTGTATCACGAATTTGTTGTAGCACGAAAGGCTGGGATTAGCACAAGAAAATGACTCACCTTGGTTTTAATTTATTGGTTTTTTAACACACTAGCTCAGGGATTTTATCTCTAATTTCTCACCAATTTAGAATTATTTTTTTTTTAAATAATCAAAGAAAGAACATGGAGAAAACCCAGCTCAAAAGGTTTTGGAATAAGCTTTGTTCTCTCAGAGCAGATGAGCGTGGCTTTGTAAATCCTGGTTCTTAGTGATATTAAAGGCACAGGGTATTTTATACTGTTCAAGCAAAGGAACAGGGAATTTTTTGCAAAGTTTTAAAAGCTCTTTTTGATTAGTAGATTACTGTCCCAGAAATGAGAGCACTTATATCTGTTCAGTGTAATTACAGCAAAGCACTCACAGTGGGTAGAACCAGAGGGATATAAAAGCACCCTAAACCTGTCCCAACATTCACCCAGGGAACGGGAATCCACAGCACCTGCCTGGCTCTGGGAGGGGTTTCTCCAGTTTATCTATTTGCATTTAAAATCAACCCCCCCCATTTCTAACCAGGTGAGTAAATAAACCTTCAGCTGAGTAAATAAACCTTCAGATGCCTTCACATCTCAGGGGGGGCTCTGCTGATGCCCTGTGATCTCTGGGACTTCATACATTGCACACTCTGGTGAGGTTCAGAGATTTATTTCATCCAAACAAGGGGGTTTGCTGGGGAAATGCTCTTTATTTCTCATTTAGAAAAAAAAAAAAAAAGCGCCCTCTCAGCTCCTCCATCAAAAGCAGCCCTGGTTTGCATAGGAAATTACAAATTATGGCCCAGACGGTGCAGAGAGATGGGAGAGAGGATGAGAAACCTCAGTGACAGCTCTTTGCAGTACAAATTGATTCTGTTCAGAGAACAGATGTGAGTCATATCAGCAAAAGCAGCGTCTATTATCCTGTCTCTGTGGCTGGTGGGGAGTTGGGAACAGACCCAAACCTCCTTCCAAGGGGGTTTTAGTACCTGCAGTTTGATTTTGTCACTTTATAAATGGCAGCTCTGCCTCTGGAAGTTTGGAAAAGGGGCCAAATTCTTTATTCTTTATTCTTAATTGGGAAAATATTGACTCAGACCGGTTTGGTGCAACTTCTACTGGAGCAAATCCAAGTGTTGGGGAGAGGGCAAGTCGGCAGCACCTCCCCTCCATCACCACCTTCAAACATTCCCCCTCCTCCTGCCAGGGTGGGAGACAAGGGGAAATTTCCCTCCCCTTTCCAAAGGGAAGGACACCTCTCTCTGCACCTTCCTGCCTGTCCAGACTCCCAGCAGCCAGGAAATGCATTGGAAGAAATGAATCCAAACCTGCCTTGGTCTGGTTTAATCCCCTCATTTTTCACTGTCCCAGCCCTGTGACACATCAAACCTCAGCACAGACGTATCAAACCTACTTTTGTTAGTCACAAAAGCTCAGTCTTGGTCACACAGAAGCCAAACTCGCAAGTATTTTTAATACAAACACCCCCAAGACACCCAGGAAAAAAGGAAGATGTCAGGAAGCTGGTGGGAAAGCTCCTTTGCTTCACCGTACCTTGGTCCCCGCTGGGGTACAAACCCCACACGGGCTGGAATTGCACTTACTTGTCTCTCCAAAAGCATTAAAGAAGAAAGACAACCTCACAGGGTAAGAGATAACCCAAAGCAGAGACACTCCCACGGGTCGATGAGAAGCTCACGAGGAGTTTTGTTGGATTAGTCAGATGAGAATAATGATATTTTCTACAAACCTGCAGCGGCGTCAAAGCGCCCCCTGATTGACAGCACAGCCAGCAAGATTGGTTTGTTAGGAAGCACAGGGAGTGAATGGAAGGTTTCCACTGTGTTTGCTCGACCTCAGGTCCATGGGAGTTGCCAAGTGCCTCATTTTTATAAAATCTGTAGCTTTAATTTCCAGCTCAAGAAGGTCAGAGTTCACAACCAGCTTCCCAGGGATGTCTATACAGAGTTTTCCAATTTAGTTTCACTTGGACCCCATTTCCAGGAGTTTCTTTGGAAGTCCTCCTCCAGCTTGCACTCAAAGAGTGCACTTTGGTTCTCCTACTGAGCCTGAGGTGCAAACACTGGTGGAACATCAAAGCCATCAGCCCAGTGCACAATAAACACAGAGAACAGAAGTACAAGTGAGAACGAGACAAACCATCAAACGAGGGCAGATGAGAAAGGAGGGGGAAAGAGTTAAGGAAGGAATGATGGAAATAATTAAGGAGATGAGAGAAAAATGAAGGAAAGAAGGGGAGGAAGAGTCACAGTCAATGGATGAAACACTACAGAGTTGCTCACGATCAAATCACAAGCATCATATGACAATGTTCCAGTCCTTCCACTGGATGTTGGTCTGGAGGTTTTCCACAATGATGGGAATGATTCTTGGAAAAAAACAAGGAGGGACCGAAGGCACCAGGAGAAAGGGAAGGAGGGTGGTTTATAAATACAGAGGTAGAAATGATAAATAATCCATTTAGTGAATATTGTAACAGAGAGCAACTCACGGTGAATTTACGCTGGAGACTGACGAGCTGCGAGATACAGTACCTCGAGTTTGCTTTACAAAACTGCACATGCAAAAACAAAACAAACAAAGAAAACAAAAAGTGAGAAAAGAAAAAAGGGGGGAGAAAAAAAAAACCAAAACCAACCAACAACAGAAAAGAAGAAGAAGAAGAAGAAGAAGAGCAGAGAAACCGTAACAGACATCGGGGAGGAGGCTCGTACAGGCCGTGTCCGACGGGATGCAGACGTGCACCTCGGGAGGAGACCAGGCAAGCTTCACAAAGTGTGGGAGTCACAGACACACCACCCTCTGGGCGAGGGGAGACAACCAAAGAATCAAAAAACGGAACCAAAGTTGGGGGGGGGGGGGTAAAGAAATTAAAAGGTGAACCGAAAGCCAGAGGATGATGTGGGGCCGTGGTGCCTCCGTGTGCCATACTCACGGCGTGGAGTCCTCCGGGGAGTCATCGCCGGGGCCTCGGGGAGAGGCCTTGGTAGGACCAGGTGGGGACTGCTTTTACAGCTGTGCTGCAAAGAGTTCTTTCCAAGTGGGAGCAAGATGCTAATTCCTGCTCCAGCCCTGGGGCATCAGGAGGAAGCTTAACACGGAGAACATGGGCTGGGGAGAGGACCCGGGGCCACATCCCAGCTCCAAAATCCACCTGAGCTCCAGCAGGAAGCTTCTCCTCAGTCCCTGCCTCAGATGTGCTCTTCAGAGGCACCTACCTCTCTCCTGTGACGGGGACAGGGATGTGCCTGGGCTCAGACTGGCCAAATATGGGTCACTGGGTCTAAAAACCTCAGCTCTGCTGCGGCTTCATCAGGGCAAGCCCAGAATAGAAAGGAGCTTCTTTCAGTTCACAAGTTATTTTGTGGATTCTCCTCCATCCAGTGTTTATCTAAACATCATAAATGTGGGGGGTTCTAAACATGGAAATCACTGAATTACACAGAAAAAGAGTTTATTCTGCCTCTGGCAGGGAATCTACAGAAAAGCAGGATAGATCTTGAATGAGGCATTAATTTTTTCCTAGTTATAAAAGACAATTTTGATCAATCTACATCATTCAGAGAAACTGTCCCCAAGACTGAAAATGAAATCCCTTCACCTCCTGGGTTTGCCTTTCCAGCTGCAGCATTTTCTCTCCTGCTTCCATGAGAGTTTTAATCTGTTAACAATCAATACCAGCAAACCAGAAGGTCAATTAAAGTCTAATGTCCTTTGGATATCATATAAGCAGAGTTTTTAATATACATTCATTACAATTAATGGATTATTCTAAACAGAAATGTTGGCCCGGGTTATATATATATAACACAAAATCCAGAAGTTCAGAACCCTGGCATGAATATAAGAGAAATTATGAAAGGCATCATAAAAGTTTGGCTTGAAGCAAACAATCTGCTGAAACAGGTAAAATATGCTACCTAAGCTTCAGTATTTCTACATTTTTATTGTGCCAAATGAAATAGGAGTCAAAGTGGAGTTGGCATGCCCTGCTTGCTTGCCAAGAAAATGATTGTTTCCAGGTTGCTCAAGCTGGGGATCTTTTTACTCCTTGGCCGGAGGCTGAACCCCCAGGATGTCAGGGAAACCCTGCAGAGAACAAGCACTAATGGCCTCGAGCACAACTAAGACATTTCTCTGGCAAAACAGGTGGAAAAACTCAGGATGGAGGAGAATGGGCTGGGCTGCCCTCATTTGCCTGAAGTCAGCACCAAGTCTGGTGCAACACCTGTGGCAATTTTGGGTTGAACTGCTGAGAGGGATCTCCACATCCCTCAGCAGGAGGCTGGGATGATCCGGGGGGTTTATCCCAGCCTTGGTTGGGGCAGTGCAGGGTGAAGGCCACGCTCTCCTCCTGCCAAGTCTCCTTGTCACCCAGCCAGCCCCTGTTACACAAGCCCTGCAGCTCTCCAGGTTCACTCCTCTGCTGCCACTGCTGCTTTTTTGTAACCAGAAATTTGAGTGAATTCGTGCTGGGTGAAAAACCACAAAGCAAAGCCACCTCCTTCTCCAAAGCACAGTACTTGAGTTCCACTGGATGCTACTTACCACCCCCGAGGGACAGGGCACAGAGAGGGTCTCTGGGTGGAGCTCAGTCACTGGCACACCACCAGCAAGGACAAAAAGGTAAATCTAACAGGAGGAATCACAGGACCCCACACACCAACACACTCCAAGGGGGAAAAGAAAAGGGAAGAAAGCACGAGCCAGCAAGAGATAAAGAACAACTCTTCTAGTCTACACATCCCCCAGCACAGCAGGGACACGGGCTGGGTGTTCACACACGCTCCTTGCTGGGTCCTTGTTGGGCACCCACAGCCCAACAGAGGTGTGGGAACAGACCACAGTGTTCCCAAGACAGGGGGGAAAATATGAAGCCTCTGAGATGGAAAATGTCCTGGAGGAACAGAGCAATTCCCCCTCCCTCCCCTCCGCCCCCAGACCGGTACAAAAGGGACAGGCAGCTCTGAGAAGTCACAGGGAAGGGTTGGGCCACCTCTCTTTGCTCTTGGAGCTTCTCTCCTGGCTTTTCTAACTTGCTGTGGGGCTGCAATTAAAGTGTCAACTGCTCTGAACAACTCTGTGAGGGACCAGCAGAAACCAGTCAGAGCCTGGAGATGAAGAGCTCGTTGGAGGCTGGCAGGTTGTCCTGGGAAGCACAGATAACTCGGGAAAATGGCACCAGGTAATTCCACAGCAGTTGGTTTTGGTGCCCACATCCATGAGGTCTCTCTCACTGTCCACCACATTTCCTCCACCACATCTGGGAAGTTCTCCTCCCATCCAAAACTCACCCCCTCCATACCTGTGATTGAATAATTTCCCCGGGTCTGGCTACAACTGTAACCGTGTTTTTAATTCCATGTGGAATTAAAAAAAACAAACCCGAACCAAAGTCACAGAATGCAAAAGGTTTCACTCGGTGTGACTTCACACAACTACCTACAGACTCCTACAAATTTAGGATTGCTAAAAAAACTTGCTATTTTAAGACTTTTCCCAAGAAAAGGTGAAGAGAGGCCACTGGAAAATCCAGTGGCTCTGGGTGCCAGGGAAGCCACAGCTCGTGTCCCTCTGGCTGGTCTGGCTGGGCCAGGGGTGCTCATCTCAGCCCCTTTTGTACGTGCCATTGGTGCATCTCTGGCTGGCATAGAAAAGGTGGAGGAGGAACCCAAACACAGGGAATTAAGGCATCAGGTTGATCAAAAACAGGGAATAAAAGGTATGTTTGCACTGGGGGCTCTGCGAGCCTGATGGCTCTTCCTTCCACTTTCCAGTGGCACCACAAAGTTCTTTGCCTTCTAATCATCCCCTTTTCCCCCCTCCTCCATTCTGACCACCCAGGAGCTGCACCAATGGTTTGCTTCAAAGACCCCTTGGTCTGTACAGTGGCTCAGTTCCAGAGGCTGAGGGGTCTCAATGTTGTAGGACACAGAGGGGCTTCAACACAACGCTGGGCAAACTGAACGACCCCAAAAACTCACCTCCAGAAACAACAAAGCAAGGAAAACGCTAAACAGAAAACACAGACAAAAAAAAAAAATCACAGAAATAAGAATGGAACAATGGGCTCAAATTAAACACATATTTTCAAGCAAACGTTGCAACAATGACAAAAGCAACGTGTACCACCTAAAGGTTTTAAACCTGGAAAGCCACAAAATTAAAGGGGCCCTTCGGGGTAGAGTTCACCGGGTGAAGAGACAAACTGTGGTCAGGCAAATCCATCACCCTGTGGTGGAGCAGGAGGCAAACCATAGGAATCCTGGAATGAAGGAGCTACAAACAAGTGCAGAGTGTTGTAAGGGAGCCCTGTGAGGCAGATGTGAGACTGATGATGCCTCGACACCACTGCAGTGATGAGCATGTTATTAAAAGAGATCCCCAGGACATCCATCAGTCACAAAACAATCCGTGGCTCACACAGCAGTGGGAAGGTGAAGGTGCCTCTTCAGACCCTCCAAGCTGACACACTAAATAAGCAACCAGGTTTTCATGCTTAGGAAAGGATGTTTTGCAGCCAACGCAAGAGAGTGAAGATTTTTTGGAGGTCAGTTGTGAAAGGAGGCTGGAATGGCAGAGGAGAGAAGAGGGCACAGCCTTGAGCTGCCCCAGGGCAGGGTTAGGTTGGCCATTGGGCAGAAGTTGTTTGCAGAGAGAGGGATCAGCCCTTGGAATGGGCTGCCCAGGGAGGGGGTGGAGTCCCCGTCCCTGGAGGGGTTTGAGCAGAGCCTGGATGTGGCATCAGTGCCATGGTCTGGGTGACAAGGTGGGGTTGGGTCACAGGTTGGACTCCATGATCTCAGAGGTCTTTTCCAACCTGGTCGATTCTGGGATTCTGTGTAATTGGTGCAGGGAAACTGCAGGCACGGGAAAACCAGAAGTGGAAGAGCAGACAGAGAATCACAGGATATTGGGAGTCTGAAGGACCCACAGGGACCAGCAGGTCCAGCTGAAACTGGGATCAAAGCCACGAGCTGGGTGTAGTGATAGCACTGAGCTGATCTCAGGGTCACCACAGAGGGTGGAAAGGCCTGGAAGGAGCTTCTGGGGAGATCCACACCCTCAGTCCTTGATGCAGGACTGACAAGGGAAAGGAATCAAACAGCCAGCACAGCACCTCAGCACTGAACCAGCACAACAGCCAGGAGGACTCTTCCCCAGGCTCAGCCCAGGGACAGCTTTGTCACCTCTGTGGGAGGTGGACAAGCACACCAGGGACATGAACATCGTGACTGAGGGAATGCAAGTCACGGTGCCCTCTGCTAACAAACACCACTTTGACTCATGCAGGTGGAGAAAATGCTGATTTTTTTCAGAACATCCATCCATGCTACAGATGCCTGCCATGGATGAATTCGTTTTCATCTGAAAAGAAAATCAAATTGTAGAACTAAGAAATGATTCCTCAGGAGAAAATAAAAATACAAACTGATTGGGTGGAGCCACCTTGGCAGGAGGCCTTTGGGAGCTCAATCCCAGTTTTCCCAGTCCTTGTTCACCACCCACTTGGTTCTACAGGTGTTTGTTTCTCACTTCTTTGTGCCCAAGCTCTGCTTTTGTGGTGCTATTTCCATACACCAAAAATCCCATTTTCAAGCAGTTTTTCACTCTTGGCATGTCCAGCTCTGGATCTGATCCCACAAGACTTGCCATGGACACGGGATCTGCTCCATCTTCAGGATCACTGAGCAGTTTAAGAGCATAAAAAGTGAAGTGATGGGGTAATTTGTGTCACCACTGGACACAGATATCCAAGGGAAAGGTGCTTCAAACCTGAAAGCTCCCTTTGGAGTCCACAGTGGATGAATTTATGTATAAAACAAATTGCTTTGACATGGATTCATTAGATGTCTTATGGACCAAGAGCCAGCAGTCCATCCAGGCACTTCTTTCTGTCTCACAAATCTTCTCCCTTGCCTTTTCCTCTACGTCATCATCCATTTGAGCGTCACCTTATTGAACTTAATGCCATTTTTTTGTCCAAATTAAAGCCCTGTGAGATTTGAGAGAGGCCCTGGGAGCATCTCACTGGTCCTACAGCAGAGCCAAGAGGAAATCCCAGGATGAGGGTAAGGAGGTGTGGGAATGATTGACTTTCAACTGTGCTCACTGAATGCTCCCACAAATGTGGGGTCTGGGCAGATCCAACTTGAGGCAAAATAAGCAGAAATCCATATTTTTGTCTTCACTTTGAATTGCTGTCACAAAACTGGCCCTGTGCTACTGAAAACCAGGTGAAAAAATCATGGAATAAAGTGATTCTAAGCAATTTAAAAGTGTGGTGTGAGACCTTCACTCCATTAAAGTGGGTTGGTTTTTTCTGCTGATTTCTAAGAAATCTTCACATTGATTAAGGAAGAAGAAAATATTCATCATCACCTCACATTTTAAAATAAGAGGACCAAGAAATTAATCAAAGAACAAGAGCAACTGTCCTCATTTGGCTTCTCTTCAAGACTGGACAGGAAAGCATTGTAAGGAACAGATTATATTTAAAACCAACAAACAGACACAGCATAAAGAGGAGCTGATTAAAGCAGAAATGGCAAATTAAAATGGCAAGAAGAATAAAATAGCCAAATTAATAATAATCTTTCCCTTCACATATAACAGACTGGCTCCATTTGGCCCATTGTCTTTGATGAAGTGGATTAAACTCCCAATAACGAGGGTCTCAAGAGCTTTGCACTGAAAGAACAAGGAGGGATCCGGGTGCATTCCAGAGATTTGGCAACAAAATCGAACAGGAAATTTCTATTTTAACTCCTGAGCTTCCCCAGCCCTTGGAGGTCTCCCCTATAAAAAGGGTCTGGAAAACATCAGCAGCTCTCAGTAAAAATATAAAAGTCAAATATCTTGGTGCTGGTTGCCCTGATGTTAAAATTCCAGAAGAGTTCAGTGAGCTTTTCAGAAGAACATGTTTTTCAGTAAATCCTTGCGAGGTGTCACAGAATGGAATCCCAGGATGGTTTGGGTTGGAAGGGAACTTAAACCTCATCCAGTTCCACCCCCTGCCCTGGGCAGGGACATCTTCCACTAGCCCAGGTTGCTCCAAGCCCTGTCCAACCTGGCCTTGGACACTTGCAGGTTGGCACATCCCAAGCACAGGCAGAACTGACCTCACCAACACCTGGACAAGTATTCCCACCTACAGATCATCATATCTTCACTTCAGTTAGATCAGGATCCGTGGAAAGGTGGTGCCCAAAGCAATATTTTCCAGGGATTCTGGAGTCACAGAACTCGTGCAGATGTTCTCATCCATAAAATGCAAATTGTTGTTTCCGTCTACAAACCAGTGACTGTTCACATACGTGGTTTTATTCACCTCAGAACTCTTTCAAATGGCAAAGAAAAAAGAGCTTTCAAGCATATTTCTCAGGCTGATATCGAAGAGGAGGCTTTTACATTTAAATTCTCATACATTGTGAAAGAATAGTTAATACATTCCGTGCTCACATTCCTCTGGTCATTAAAAACCCAAAGTGCCACATTAACACTTCACCTGGTGAAATCTATCCTAGGACAGCTTAAAAAAAAAAAAAAAGAGATCCTTCTAAAATACAGTTATGTAGAGCAAGGCAAAAGATGAGGCATTACAAAAGAAACCCCACCAAATGAAAGAAACCCTTAATTAAATTCACGGTTAAGTGATCAGCACTGAATATTCAGCCAACCTAAAGCCCTGCCAGGAACAGAGATGGTCTAGAAGTGCTCACAGAGTACCATGGGATGCTCCAGTGGAACAGACACACAGTGACACAGAAAAACAGACCCCAGGTGGTTCCAGTTCCCAAAGAAGCAAGGAGTGCTTACGCTGCTATGGAAATGTTGGCTGCAGACATGGGGCTCACTTCGGCCACTTCCTTGGCCTTCTGCAGGGCCAGCTTCTGGTTGGTGGCTTCCTCCATCTCCTCCTCGTCCTGGGGGGGGAAATCAAGAGAAATCAGAGCACACAACAAGCCCCAGAGCTCCCCAAGGCATGGCTGGTGTGGGACTGTCACTGCTGTGCTGGGGGAGCGGGGGGAACTCACAACACGGGGCAGGTTTTTGTATCTCCCTGCAAGGACCCCCGGGCAGGGTCTTGGTGTGAGCTGAGAGGAGAAATGAGAGGTTTGGTCGAGTTCTCTGTGCATTTTCACCAGGAGCACGTGTCCCTCACAGAGCTTTGGTGCCTCTCTGGGGTCTCCTCTCACCCCTGAGCACTGGGCAAAGAGAGCAGGGAGAGCCCTGAGCTGACTGGGAGAGAGGGGGATGAGGAGCATGGCCTGAGACACAGGAACGTTTGTCAGACTCCTGAGAGCACAGTCTGGGCTGGATATTGGATGTCAGGAAACACTCTCCAGGCAGAGCTGGGAGCTGGAGCCACTCCTGCAGCTCCACAGAGGGAAAGACAAGCTGGGACAGACAAACTCAGCCACACCAGGGATGTGGATTTTGACCACGAGTGGGACATTTCTGGGGTGCTCTGAGCCCTCTTCACCCCAGCCCTGTGTGTGTAAAACCACCCTGAAGCCACGTCCTGCTGAAAGGCAGGAGAGAGGCTCCTAAATCCTCCCTGACTTCTTGCCAGTGGGTGACTTTTCTGAAAGAATAAAGCCAATAAAACCCAATGGGTTTGACCGGTCCCAGCAGTTTTCGCCCAGATATTTCCACTCAGATGAATCACTGAGGACTCAGAGGGTGAAAACAAAAAGGCACAGTATTAAATATGGTCTGTAGACTCAGGCATAGAGCAAAAGAGGGTTCTGTCCGTGATTTCTGCACACCATGAGGATTTTAAAGCTCTGCTGGCACAGCAAGGGCCTGCAGAGTGTAATTGGGATTTATTTCCTCCTACCCAACACGAGAAGCACCACTCAGGTTCAAACCACAGGACCTCAAACAATGAGATGAGGGCAAAAAACAAAGTGCCTGGTTCATCATCAGTGGTCCTGCAGGGTGAACAGCCCTGAGACTTTCCAGCCAGCCAAATTAATATTAAAATCATGTCAGGAAGAGCACAGGAGCTCTGATGGCAACGTCAGCATCACACACAGCCAGGGAATAACCACATGTCACAGGCTCTTCTGTCAAACTTTATGAAAGGCCACAGGTCTCTCCCTCTCTGCCCTTCAACAGCAATGCTGTGAGGGAGTTAATCTTCAGATAACAAGAGCAGGCAGCAAGACATCCAGCTTTGAAATGGGAAATCAGAGATTTATCCACCCCCAATTCCGTCTGCATCAACAGCCCCTTGCTCTGACTTTGGTGTTGTTTCAACTGGGCTCATTTTGAAACTGTTTTCTCCTTTAGAAGTAAAACAGAAAAGGTGGAAAATTAAGGGGAAAAAAATTATTAGCATATAAGATTTTTCTCTTTTTTTTTTTTCCTTTTTCAAATGTTAGCAAATACAACAAGGCAATTCTTAGTGCAGTGAATGAAGGACTTGAGCCAGGCCATGAAAAAAGGACCTGCTGAGCAATTACACAAGGTCAATATTTCTCAGGTGCCAAATTGCAGTACATTTATCACTGGTTTGGAGGCTGGTTGGAGAGCCAGGGGGGTTCATGGTTTAACCCTGGCCAGCAGCTGCTCACTCACACCCACCCTGGTGGGATGGGGGAGAAAGTCAGAGGAGTATAAGTAATGAAATTCATGGATTGAGATAAAGACAATTTAATAGGGAGAGTAAAAGCCATGAAGACAAGCAAAGAAAGGAATTAAATCCCATTTCCCATCGCAGGCAGCCCTGTGATCACATCCCTGAGCCCTGCCCAGGACATCAGGGCTCCATCACATGCAACAGTGACTGGGAAGGACAAACTCCAGCCCTCCAAAGATCCCTCCTTTCCTCCTTCTCCCCCAGCTTTATGTGCTGAGCATAAACCCATATATTCTGGAACATCCCATGGGTCAGCTGGATCAGTTTTGTCCTCCCAAATCCTTGTGCACCCCCAACCTCCCCCCCTGGGCTCTGTAAATGCTGCTCAGCACTAATAAAACATCCCTGGGTCCGACACCATTTCCAGCCCAAATCCAAATCCCAGCCATCAGCTACTGTGATAAAAATTAACTCTACCCCATCCTAGCCCATCACAAACCTGCAGAATATAAGATTTTTTAATGAGTAAAACCCCAATTAAAAGGCTTTTAAGGATTTCCTTTTGCCCCCCAGGCATGTTCAAGTTGTTTCCTCTCTTGAGGAATCTCCGACAGCCTTAAAATCAAAGGCTCTTTTTTTCTTTCTTTCCACCAAGAGCACCAGGTGCAGTTTTTAAAATGGCTTTAAAATGTGTAGCTTCTGCTCTATCCCCCCTGGTGCCTCAGGAATTCTGCTGGAATCCACATTGTGAGGAACCAGCAAAAAATACCCATTGTGTTGTTGTAAATTCAGCCATCCCTAACTCAGAACGAGCCCACTCTTTAGCAGATATTTAATGATATTATTTAATAATAATACTATTTAGAGTATTTAAAAGATTAATATTTATTTAGCAGACTATTTAATAATATTTCTGTAGCTCCTCCCATAGAGAAATTGCAGATCACTCCAAAAATTAATTAATTTTTTGCCTGATATTTGACCTGAGAGGTCTCACTGGAGCTCTGATGGCAACGTCCATCCATCCATCCATCCACCCATCCATCCATCCATCCATCCATCCATCCACCCATCCCACCTCCAGCACCAGCCCAGCCTGTCACCCTCATCCCACATAAAGTGCACATAAAGGTCTTCCCTGTAAGGACATCCCTCTTTTATGATTCCTTTCTGTTTTCTAGAGCCCTAAATCTTAATTTAAACCAGTTTACCACAGGGCAAACCCCATTTTTGGAGCTAATCACGATGATAGAGATCATTAACACTGCCTGTTCTTTAATAAGTTCACCAATTAAAGCCCTCACTGTTGGGGGGGAGGAGGAGGAGGAGGAGGAGGAGGATCCATGGATGTTCAGCTCTTGGTTTGGCTGCTCCAGGATATTATTTCTGGGAATTTCTCAACACTTTCATACACTTTTATGTCAAATTCACACATCCCTCCTACTCCCCCATTCCATGGTTTTATCCTGGTTTCTCAGGGATCACTGAGATCAAAAATAACCACTTTGTGCTTTTAAGATGTTTAGGAAAATAAAGGGTCAGTTTTGGTGGCTTTACACTCAAGTTTGATGAGGATGAAGGAACTGCTTTACCTCAATCCATGAATTTATCTCAGTCCATAAGTGACAAAATTAATGGACTGAGATAAAGACACTTCAATAGGGAAAGTACAAGCCATGAAGACAAGCAAAGAAAGGAATTAAAGGTGGGATGGTCAGGGGAGAGAAGATTTTAAAAGCAAATTCGGGGGGCAATTGTAGATTCCATCTCAATAAGTGAACAGGGAGAAAAAACTGCCAATATTTGGGGAAAAATAGAGGGTAGAGAACCCAGAGGCATTTAGAAGAGTTCCCAGAAATCACTAGAAATTGGGTTGGCAGAGTTTGAGTCAGTGGGAAGGGAAGAAAAGGGCAGCACAGAAGAGGAGGGGAGAGAGCAGGTTCTTTATAGATTGAAAACAAAGGTGATTCTTTTTTATCCCCTCCTTTTTATGAGTCATTCCTAAGCTCTGGTGAGTTTTGTAACACGCACTGGATGACCAAGCTTAAGTTAAATATAGTTCCAATTCCAAGAATTCCTTTACAGGTCACAAGGCCCAGGTAAGAAATGGTCACAATGCCACGCTAAATAAATCCCCATTATCATCCCAAAGTGGAAATCTCGGCTGAAATGTTCAGTCCTGAGGCTGGAAAGCTTTGTGTCTTCCCAAAACAGAGGCAGTTGCCAACTGCTCCTGGTTTGCCCACATTATGTGCAGCACTGATCTCCATTTACAGCATAAATGTCAAAAAAGTCCCCCGAGACCAACAGACTCCTGAGTAACTTAATTGTATCTCTGGGCCATTTTTTGCTTTTGCATGATCATATTTACTTAGCAGGAAATCCCTCATTCTCCAGGTATGTGTATAATTGAATTACTTTTCTCTTTTTCCTCTTCTTTTGCAAACCCTGGTGATTATTTATTTTTTTTTTTTAGGATCGTAAATAAAATTAAGCAAAAAAAAAAAAAAAGAGAGTTTCTCAAGAAGCTTTCTGCTTTGGCCATGCTGCTGAATCCATCAATATTTAATTATACTTTATAAACATCAACAAAGTCAGGTTTTTAAGTGGCCCTGTCAGCTGCTGAAATATTCACAAGAAAGCACTTAAAGGATTAAGAAAGAAGCAGGATGAGCTTCATTATCCAAGAATTGTGCCAGGCCTGCTCCTCTCTCTTAGCACATGCAAGGGATTCCCATAAATCTGGGAGGATCTGTGCCTCCAGGCTGGAGATTTCTGGGAGTGTTAGAAAGAATAGAAACAGCTGAGCTGCTAAAAAAGGGAAAAAATTCCCAGGAAAAATAAACCAAAGAGCCATTAAATGCAGGCCTGAGCTGATTGGGAGAGAGGGGGATGAGGAGCATGGCCTGAGACACAGGAACGTTTGTCAGACTCCTGAGAGCACAGTCTGGGCTGGATATTGGATGTCAGGAAACACTCTCCAGGCAGAGCTGGGAGCTGGAGCCACTCCTGCAGCTCCACAGAGGGAAAGACAAGCTGGGACAGACAAACTCAGCCACACCAGGGATGTGGATTCTGACTGGGGGGTGGGAAACACTGAGAAATCTGTGTGTGCCTGAGGTGTATCCATAGAACCATGGAGGCTGGAAAACACTCCAGGATCATCAAGTCAACCCAGCACTGCCAGATCCACCACTAATCCATGTCCAGAGAAGGGCAACGAGGCTGGGGAAGGGTGTGGAGCACAAGTGCTGTGAGGAGAGGCTGAGGGAGCTGGGGGGGCTCAGCCTGGACAGGAGGAGGCTCAGGGGAGACCTTCTCACTCTCTGCAACTCCCTGTCAGGAGGGGGGAGCCGGGGGGGGTCGGGCTCTGCTGCCAGGAACCAGCAGCAGGACAAGAGGGCAGAGCCTTGAGCTGCCCCAGGGCAGGTTTAGGTTGGCCATTGGGCAGAAGTTGTTTGCAGAGAGAGGGATCAGCCCTTGGAATGGGCTGCCCAGGGAGGGGGGGGAGTCCCCGTCCCTGGAGGGGTTTGAGCAGAGCCTGGATGTGGCATCAGTGCCATGGTCTGGGTGACAAGGTGGGGTTGGGTCACAGGTTGGACTCCATGATCTCGGAGGTCTTTTCCAGCCTGGTCGATTCTGTGATTGATTCAGCACCACATCCACACCTTTTTGAACACTTCCATTGAATCATAGAATGGTTGGGGTTGGAAAGGACCTTAAAGGGACCTTAAAGACCATCTCATTCCACACCCTGCCCTGGGCAGGGACACCTTCCACTATCCCTGGTTGCTCCAACCTGGCCTTGGACACTTCCAGGGATGGGGAATGAACTCCTGCACCTTCCTACAACTCCAACAAGAGAAAACATCCTTGCCCACTGCAGCAGCACATGGTTGATGACCTTCTTCTACTGCAAAGAACAGAGAAATCCTGTAAAACACAAGCCCTGAGGTGCTTGTGGTGCTGCTTTTGCCCCTGTGACTGATGCCAAGGGCAGTGTTACCAAACAAGGTATGATTCTTTAAGAAAGAGTCTCTGCAGCAGTGGGAGATGTTGGGAAATTCCTTTACCAACAGTGTGTGGTCCCTCTCTCTGTGGTTGATGCTTGGGTTTGTACCACACAGGTACAATGCCAGAGATCAGGGTGGCCTTGGGGTAGCTCCCTAAATCCATGACCGGTAAGTCTTGTGCCAGCTACTATTTTCATTATTTACTTATATTAGTGATTAATATGTCCTGGGAGGTGTCTTAGTTTTGAGAACATCGATGGAGTGTTGGAGCAAAGAATGATTAAAGAAGTGCAGCATGACCTGAGCACATATTCGAGATACTCCCATGGAAAGGAGATCCATCAGAAGATCCAGGAGCATAAAAGGGAATTTTGGGGAATGGGATGTACCCAAATGACCACCAAAGCCCCTGGAAAGACCCCTATTGGTATCCAAAAAAGTTCACTGAAATAATTAGCATATATTCAGGTATTAATGAAATATAATTAACATGCAATATAAATGTGATGAGTATGTATTACTACCATGGATATAACCTGGGCTGGGGGGTTACTGCTCGTGAAAGCTTTGAGGAATAATCCCCCTGCATCCAGCACTGCAATAGAGTATTTTTGGCTTTCTAACCCCAAAAAAAAAGCTGGTTGCAGAGTTTATTTCCCAGGTTTCAGCGGCAGCAGCAGCACAGCAATGGGGGTTCATGGTTTTATCAGTGAGAACAAACTGGAAATGTGCAAAATGTGCAAAAAAACTCCCTCATGCTGCTCATAAACATGTCTGAGTGTGGTACAATGGCAAACCCAAAGTATGTAATAATACAAATGTCAGGGGCAGTGCACTTGAAATGCTTCTTGTGCAATCCTGAGGCTGCCAGTTTTTCTCCATAGGGAATGCTCCAATAGAAATCTTCTCCACAGGGGATACTCCAATATAAATCTGTATATATATAGATATATATCTATACCCAAAATTCCGCATACACTGAAGTTCCATCAGTGTCATTTCCATCTCTTGCCAGGACCTGGCTCTTTGCCTGTGCTCAGGTTGGTGCCTCAGGTTTCTCTTACCCTGGTGAGGGGCAGGAAGGTTTAACACCTTCACTGGGTGTTCCAAACACCTTCTGCAAGTTCCAGGGGGTTGACTGGAAAATTTTAATTCTTTAATCCACCCCAAACCTCAGCAAGGGAAGAAACACGAGAGACCGCAAAGGCAGCGACACAACCCCTGCCTTTGTTGCTCATCCTGAGCTTCAGCTCAGCCCAAACCTGGGAATTGCTTCTCCTCTGCTCTTGGAAACAGCAGAAGTGCCTGAGCACCTCCCCACAGCAGTGAGGTGAGCAATGACCACTGCCCACTCTGTGATAAAACAAAGGAGAGGGCACGAAATATTCACTGCAACGAGCCTGGAATGAAACAAAACCCCAAGAAGAATAAACCTCCTGGTCCTGCTCTGCTGGGAAAGCTGGTGAACAGAGATAAGGCATGAGCAGGCTCATTATCAGGTGTAATTTGGGGTCAACAGCTGCTCTCTGAGTTGGAAGAAAGAGGAATCTCATCCCTACCTTGGTCAGCTCCTGGGCGTTTGCCAGGTTGTCCACAGCGATGGCCAGGAAGACGTTCAGGAGGGTGTCTTTTGGGAGGCAGATAAGGAAAAACTCCTCACCCAGCAGGCACAGCCAACCCTCCCCCTTCTGCTGCCACCACCCTTCTTTTCCCATTTATGGATTATGGATTATGGATTGACCCCCTGCACCAGTGCTGTGCCATCATTCCCAATCCACCCCCTCTGCCTGGAGCTCTGCAGCCCAGGAGGTGCTGGGCATCCACTTATCTCCTCCCTGGTGGGGACACACACAGGGGCTGAGCAGGGGGGCTTTACAACCCCTAGAGACATCACAGCCCCTGGTTTTCCACTCTGGAAACCCCCCCCTCCACTCCTGCCCCCACACCCCTTCATTTCCCCCCCATTGTTTAAAAGGACAATCAGTGGAGCTGCAGGAAATCGGTCACTTTAAAGCCAATATTTGCAGAGTAAGTACCCAAAGCTACACAAAGGCATTGGATAGCAGGGAAGATGAAGCTCAGCCACTGCTGGATAACAGTGTTGGGAAAAAAAAAAACATCCTGGCTTGTCCTGCTGAAGTCCATCTGACCAGGAGAGCATCCTGGCCATCCTCCACCCTGACCAGGAGAGCATCCTGGCCATCCTCCACCCTGACCAGGAGAGCATCCTGGCCATCCTCCACCCTGACCTGGCCATCCTCCATCCTCAGTGCTCCCCCCCAGCTCCAGGAGAGCCCGGGAGCAGCACCCCCAGCCCCAGATAATGAGCTCTGCAGGGAAACAGCCTGTCAGTCCAGCCCACATTGCACCCAGCCCAGCTAAACAAGGGCAGTGCCCACGCCTGGCTGGTCCCTCTGCACAGCCCTGCATTAGATCACCGGGACAGAACGTTGGCCTCTGATTATTTATTCATGTTGTATTTTCATTTTTCCACTTTAATGATTTCAGCTAGGGGTTGTTTTATTGTATTCATTCTGGCTCTGTGTCTGCAAAACGGCCCCGAAACGACTGTAAATCAGGAAACTTTGCCTGGGAAAGGAGGGCAAGCAAAGCAAAACCAAGTTGAAATGACTCTCCCAAGGAGAAAATATATTTTTCTCTTGCACATTACCTGGTGACAGGAGAGCCACTCACTCCAGAGCTGTGGAAAGTTGTGTTTGCTCCTCCTAATGGGAATGGACATGAGGATGGAGTTGATCTCAGGAGTATGGACCCTCTGGAGACCCAAAATGCTTTAGCAGCCAAGTGTTGCCTCTGTGTTTGCACTGCAGGGTCCCCACCAGAGCCCAACGTGGGGCTGGGACCAGCTGCAGGTCCCCCAGGAAAAGACTTCAGGAAACTAATCCAGGGATTTGTAGGGGGCTCCAGGAGAGCTGGAGAAGGACTTTGGACAAGGGATGGAGGGACAGGACAAGGGGGAATGGCTTCAAATTGACAGAGGGCAGGGTTAGATGGGATATTGGGAATAAATTGTTCCCTGTGAGGGTGGGGAGGCCCTGGCACAGGTTGCCCAGAGAAGCTGTGGCTTCCCCTGGATCCCTGGAAGTGTCCAAGGCTGGGTTGGAGGGGGCTTGGAGCAACCTGGGCTGGTGGAAGGTGTCCCTGCCCGTGGCAGGGGGTGGGATAAGATGAGCTTTAATCCCAGCCCTAAGCAGTGTGGGATTTTCTGTCAGGTTGAAGTGTCCCCTGCTCTGTCCCAGCTCAGGGCAATGCTGAGTGAGGGCAGGACAGGGGGTGAGGATGGTGAGCTGGGGGAGCCCCAGATCCCTCCTGTGAGGGGAGGAGAGGCGAGGGATGAGCTCCCAGAGTGTCGTCAACCTGCAAGGAGATTTTGGGAAACCTTGGTCTCAGTGCCCCTCCTTGCTTCCCACTCCTCAGGAGACCTCCTGGAGGAGGCAGCTGAGGTTTCTCTGCAGGCAGAGGAGCCAGGAGCAGGGCAAGGCTGATGCACCACCTGCAGTGGTCTCTCCCAAACAAGGCTGTGCCCAGAACCCCTCATGCCCCAGCAGGCTCCACTCTGGCTCGGGCACTGTTGGCTGCAGAGCTCTGGTCCCACATGGCCATGGCACCAGGGGACTTCCCAAGGCAGCCAGGGACCAAAGCTGGCCCAAACAATGATCTCAAAGCCTCTTTGCTTTCCCTCTCAAGAGCTTTTACCGAACCTAATTCAGCCAAGACTCCAGACCCAGGCATTCCCATCTCTAATTCCCGTTGGGATGAGCGTCTCCAGAGCCTGATGTCCATCAAACCTGGAGCCTGTGCCTGTGACAGTGGGAAGCAGGAGTTGTATTAATCCCTTAGGATGCATCTGCATCCTCCCTGACTCTCAAACCCCCCCAGGGGATGGGATGCAGAGCCCTGGGGTCTCTCCAGCCAGGAACCACGTCATCCCTCAGTTTTCCTCCATCTCATGGAACATGGGATGGAAGTTTTTACCATTTGGAGACGAATCCTCTGGGACAGAGAGAGGTTTGAAATGTGATGCCCATCAACTGCTCCTTCCCTCATTCCAGGAGGGCAGGGAGTGCTGTGGGTGGGAGCACCTCGATCCCAGAGAGCCCAGGAAAAGATGATCACTATTTCATTAAAAAATATATTACTTTCCCCATTTCCTTTGAACTCAGGGCTGGTTTGCAGGTGGAAGGACAGAGGCTGCAGACAGGGGGGCTGAGGCACCCCTGGGGTGCTGGTCTGTGCTGGGTGTTTGGGTTTCTTCCTCTGGGGTGCTTCCAACCTGCTGGAAACACTTCCAGCCCTCCTACTCTGGGAATAAATGTCTCAGCAATAAAACTGTCTTCCTACCCCTGCCTCCCACACACACATGCTCAGAGTGTCTCGTGTAACAGAAGCAACCACTGGAAATATAATTAATTTCTTTTTATCAGATCAGGTTGTTTTGATCCGTTTCCAAGCAGACACAGTCTGGCAGACTTGGGTGTTTCTGCCCCCAGAAAAAGGTCCTCCAGTCCTTTCTGCAGAGCTCTGGGATTCCCAAATATCACCCAAACTCCAGGCTCTGGCTCAGGGCTGGTGGCTGAGCCTGTGCCAGGATGGATCTCCTGCCCAGCAGTTGAGGGCCAGGGGAAGGGCAGCACCTCCAGGCAGTTCCTGCTTTGCTTCTCAGGCTCCTCTGCAGGTTGGTTTTTTTTTTCTCCCCCTCAACAGATGCCTCCATTTATCAATTAACTGGACAACAATGAATACAGGCATGGTGTCATTTCCTAGCAAATGGGCCAAATCCTGCTGTTCCTCCAATCACACCACTTCCATTAAGCTGGTTCCACACAGACTCTCTGGAACTGGAAACATAAAGTGAGACGCTTCTGACTTAGAAAAACAAACTGTCAGGATCTTTTCCTTGCCATGGTCCCTCGAAAAAGGAAATGGAGCCAAAGGAAGAATCCCAAGGTGCAGTGAGAAGCAGCAGAAATCAGCACCAACCCACCTTTCTTCTGCATGGAAAAGAACAATCCTGATGCCCTGAACAGCTCGGGGAGGAGAAAAGAGCCCCTCGTGGTTAAAAAGAGCAGGTTTGGCAAAATGACCCAAAATCACCAGTTCCAGTTCTCTAAGGAGATTTGATCCATTCTGCCCAAACTCTTAAAAATGGCAAAGTTCACAAAGTGAAAATAAACCCTCTCCCAGCAGAGGAACCAAAGTGCCTTTTGCTGGTCAGGCCCCAGAAGGGTCTGGGCTGATTTCAGTAGTGATATAAGAAAATAAAACCATAAAGTCCTGCTTAAGAAATTCAGTTGTATGGGGAGGGATGGAAAAGCCACACTTGACATATTGCACTAAAAAAAGGTACATTTTTAAAGCTTTTTGGAGGGAGTTCTGCAAGGCAGAGTGGACAGATCTTTATGAAGTCCCAAGTTAGAGCAATGAAGTCACACTAATCTAATCTAATAATTAATTTAGGGTGAATTAATCATCTCTGATGATCCTTCCAGCTCAGGATATCATATGATTCTGTGTTTCTAGCCTAGAATTAAGCTGATCAAGAACTCAGACTGCTCTTTGTAGTATGTTCTCATGGTGTTCCCTGGGCTGTGGGGTCTCCTTGGGAAGTGACCCCAAGGCTGAGACACTTCCACCCTCTGCACTCCCCTGTCCTTAACTCTGCAGCATCCCTGCCATTAATGACTGTTTTACCTCCTGCAGCCATGCAGGGCTCTCCTTTCCTGGCAAACTGAACTTTATTTTCAGACGTTCCTGGTTGTGTTTGGACAGTTAATGCTGACCTGAGTCCCTGGTAAGTCCCTCAGGGATAAATGAGTGCCTGCTGCTCACTCCCAGCACCACAGACGATGCTGCTGAACAGCAGGGTTAGACCTGACCTTCCCCAAATGCTGATGAAACATCAGCACAGGCTTTAGTGGAATCACTGCTGCAATCCCCATGGAAAACACCCACGGGAGAGCTTTAACCCCTCAGCCTTCCCCACACACCCCAAGCCCGGTTCTCCCCTCCTGCCCACGGTGCTCAAAGGTCTGTGTGGGGCAGAAAGGCTCTTACAAACTCTCTGGGAAAGCTGCTGATACTCCCAGACTAAGTTTGGGTCTCTAATTCTCCAACAGGGATGTAAATCCCCACGGGAATTAATGGGTTTGTCTGAGGTTTATAGCTCTGATCACCTGAAGTATCACAGAATCCCAGAATGGCTTGGGTTGGAAGGGACCCTAAAGATCCTCTCATTCCACCCCCTGCCATGGGCAGGGACACCTTCCACCAGACCAGGTTGCTCCAAGCTGAACTTGGACACTTGCAGGAATGGGGCAGCCACAGCTTCTCTTTAGGGAAGTTGGAAAACTTGAAAAGTTGGTGGAAGAAGCCTTCCAGGAAATTACAGAAGGTTTTCTGGGCATTGTTACTGTTTATCAGCCAGGTTTTCCCTCCTTCTGTGCTCGGAGGAACTCACCTGCAGCAAACTCCTCCCTCCCTGCAGGACTCACGGAGAACTAAAGAATCCAAACTCGATCCACCCTCCTTGCTAAACACCCCAGCAATGCCCCAGGGAGCTGTGCCACCATCCTGTGCCTGTGGGCAAAGGGGACAGCAGAGGCACTGGAGATACCTCAGGGAAAAAGCCAGGAAAGCCACTGCCTGGATCACCTCAGAAGGGAAAGCCAGGAGGAGATCTGAGGGGAATGTGGACAAGGTTTCACCTCCCCGCTGTCGCAGCAAGCAAAGGCAAATACTGAGCTCGTGGCAGTGGCAGCAGGTGAGCCAGGTCCTTATGGCCTGCCCTTGAACACCCCCTGCTCTCTCCCTTTTAATGAAAACTAAAGGACAAGGGAGAAGGCCCCTCTGAATTAAAGGTGAGGAAGGGAATTAATACCCCGTTCCTGCAAAATGCTGGCTCGGAGCTGCTCGCAGGGTAAAAGTCTCTCTCTCAGCTGTGCTGTCAAGCCTGATTATGGCTTAATCTCATTTTCAAATGCCAAGCCCGGAGGATTTAGAGCTCTCCCTCCCTGCCAGCTCTCCACTGACCCAGTTTTCCAAAGGCTGTGTTTCTGGAAGGGGCTGGGAGGTGGATGTCTGAGCGTGGCTGCCCAGCCAGGCGGGCACCGCGGCCGCTGCGGCTCCGACAGCGCCGGATAATGGGATAAATCCCGCAGGGACACTCTGGTGTGACAAGCACAGCTCTGCCTGTCTGCTCTGCTCTTCCCCATCGCTGTTCCTCGTGCTAATGGGGGGATCTCAGACAGAGGAAAGGGCTGGAGACACCCTATCTCTTGTCATCTCGCCCTCCAGCTGAAGCAGCCTCCGTGACAGCTCCCTGTCTGTAGCCCAAGTGTTGCCCCCACGACCCCTCCCTCTCTCCCAGGTACCCAGCCAGCCCAAACAACACCAGGAAAAGATGAGCTCTGGGATTGTAACCAGCAAGAAGGTTCTCCCTGCTGGGCAGGCCCCCAAGCAGAGCAGCAAGGCTCAGTTATTACCCCTGTTTCAGAGAACAAACAAACCAGCTGGGTGCTTTGTCTCTGCAACAGTTTCTAAAGTCCCACTTTTGAGGCTGCTCTGTTTGACTCCAGCTTGAGGCTGCAGGCAGCAAACATCACACCAAGGATCCTGAACCTGCTTAATGGCAGCAATTCCACAGAGCAATTCCATCAGCAGGGGCAGAGCCACCACGGCCCCTCTGCTCCGGCTTCTCCTCGTCACACCCAGATGTGACATCAGGGAATTGCCTCAGTGCTGTATAAAATAGATCCTCCCTTCCCAAATCCCATCTCCATGTCACAGTGTTCTTGCCTGCTTAGTCTTGTCAGGACATATCAGACATCAAAGTGCTGCTGGTTCCCCACAGACACCCTGGGACATTCTGGGGGAGGCACAAGCCCCCAGTTTCTTCTCGCCCTCAAGAGATTTTCATCTTGAAGCAGAAGAAAACAGACACTTCATGTGCCAAGTCCTGGACCACGACTGAATGCTCCCAGAGCCTGAAACCCAAGATGTAGAATTAAATTTTAAGCACTAAGTGGAGACAGGATAATTTCCAGCATTTGGAACAGCACAGCTGGTTAAGCTGCCCTGGAGACAAAGGCACCAAGAGAATGGAACCTCATCTACCCACCAACCCAATTTCAGCTCTTCCTTCCCCTGACCAACCACAAACCATCTGTGAAGATGTCTGAGGTACAGAGGTCCTGCTCTGACCTGACTTCAGTTATTTTTCCCACCTCATAACAGGACATCCTCAAGGAAAACACAGACTAACTCGTAATAGGACATCCTCAAGGTAAAATATAAAGTAACTCATATAGGACATTCTCAAGGAAAACATAAACTGGACTCACAATAGGACATTCTCCAGGTAAAACGTAACAATTAAAATGAAATTTCATGAAATTAAATCAAATCAAAATTTCTAACGTTGCCATAAGAAGAGCGACACCAACCTGGATAACTCACCTACACGCCTTAGCCCGGGGGCTGGAAGGAGAAAAAGCAATAATTCCGTTTTAAAAAGTGCAAAAGGGTGAGAATTGAAACAAAATAAGGTGCCTCTGGCAGCCCAGGAAGGGCACCCGTGGAAGGATACAGTTCCCAAACAGCGTCAGGACGATGAAGTAGATGGAGGAGAACATCCCCGAGCGGACCCCGCCCTGCGACTCGATCCCGTGGTACATCACAGCATTCCAGTCCTCCCCCGTCAGGATCTGCAGGGGTTGGAGAGAGGAGAACAGGGGGTGACTTAAAGGAAGGACAGAGTGGTCAGGGGGAGCCAGGCAGAGTGATGCCATCTGGGAATGCTCCCCAGGGGAAAGGGGTGAGCACACGGGGGGCATCAGGCCCGGCGAGGGAGGGGATTGTCCTGCTCTGCTCTGGGCTGGGGGCAGTTTGGGCACCACGGCACAAAAAACCATCTAAAGCTGTTCAGAGTGTCCAAAAGAGGGATGCAAAGATGGTGAAGGTGCAACCCTTCTGGGGTCTGCAACTTCCTCCAATCCCTGCTCCCTGCTGCAAAAACAAACCCAGTAGAATAAGGCAAACCTCTCTCTCTCTGGAGAAGAGATGAAGAAAAGAATCAAACCTCAAAGGGTGGAGATCAATCACCTCTCTCAGTGCAGCACAGGAGGCTCCTGGATGTTGGAGCAGCAAAGTCTCCTGGAATTTCAGTTTTACCATTCCAGGAATGATGAAGACAAGATGGAGCCAAACTTTTCTCCAAGGTGCACATGGACAGGCAAGGGGGGATGGATACAAGCAGAATCAAGGGAATTTTCAGCTGGATAATCCTGAATTCCAGGGCTTTGTAAAGTGGGGAAGCAGAGGGGCAGCTCTGATCCCCGTGAGCAGGGACAGGACCCAAGGGAACGGCTGGAGCCGTGTCAGGGCAGGGTTAGGCTGGATTTTGGGAAAAGGTTCTTCCCCCAGAGGGTGGTTGGCACTGACCAGGCTCCCCAGGGCAGTGGGCACAGCCCCAAGGCTGCCAGAGCTCCAGGAGGGTTTGGACAACGCTCTGAGGGCCAGGGTGGGATTGTTGGGGTGTCTGTGCAGGGCCAGGGGTTGGACTGCATAATCCTGCCCCTCTGGGCTCCCTGCCTGCTGCCCAGCTCTGCCCAAGGGCTCTCCCCCAGGCAGAAGCAGCAAAAGCCACATTCCACACATCACTCCCGGCACAATTCCTCCCCTCTCTCCATTTTCAAGTCATGCAGAGACACCGGGGTTCAACAGCACCGTTCCTGGCACTTCCCACAATCCTAAGAAAACTCTTGAGCTCTAATGCCCTGAGTGGGAGCTCTGTCAGCTCCAGCTCCACTCATCCCCTTCCTACAGAAGGGTTTGCTTTGCTCAGCTCCCCCCACCCCACACACACTGTACCCACGGAGTGACAGGAGCAGCTTTGTCACCTCTCCCACCCCTGCCCTGCTCCTCGAGGCTGCAGAGAGCCCTGCTCAGCTGGGACAGGCATGGGCACCACTCCCACTGCCAGGCACTGGGCACCACCACCACTGCAGGGCTGGCACAATACAGGTTCTTCTCCACTTTTCCCAAGTTTGACCCAGATGGCCACAAAGCACAAAAAAAAAACCCCAACCCCTAAGGAGAAGCAACAACCACTGTATGAGAGAGGACAGATGAGGGAAGTTGGAGGGGCCTGTGCTCCTCCTGTGTCCTTGTGCAGGGACAGGAGGAGCCACAGCCCAGCCCTGCAGAGCTGAACATTGACCTGGGACTAACTAACAAATACATGAAAAATAGGAAAATTAATCAGAACACATGAAAACACCTCAGTCTCAAGCAAGCCTTGATGCTAATTTTGTACCAGTCTCACTTGCTCATCACTGAGTGTGACATTCCTGCCAGTCCTGCTCAGCACTGACTGAGGCACAGCAACATTTTGGGCAGAGCAGCCCTTCCCTTGCCTGCCGGGGCACAGCCAAACAACAGCTACTTTTAGCACATTCAAGCAATCCCGTGGGATGTGAAGCTCAAATTCCTAAATAGGAAGTTGTCTTTGTGTTTAGTAGGGGAAAAAAAAGGGAAATGAAAAGGCCAGAACACGGTGTGTGTTGTGATCCAGTCCCGTGTGCACGTGGAGGGGGAGGTTTTAGAAAGGAATCCAAAGCCCAAACATTGACCCAAAATTTGTAGTTCAGAGGAGGAGGAGGATGGAGCAATCCCTCCCAAGAGCAGGCATTATCAAAATGCCTCTGGGATATTATTATTATTATTATTGTCATTATTGTTATTGTTATTATTATTATTATTGTCATAATTATTATTATTATATTTTAACAAATAAATAATAATATTATATTTATTATATGATTACTAATGCTATTGTTATAATATAATAATATATAATTGACATAATAAATATTATTATTATAATATATAATATGGAATTGTATATTATATAATAACTATTAATATAGTAATATAATTCTATGTAACCTAATATAATTATCATTATAATAATCAATATAAAAATAACATTATTGATTTGTTATCATATCATATAATAATATATAATTAATGCAATGGTTATTAATAATATATATTGCACCTAATATATATTATATAATAATTATTAATATATTATGTGTGGTATATAATTATAATAATCAAGTAATGTAAAATTATATTATTGTTACTGCTATTATTATTATTATTATTATTATTATTATTATTATTATTATTATTATTATCATCCAAATGCCTGTGGGAGGCTGCACTCAGTTAATCCAGTGCTGATGGGTTTTGCTGGTTTTAATTCACAGCTCTGACATTCTGGACGAATGTCCTAAACCCAACAGCATTTTCCTTCACCCCCAGGGTATTTATCTCAAGGAAATATTTCAGCTAAATATTCTCATGGACAACCGTATTCCCAAAGCAAAATCCCATCAACATTCCCGAGCCTGACTGGGGCTCAGTTCCTGCTCGCTGGCAATACCTTTTTGTACCTTGAAGCCCTTTCTTGGGTGAGCACTCAAATCCTGGGCAAATATTAATTTGCAGGATCCTGGAGGTCAGGGCAGAACCTGCTCCCAGCTGGGGGAGAAGCAACAGCCACGGGAAGAGCTCACAGGGCACGTTTGCTTTTGGATTCTTTGTGTTAATCCAAAAATTGTCATCAATCCCCCCCCTTTTTTTGCCCTTTTTGGGTCCTGACACTGAAATACAAAATACCTGAGTTAAACCTCGCTGAGCTGTGTGAAAGTTGGGCTCAGGGGTGAAGCCTCAGCTCGAGCCCACCCCAGGAATTTGGGTGGGATGAGGGTTCCACAGGCCTGGGAGGGTCACCTGCACACAGAGCAGCAGCCCCAGCTTTTACTGAAACACCCAAAGTGATTGTTTTTTAAAAACAATTGTTGTTTTTTTTTTTTTAAATTGTTTGTTTTTTTTAATACAAAAATTATATTTAAAAAATGCAAAAATTGTATTTAAAAAATGCAAAATTAAATACAAAAATCGTATTTAAAAAAGATACGAAGAAAACAGCTGCAAAATGAAGCTTTTCAATCCCAGCATCTCCCAGAGCTGTGAGTCCCTCCTGCCTTCTCCCAAACTCGCCCCAGGCCGGTGCCTCTCTCGTGGAAGGCAATTCTCACCCAGCATTAACTTCTCTGGAGTTATTACTGGGCCAAATGCTGCATTATTTCCCTGCTGCCTGCAGCTCCCTCAGGCCTCTCTGCTCATTAAATTATGGCAAAAGTGCAGCAGGTCAAGCACTGGCTCATTCCAGGATCCACGAGCCAGAGCTGCCATCCCAGGGCTGGGAGGCAACAGCCTGGGCACACACAGACTTTAAGAACAGCACAGAAATACCTATTTTATCAATTTTTTTTTTTCTTCCTAGCAAAAAATCTTTTGTTCTACTTTTCTTTAATTCCACAGCGTCGATTTTTAATTTGATTTTTTTAATGATGTGTTGATCGAGCAGCGAAGCAAAACACGTGAAAAGGAAGGACTTCTTTCCTAAATCCCACAGATTTTTGAGGACCTCTTTGCCTTCCATAAGCAAGAGGAGATGCCCAGGAATTCCTCTTCTAACCCTGCCCCAGGCCAAGGTGTGGCTTTACCTGGAACACGGTGAGGATGGCGGCGGGGAAGGTGTCGAAATTCGTGGTCGGAGTTTCGTCTTGGAAATTGAACCTGGAGAGAAAGGGGAAATCAAAAGCCGAGCAGTGAGGGCCAAGCAGCTCCCAGGCATCTCCTAATCCCCTGGAACGCTCCAGAAACCCAGTCAGGGAGCAGCATTTGTTCCACCTGGCAAGAACAGCCCAGGCAAGCACAGCAGGGAACACGGTGTCTCTGAGAAGGTGCTCAACAGGACCATTAGCAGGAACTCAATCTCATTCCCAGAGAAAATTCGGATGCTTTGAAATTCATTTGCAGCCACAATTAAAATGAACAATCCAAATCTCAAATGATTTTTGCCGAGCAACCCATTCCAAGAAGTTTTCGTCCTCCGGTGCGAAAGCCCAAATTGAAATTACCCTCTTAGTAGATAATTTCTTTTTAATATTTTAAAGATATAATAGCAATTGACTGAGGGGGGAAAAAAAAAAAAAAGACCAAATAAAACCGTGTTATTTCATTTCAGAATCGATGCTGGGGTTTAAATGATAATGCTGTGATATTTCGTGCTGCAAAATTCCCCACAAGTGGCATTTCTAATGAGAACAATCAGATTCAACAGCACCACGTTTTCCAGCAGAAAAATATTCCAAGTGAATAAATACATTGTCACCGTGGATATTGGGGAAAGGATTTGCCTTTCCCTTAATAAAAAGTGATGCCTTCCCCAGGCCTGTTTCTTTATGGGGGTATGTGGGGACTGTGGGATGACAAAAGGGGCTTTGAATTAGGGTTGTTCTTTCTTAGGGAAGAGTTCAGCTCCAGGTAAGACACTGGAACAGGAACTATTTTCCTATAAACTTCTCAGCAGCCCAGGAAGACTGAGAGTGCAGCAGGATGTGACCCTTCCAGCCCTGCAGCCCCAGGATGAATAATTAGACTTACTGTCCTCCAAAGAGCTGCATCCCCAGCAGAGCAAAGACCACGATGAACAGGAACAGCAGGAAAAGCAAACTGATGATGGACTTCATGGAGTTCAGCAAGGAGACCACCAGATTCCTCAGGGAATTCCAGTACCTGTGTTGGAGATCAGAGCAGCCAAGAGAGAACGTGAGTGGGGGAAGAGCCTTTGGTGAGAAACTAATATGAATTATCTCCCGAGCGATAGGACGAGAGGAAATGGCCCCAAGTGGCCCAGGGGAGGTTTAGGTTGGATATTAAGGCAACATTCCTTCCTGGAAAGGGTGGTGAGGCATTGGAACAGCTGCCCAGGGCAGTGGTGGAGTGCCCATCCCTGCAGGGGTTTAAAAGCCCTGTGGATGTGGCTCTTGGGGACGTGGGCCAGTGGTGGCCTTGGCAGTGCTGGCCAACAGCTGGGCTTGATGATCTTGAAGGTCTTTTCCAACCTGACTCTATGATTTTCTTATTATAAAACAGGGGAAGAATGACAAGGAATATCAGCCTCTTTAAGCTCCCTTCTGCTGCTGGAAAACACGGCTCATGGAGTGGAAAATCTCTTGGAGCATCCTGAGGGCAGAGGTGGTCACTTGGTGTGTGTGCACCCACACTGAGTTGTGTGCAGTGAATGTCTGGATTAGTTCCTCCTCTACCCCCTTTCCTGGGATAGATTTTGACCTCTTGGCATCTTCTCATCCAGCACAGCAGCCAGATGAGAACTAAAATGCCCCGAATCAGCAGGGGTGTCAAAAGTCTATCGACATCATGAAGGTGACACTGAAGGTGGGAACAGTGAATCCAGCTCTCCACAACACACAAATCAGGAATAAACACCTCATTCCCACCAGGACATCTCTGTGGTGTGTCCTTTCAACCCATCCAACACCAGTATCAACCAGTGGATTTAAATTCCCACATGTTTAAACGTTCCTGTAGGAGTTTCACACCCCCTTCAGTGCCCAGCCATGCCTTTGGGGTGGGGAAATTCAGGTGTCCAGGACAGAGCCTTGGAGAGAACAAATCCAGGATGATAATTCCAACGTGGCAAGAGGGAATTCAGGCTCAGCCTGAATCCTGACTGACACATCCAAGTCACATCTGGCCAGATACAGAAGATGGGTTGGTTTTGCCTCCCCTGTGCCCGGAGGCAGCTCCTGGCACAGCCACAGGCAGGAATGTGGGGTGATGGCAGTGCTGGGAAGGGTCTCGCAAACAGCTCTTTCCTGGCTTTAGTGCCCTGCTGAGAACAGGCAGGGAGGGTTGTATCAGGAAAACTAATGAGTCAGGAAATGCAGAAAGAGCTGGGCAGCTCTTTGATGAGCTCCTTTTGGACCCAGATTCTTGTGGAACAACAGGGTCGGAACAGGCAGCGGGAAAGGAGTGATTTGGAGCCATTTCACGTGTCCTCTGCTCAAAGTTGGGAGTCTGAGGCCATGGGGGAGGAATTTTCCCCTCTTTTTCTCCATTGGCTTCTCTCATTTCCACTGCCTGGTACTGGGAGCTGCCCTGCAGAGCTGAATGCCTGCCCTGAGCGTCCTCCTGCTGCAGTTTGGGGATGGCTCCACACCCTGAGCTCATTCCTGCAGTGTGGCTGTGGCTCCCCAGCAGAAGGAAGCCCCTGGATTTGTCAGACCTGCTGATAAGGAGAGAAGCTAAGAGCTGGAGTCACCATCCCCTTTCCTTTGTCTTTGCTTTCCCCCTCTTCCTTCCCCCAGGTGTAGCTGGGAGGACTGAACCACCCCCTGTTCCTCTGTGCTGGGGGTGATGCAACCACGTCCATCCCAGGAGAAGTAGGATCTTACACTCCCATTCCAAGAAAATTTACTTCCATAATACAGTGACAGAGGTTTCAGGATAAACTCTGGTCTCTCAGGAGAATATCTCCAGTGGAAATGTTGCAACCAAACCTGCCCGGGGTCAGTCCCAAAGCAAAAGGGGTTGGGCTGCTCTCCTTGGAGAGGGAGGGTTTGCTGCTCCCACAGCTCTCCCAAGCTGGACACAACAGTTTCAGACCAAACCTGCCTCATCCAAGGGCTTCACACCTCACAGGGAGCACAACTGGACCCAAAATCCATAGCAGCTGGAGGCTCTGCCTTGTCCTGGAATAGCTCAGCAGCAAACCCTGACCCAGAGGACCAGGATATTCTGAGGAGCTGCAGTGCCAGTCCCTGTTCAGCTCTGCCAGGGCAAAGACAAGCACATGAAGCTGGTTTGCCCTTGTCCTCTCTGCTGAATTTTAGCCCCTCTCAATCTGTATCCCCTCCTGGTGGATCCTGCTGGCACCTTTCAGGCCGGCTGGAATTTCATTTTTTAACTCTTGCTGTCCATGGTCACTGTGATTTAAGACTGGGATTGAAAAGGTCTCATCCCATTGATAATTCAAAGCAGGATGTGCTGTCCATGGTCCCACTGATTTGGGATGTGGGAATCAAAAGGTCTCATCCCACTGATTATCCAAAGCAGGATCTGCTGTCCATGTTACACTGATTTGGGACATGGGAATGAAAAGGTCTCATCCCACTGATTATCCAAAGCAGTAGGATTGAGTTTAGCTCAGTTGGTTCAAACTTGGTTCTAAGAACACCAAGGTCAGGTTCAATCCCCTGTTTGGGCCATTCACTTAAGAGCTGGACTCAATGATCCTTGGGGGTCCCTTCCAAATGAGAATATTCTGGGATTCTGGGACTGCAATTGGCTTCTGCTGAACGTGGAGGGAAAACAAACCAGAGCAGGGAGTTGCAGAGAGAAATTCCTATGGAAAAGATGGAAAAAGGAGACAGGAAACTCCTGAGGGTCAGGGTGTTCTCACAGCAAAGGCTGCAATGAGAGAGTGTGGGCAGAATCTCTGCCTGGTGGCAGCACTTTGGTGGCTCTCATGAGTCATGAGAGGACTGAGCTGTGCAGCTCCAACCCCGGGATAATGCGGGATCATCCCGTGGGAGCCGCAGGGACGTGGCTGCTGGTCACACAACGAGCACATTCCTGTCGTGTCAGGTGACAATTCCACATAATCGGGTCAAGGGAACATCAGGATCAGGGGGGTGACAATGTCACTGATGTCCTGAGAAAGGGGGAGCCCCGGGCTTGGTTTGTTAAGTTAAATCTCTTCTCCCAAGGAACGAGCGATAGGACAAGAGGGAACAGCCTCAAACTGGGCCAGGGGAGGGTTAGGGTGGATATCAGGGAAAATTTCTTTGCTGAAAGGCTTGTCCAGGCCTGGCACAGCTGCCCAGGGCAGTGGGGGAGTCACCATCCCTGCAGGGACTTAAAAGCTGTGTGGATGTGGCCCTTGGGGACAGGGGTTAGTGGTGGCCTTGGCAGTGCTGGGGGAACAGTTGAATTCAATGCTCTTGAGGGTCTTAAAGGTCTTTTTCAACCTGAACACTTCTTGTGATTCATCCCTTGATCCTGCTGGCTAAAAGGAATAGTCAAAACTCACAAAAAAAATAAGATTTTACCTTCCAAAAATGGCCAGAATTTTGAAAAAGCACAACACACAATCAGACACAGCAAATCTCAGTAGCTGGGGATAAAATTATCTGCTGATGATTCATGGCTCTGAATTTCCTACAAAACCAGGAGCTTCCCATGCATAAGATTAGTGCAAAGGTAAACTACAGTGACACTTTTGGTGCAGGTACCCACCTATTTCACCAGACAGTCACAGAACTTAATGTTTCCACCCCCTTTTTCCCGGAGTACAACAGCTGACACTGCATCACACACAAATCTGGGATCTGCACAATCCCTAACAGGTACAAACCAGCAAACCCCCCAGAGCCAACAAAACCTGGGCCCTCAAACAGCTGCCAAAGCACCTGGTGACTTCCAGTGATTGGTTTGTTCCAATGCCATCACCTGGGCCTTATTGATTTCAGGCAGTTGTGCACGAGGGGTGTTTTTGGCAGGAGTTCTTATTCCTCCTCCTGTTACTCCAAGCCAAGGAGAGTTAAGGGAGTGATGGAAAGAAGGGAGAGCAGAGGAGGCAACGGTGGAAAAAAAATAAGGTGGAAAACAACAGCAGGGGCACCTAAATGTGTCATCAATTTGCACACCAGGGCTTGGAAAGCCTGCAGAAATGGCTCTAGATGGGTTTCTAAATGGCACAGGAGCTGTTTGCTGATGCCAGAGCACATTAATGTGAGGCAGGAGCACGAAAACAAGGGAAAAGCTGTGGCAACACCACTCCAGTGAAAATTCAACCTCCCAGACGTGCCCAGAGCAGACACAGCACAGGCAGCAGCAAAACTCTGCCTATTTGTGTCAACACAGGGGCTCAGGCACCAGGATTTAGCAGCCAGCAATACCCAGGGTATTTGGTTTTCCAGTTCCCAAATCCTTCAGGAGCAGCAGATAAGGACAGTGAGCAGCTGATGGGACTTAGAAAGTCAATAAGGAATTTGTTTCTTTTACCACAAGAGCTAAGGGGTAACATAACGAGGTTTTTGTTTTAAACAAGCTTAGAAACAAAGCAAAAAAAAGGATATTTTCCTGCAGCCCATCATTACACTGTGGAACCCTCTGCCCAAGGGCAGAAAAGCCTGTGCACGAGGCTGAGGGGGAAAAAAAGGGCTGTTAAAAATCTTTGTGGATGCAAATACAGGCTCAGGAACTCCCAAAATTTCCAGCTGCCAGAAACCCCCACTGCCCAGCTGAGGAAAAGGGCAATTCTGCATCTGCAGTTCTCTTCTGCTCCTGCTCCATCCCTAATGGGATGTCAGGACAGACAGGGTTTTTGTGCCAGCAAAAACAGGGGTTTGGGGCATTGTTTTGGGGTTTTTTTTTCCCTCCAGCTTCTGGTTATTTATTTATTTATTTATTGTTTATAAATATATGACAATAAATAAAAATATCAACCAAACCACTCCTCCTTGCTGTGGGGTTGGTAATCCAGATTTCACGTGGTGCTAGAAGGCTGCTGTGAGAGTGAAAAGGGAGCTGGACTTACTTTGTTACTTTGAAAATCCTCAGCAGTCGAAGTGCCCTCAATACACTGATGCCAAATGAGGTTCCTGGTTTCACTGCAGCCCAAATAACTTCAAATATACTTCCCACGATGACCTGCAAGAAGAAGGTTGGGTTTTTAACATACATAAGGCAAAACTTCTCCTTATTTCTCCGTTGTGAGGCTGAGGAAAGCCCAGGAATCAGAGCCCAGGTTGTGATGGTTTTCTTAGGAAAACTTCAGGAAAATCGTAAATTGGCCAAGAGCACTGGAAATCCCTAATTTTACCACTGGAAATCCTTATCCCAACTTTCTGCAGCCCAGACTGAAAAAGGGCAATACCCAGCAGCAGAACACATTGGGATCTCCTATACAGAGTCAGGAACTTGTTGCTTTTTCTCCAGCAATCAAACTGCCTTAAAAAAACCTTTTTGGAATGACACTGTTCTTTATTATTGTATTTTTTTAACACTGGCTCAACTGGAAATGCCAACCCTTTGTTTTCCCCCCACACACAGTGGGTCTGTGCAGAGATGCAGGGGGGCACTGCCCCGTCCTTCCCTGCCCATCAGAAGGACCAAAAACCTCCACCTGCAGCAGAGCCGTGAAGCTCTGGGTGAGATCCACCAGAAACTTCTGGCAGCTGAGAGTGTTTAGGAGGGCAATTAAAGCAATTGCTGTTGTGAGACCCGGCAAAGCCTCCAGCACACGCATCCAACCAGCTGCCTCGGGGGATTGACAAAGTCGTCCCAAATCGAGGTGGATTTTTTTAAGTCCCGGTTTGTTTTGGCTGGGGGGGTTTAAGGACGGCAGGGAATTAACCCGGAGCGATGGAAACAAAACCTTCTGAGATATCCTTCATTACCAAAAGGACAAAGCAGCAATGGGTTAAGCACAGCTGGAAAGGGCAATTATCTCCACGCAGGTTGCTGCACAGTTAATAAGATAAAACAGGCATTTCGCTGCCGATTGCTGTTATTGCTCCCATTAACCCGGCCTTTCAGAGCTCCCACTGCCCCTGGTCCCCGGGTGGGCAAAACACACCATAAACACGCTCAGCAGAACCCAGCAAGCAGCTGGTTTGTGCCGGGGGAGGGAATGTTAACAGGGAGCCAGGGCTGGGGCTGATACCTGCAAGAAACGCTGTGCCCCGAGCTTCAAAAAAATTCAGGTACGCGGCAGTTGCTCATCCCTTTTGTCCCACCCGAAAAAGAAGGAGCTAAAACTTCTCTCCCACCGTCTCTCACTCTTGGGAATCCCTTGTGAATCAGCAAAACCCTTCCCTTGGACCTTCCACGTGTTACCCTGATAATTAATTATCTCGGCATCCCAGCAGGGCCTCCTGGGAGCCCGTTTCACAGGAGACCCCTCTGGACTGGAACTCCCAAGGCTGATGTTGCTCTGATTTGTTGTTTCGCTTTTTGCATTTGAATGGTTTCGTCTCGATGGTTTGTCAGACTAAACTGGCTACAGAGCTGGGGGGGGGGGGTGAAGCCGCCGAATTAATTCTGGGGGCTGGAAGGTGGGTGAGGAGGAAGAAACAGAGCCAGCAGTAGGATCCCTGTGGATTCTCCGAAGGAGGAAGAATTAAAAACAGATCAACAGCTTGAACCTCCTGGGAAACACTCACAAAGCTCGTTGCCAGCGCTGCACAAACACAGAGAGACACTGGGGGGTTTATCTTTGGCTGAGTGCAAGCTCCTAAATCACCTGTCCCTGACTGGCAGGTGCAAGGGCTGGATGTGGAAGGAGCATCCCGGACACAGGGATCCAAGGAAACTCACAGCCAGCTTGGAGCTCACCTAAGCCATTGGTGAAAGACATCAACCTGTTACCAGGGAATTTAAACAAGGCAGTGATATGAGAAATAAAAATATGGGTTTTATATTGCGAGAAATAAAAATACTTATATATATATATATAGGCATATCGTGAAGTTGTGAGATATCCAAGTTCCACGGACTGAACTTGGGTATCAGGGTCCTTTTCAGCCTGATAAGGGCAATGCAAAAGTTCTTAAAAATTAAAGTCTTTTGGGGCCATGTTGTACCCGAGGTTCCTTTTCTCTTTTGGCTAAGAACAAGGGAAGATCTGTCATTTTTGACAGAGGACGCCTCGCAGCCAATCGGAAGGAAGGAAAAGCCTCTTTTTCAGAGAAAACAAACTTTTTTAGGCAAAAGTGAATATATTAAACTTATCTGGAAAAGGGTGGGATATTGTGAAACTATAAAATGTGTGGAATTTAAACCCAAAGGGTCTTTTTCCCTGGAAATTCGATGAGAGGAAGACCCGGCGCGCTGAATAAATTCTTCCTTGTTTCTTTGTTCCCTGAGTTTGTGCCGTCTTTCTACGTTTAAAAGAGGGATTTTTCCCACACAGGTGATCCCCGGGGTGGGGGCTTTCATCTCAAAGTCAGTTCACTCTGAGCTTTCTAGCCAAGAAGAGAGTGAGTTGGCTCTACTTGTAGCCTTGGGCTGAGGAGAGGTCACTAACTGAAGGTGAGAATTCCTCCTCCCTCGTGGGGATTTTGCTCCGTGGGGGAGGAGAGTCACTCCCAGCATTCTGGCAGACAAACAGAACCAGCAGACTGAATCTTAGAGAGCAGGGCTGGATGACGTGCACAGCGACCTGCACTGTTGTCCCCTTGCCCCTGGCTGTGTCGAGAGCCTCATATCTGCTTTGGTACAGAAACCTCCCAGCCCCAATCCTGCTCTGCCCACGCCGAAGATAAGAGGAGCCAAGTTATCCTCTGTGAGGACTGATTACAGCCTAATAGCTTTTAATGAATAAATTACCATCCACACGCCGTGGTCTTTGTTAGATGGAGCCAAAAGCAGCCCCACTATTCACACTTCAGAGCTGTAGTTTGAGCCTGGACTGTGCCCAGTTCTGGGCCCCTCAGCTCAGGAAGGACATTGAGGTCCTGGAGCAGGTCCAGAGAAGGGCAACAAGGCTGGGGAAGGGACTGGAGCACAAGTGCTGGGAGGAGAGGCTGAGGGAGCTGGGGGGGCTCAGCCTGGACAGGAGGAGGCTCAGGGGAGACCTTCTCACTCTCTGCAACTCCCTGCCAGGAGGGGGGAGCCGGGGGGGGTTGGTCTCTTTTCCCAGGCAACTCTCAGCAAGACAAGAGAGCTGGGTCTTCAGCTGGGCCAGGGCAGGTTTAGGTTGGATATTAGAAAGAATTTCTTTGCAGAGAGGGTGCTCAGCCATTGGAATGGGCTGCCCAGGGAAGGGGTGGATTCTCCATCCCTGGAGGTTTTTAAGATGAGACTGGATGTGGCATCAGTGCCATGGGCTGGGAACCACAGCGGGGCTGGATCAAGGGTTGGACTTGATGATCTCAGAGGTCCCTCCCAACCCAGCTGATTCTGTGATTCTATGATTCTATGATTCTGGATGTGAGTTATTGCCTTCCTGTCACAAATCCCAGGTTTACTCTTCTCCTTTTGGGCACTGCAAAGAGCTGCCTGTGCATCTGGAGGGTTCAAGGGCTGACAGAGGAGATGAGCAGGAAGATGTGTGGATTTTTTGTCTTTTTTTTGTCTTTCAATCACCTCATTTAAATGGGAGGGATAATCTCCTGGCAGTCAGAGCATTGGAACACCCGGAGTTTGCCGAGGAAATGAAACCCCTGGCTGTCACTTTGCCTCATAAAGGGATGATTAAGGAGGGGAAGCTTAATGTGTTTAACTGCAGTTAATTTATGCAACCATTGCTCCCTGCAGAAGAAACACTCCCAGAACCATTTCCCATGGATTGCCACACCCACCCTGGAATGCCCAACCTGCTGGATGACAGGAGAGCCACACAGGGACTTTTTTCAAGGACATGGAGTGCCAGGACAAGAGGGAATGGTTTCATGCTTAGACTAGATGAGGGAAGGAATTCTTCCCTGTGAGGGTGGGGAGGCCCTGGCACAGGTTGCCCAGAGAAACTGTGGCTGCCCCATCCCTGGGAGTGTCCAAGGCCAGGTTGGACAGGGCTTGGAGCAACCTGGGCTAGTGGAAGGGATGATTTTGAGTTCCCTTCCAACCCAAAGTCTTCTGTGATTCATCTTACTCACCCCAAAGTCAAAGCAGTTGAATGAAGAGTGGAAGTAGTTCCTTGGCCCCAGTCCATACATCTTCAAAGACATCTCAGTAAGGAACAGCCCCAGGAAAACAAACTCTGCGAAATCTGGAAACAGGGAACAAGAGATTAAATTAGTCCATGAGACCTCGGTGGGCAGATCCCTTCATGTGGGGAACAATGGTATTTTTGCACAACCCAGAGTGACTCCTGGCAGAAGAAAATCCCTCTGCAATGGCAAACAAGACCCTGAGGAGAGTTTCCCATCATTATTTCTGTGTGTCCATGAGCTGTGAGCAGCCTTCAGGAGCTGTGCTGTGGGATGGTGGCATGAGCATTAAATAATATGCTCACTGTTTTTATAAAGGAATTTCAAAGGAAACCTCTGGATCTACTCTTTCTAAAGGTCTAATTTAATTGCACAGATAATGTTTTGCAGTGATGTGTTTGGGCCTTCTGTACTCACAAGAGATGGACACTTTTGGGTGTGGGGTGTTGAGTTTCTGTAACATCCTCTGCTGATAAAAATACCTTCCTACCCAACAGAACTGCTGACTCTGAGGGCTCATATTCAGAGGTGTTGTGTCTACTGTTACCACATTTATTTTTATTATGCCTTTATAGCCCTATAACTGTGGAAGAACAAGTTCTGTTTCCTTTGGCTTCACATATCGCAGGCAAATAAGCTGTGAAGCTTTTGAGGGGAAAATTTATCACCCATGATGAAACAAAGGGCTGGAGACTTCAATTTCTAGCTGAAGTTTTCAGGGCTTGAAGCTACAGAACATACCACCTTTGGCGTTTTAAGTTTGGATCTGGAAGCCAATTAGCAGCAGCAAGAGTAAAACATTAAAAACAAACAAAAAAAAAGGCACAAAAAACACCTCCAGTACCAAAACCAACCCAATAGAATAAGGCAAACCTCTCTCTCTCTGGAGAAGAGATGAAGAAAAGAATCAAACCTCAAAGGGTGGAGATCAATCACCTCTCTCAGTGCAGCACAGGAGGCTCCTGGATGTTGGAGCAGCAAAGTCTCCTGGAATTTCAGTTTTACCATTCCAGGAATGATAAAGACAAGATGGAGCCAAACTTTTCTCCAAGGTGCACATGGACAGGCAAGGGGGGATGGATACAAGCAGAATCAAGGGAATTTTCAGCTGGATAATCCTGAATTCCAGGGCTTTGTAAAGTGGGGAAGCAGAGGGGCTGCTCTGCTCCCTGTGAGCAGGGACAGCACCCAGGGAATGGCTGGAGCTGTGCCAGGGCAGGGTCAGGTTGGATCTCAGGAAAAGGTTCTTCCCCCAGAGGGTGGTTGGCACTGCCCAGGCTCCCCAGGGCAGTGGGCACAGCCCCAAGGCTGCCAGAGCTCCAGGAGGGTTTGGACAAGGCTCTGAGGGACAGGGTGGGATTGTTGGGGTGTCTGTGCAGGGCTGAGGGGTTGGACTGGATGGTCCTTGTGGATCCCACCAAAGGTATTCCATGATTTTGTTATTCCATGATTTTATCATTCCATGACTTCCTGCAACATGTGGCTTCAGCTGATGAGTGTGAGGAGGGAATGAGGGTCCTTCCAAAGTGCCTGGATTTCCCTCCACCCTCACCCTCCACGTTCAAGTGGAGTGAGCACAGTTGGCCCAGGGCCCGTTTTGCACTGCTGGGTGTCTTTGGACATTGCTTGGAAAATACAGCTTTAATTAGCAACCAATAAAAAGGGGGGTTAAATCTTAAATGACAGACAGTCCTGGAATATCATGGGCATAAAGTGAACTGAAATGCAGGAAGCTTTAGTGACATGAGAAAGGTTTTATTAACACCTCAGTGAGGAGCCTGCAAGGACACTTCTGCCAACATTTGCACAAGGGGAGGAAATACCAGGAGAGGATTAATTGTACTGTGTCACCTCCTGTCCTTGAAAGCAGGAGCAATGTCATTAAAGGAGAATATAAGGGCAGAGTGTTCACATTGGAGGAATAAGATGACAAAGTAGGAGATCTGCAAAGTTCTCAGCCTTTTTCCTGCCAAGAGGCAGCTCCTTCCTCTGGATCTCATGGTCACATGGAGGAGCAGCACAGCTCCATCTCACTTGGAGCTTGGAACCTGCCAGGAGAAGCCTGGTCACCCCTGCACCAACTTGTCTCTCCTTTCTGACATCAGCTGCAACAACTCAGTGAGAAAACAGTTGTTTCTAATACAAGGGATCCCAGAGTAGGGAATTATCCATAATTATGCTGGCAATCCATCCAAATATCCATCTCTCTGCTCAGTGAGACCCCTCCTGCAGAGCAGCCTCCAGCCCTGGGGAACAACATCCGGAGGAGCTGTTGGAGCAAATCCAGAGGGGGCCATGGAGATGCTCCAAGGGCTGAAGCCCCTCTGGAGCCAGGCTGGGAGAGCTGGGGGGGTTCACCTGGAGAAGAGAAGGCTCCAGGGAGAGCTGAGAGCCCCTGGCAGGGCCTGAAGGGGCTCCAGGAGAGCTGGAGAGGGACTTTGGTTTCACACTCAGCAGAGCTCAGCAAGCCCAGTGGTGTCATTGGAATGACTTCCATGGGAAGTCTCCCTGTCCCGAGGATTGGTGTCAAACCAATGCTTTGAAGTCAGTGTTTAATTAGCTGATAAAAAATCACAGGGAGAGGTTGTAGATCCTACAGAAAGCACAGCACAGCCTCCACCTGTGTCATGGCTCAGTCTGGCAGGACATTTTCACCCTCTTTGTCCACCAAACTCACCTTTCAGAGTTACATGTCAGGGCCACCCCATTTTCTTCCACAGAGTAACAAAAATCCTTGTAAGTGTTTTTTAAGTGTAATTCTCACCAGCAGATCCCAGTGCACTTTGCCAAGACAATTATCACCATTTCAAAAGGATAAAAGAAACAAGGATTAATGGTCAGTCACCCATCCAGCAGAAGGGTGAATAAAACCAGGTATCAGCAAGTGTAATGTTCCATCATCAGACTGACACACCCTGCAAACACACGTCCAAAACCAGAATATCAGAGGAGAAAAGAGCTGGGAAATGGCCTTTCTAAGCAAAACAGATCCAAGAAATCTTTGGCTATGTTAAAAAGAAATAAAATAAAGACAAGGGGAAATGTTTAAAACTCAGAGCATCTCAAAAGGCAATTTCCTTCTGCTGCTCTTGAAAGAGCCCCACTCGTCCTTTCACAGCTGATGGATCCCATCAGGATCAGAGCTCAGAACTGGCAGCAGGAGCTGCATCTCAGCAGGTACCAGATGCTACAAATCACAGCCCAGTGAGGACAAGGGATGAAGGCAAGGAAAACACAGACCCAGAGAACTCCTCAGGCAGAAGGGACTGACTCTGAATCAGCTGCTGCAGCAGAAGGATCAGACACACAGTTCCTTCTGAGATGGCCCTGCCTATGTAATTGAAAAAGCAATTTTGTTGTTTGGACCTCCTGGTATTCAGACCCCACATGTAATCCAATCTGCCTTAAGCAGAAGCATTTTGTGATGTGATTTAAGGAGGAAAAGTTTGATACAAACAGTCTAATTTAATTTCAGATTTGTGCTATTGGCAAAGGCCAACACACATTACATCCCATCACCCCACGTGTTTGAATTTGACAGTTCCCAGCTCCTTTTTGTCAGTCACCCAGGGATTAATTCCATTTCTGCCCCATCTCCAAGTCCAATGTCTTTAGAAGCAAGTGCTGAGCCTGACACTTTGGTTTCCTCTCCTCATCCTCCTCACACATTAAACCAACCAGGAGAACCTCAAAGCACAACTTCCCCCTCTTTGACCAAGCAGATGTGAAATGCTCAGCAGACATAAACAAATATGCTTCAGAAAGCCTTTTCCTTGCAAATTCTCTGTTTGGATACCCAGAGGGAGCTGGTCACCTACTTCAAAGGCAACCACAGCACCAAAAAAGGCCCAGTTGCCCCAAACACATAGTTTTGGCAAGGCAAGCTGTTCTCAGGCCATAATGGTTAAAAAAGTGTTTGCAAATATTGTGTTCATCAGAAAAGACACATTCTGGGGTTTGGTTTTAGACTGACATAAATTAAGGAGCCAGTTAAGGATCCCTGCAGTTTTATTTGGAGAAAAAAGCAGAGTTGCTTCATGAAGGGAATCAAAAAAGGCCTAATTGGCCCTAAACACGTGGTTCAGCCTTACATGGCAAAGGAAGGTGTTCTCAGACCATAATGGCTAAAAAAGTGGTTTTGAATATTGTGTTTATCAGAAAAGACACACTCTGGGGTTTTTTTTAGACAGACACAAATTAGGGAGCCAATCAGGAATACCTGCAGTATTAGTTGGAGAAAAAAAGGAGAGTTGCTTCATGAAGAGCATCAAAAAAGACCTAATTGGTTCAGTCTTGTGTAGAAAGGGAAGGCATTCCCAGGCCATAATAGTTAAAAAAGTGTTTTCAAATATTGTGTTCATCAGAAAAGACACACTCTGGGTTTTGGTTTTAGACTGACATAAATTAAGGAGCCACTTAAGGATCCCTGCAGCATTAGCTGGAGAAGAAAGGAGTTGCTTCATGAAGGGAATCAAAAAAGGCCTAATTGGCCTCAAAGACATGGTTCAATCTTGTGTAGCAAGGGAAGATGTTCCCAGGCCATAAGGGCTAAAAAACTGGTTTCAAATATTGTGTTCATCAGAAAAGATGCACTCTGGGGTTTTTTTTTAGACAGACACAAATTAGGGAGCCAATCAGGAATACCTGCAGTATTAGTTGGAGAAGAAAAGGAGCATTGCTTCATGAAGGGCATCAAAAAAGGCCTAATTGGCCCTAAACATGTGGTTCAGCCTTACATGGCAAGGGAAGGTGTTCTCAGGCCATAATGGTTAAAAAAGTGTTTTCAAATATTGTGTTCATCAGAAAAGACACATTCTGGGTTTTGGTTTTAGACTGACATAAATTAAGGAGCCACTTAAGGATCCCTGCAGTTTTATTTGGGGAAAAAAAGCAGAGTTGCTTCATGAAGGGAATCAAAAAAGACCTAATTGGCCCAAACACATGGTTCAATCTTGTGTAGCAAGGGAAGACATTCCCAGGCCATAATGGCTAAAAAACTGTTTTCAAATATTGTGTTCATCAGAAAAGAGACACTCTGGATGATAATCATGGGTGGCTGCATGAAAAATATACTTTTATAGGGAGCTGCAGCTTATTTAACCCAAGGTCCCTGTTTCAGTGAGCAGTGTCCATGTGCAGCATGGCAGAATTCCTATTTGGCACTGGAGTCCTTTCCATCCAGAGAAGGAAAATCTCTGATCGAATTTGGGGATAATTACAGGGCATAAAGTATGTCCTGTTATCCATCACAGCACAAGAATTCAAAGAATTTCTCATCAGCTCTTTCAGGCAGACCAAAGAAATCCCAAGCCTCTCTCTGAAGCTCCTGCAGCTCTTTTTCCAAAGCAGTTGTAGTGATGTGGAATATCAAGCAGGGAAAACTAATCAGAACAATTCAAAACAGAAAAGTTAAAAGAAAAGACCAAGGGAAAAATGAATCAATGCAAGACCCGGAGGCTTTTACCAACCGTTCTTTAAGTAAAATTAATTTGTAATGTAATTAAACTTTTCCCCAGAGGGACAGGTATAATTGAATTAGAGGTGCCTGGGTAGAGTTTCAGGATTTAGAGGATCCTCCCAGACTTTACCATGCTCCTCTCCCACTGCTGCCCTTCACAAAAAGCCTCCTCAGTTCATTTCTAAGCACCTTCCACGAAACAACACAATTAGAATTTATTTCTCTCTTGCTCTCCCCCAGACCAGCCAAGTCCTGCTCCTCTGCAGTGAAGTTTTCTCCTCATGGATTAACTTTCAAGCCATTTTTAAACTCTGCCACTCTTACAGTTAAAGGATTTTGCCGAGTATTTCCAGGGGCTGTTTAAAATCCCCTGGTTTTGTGCTACCTTGTTCTGCTGATATCTAATGATCTGAGCACAAATCTTGGGCACAACAGGGTTTTCAAGAACTCCTCGAGGGCTAAACCCCAGCTGGGCTCCCTCAAAATGTGTGTGTGATGCAGAGTTATTCCAGCAGGAGAGAGAGGAGCCAGCTCCAGCATTGCAGTAACAAAACAACCAGCCCAGTCCCACACATCTGAAGGCCTAAAATATTCCCTGAATTCAATATTGAAGGTGAGATGGGCAGGAAAGGTGATGCTGTGAAAACTTTCCCTCAGGAAACTGGATAGAAAGCTGTAGGTCATCACTGACACAAAGACAGGCTTGAATGCAGAACCACAGCTCGTCATCCTGAAATTTGGGAGGGTTTGGAGGCACAGGACACTTGTAATTTAAGAGGTTTGACTTAGAGGCCATTTCAGCAGACAATTCTCAGAAGTTCTTAGGTCTAAAATTACATTACAATAGGTTTCTTCCCCCAGTTTCCATTACATTATGGATAAGACAGACCAGGGACAATCTCCCCCAGAATGAACCCACAGTGTCTCTGCTTCATCTTGGAGAAAACTTATCTTAAAAAACAAAACAAAACCCAAACCAAACAAGCAAAAAAAAAAACCAAACAAAAAAACCCCACAGCGAACAAAAATTATCTGATGTGTGTCAGAATTTCCAGGAGGGCCATTCATGGGGAGATTTAAATAAGATGTTAAGAAAAGATTGTTTAATCAGAGGGTGGGGAGGCCCTGGCACAGGTTGCCCAGAGAAGCTGGGGCTGCCCCTGGATCCCTGGAAGTGTCCAAGGCCAGGTTGGAGCATCCTGGGCTAGAGGAAGGTGTCCCTGCCCATGGCAGGGAGTGGAACTGGATGATCTTTAAGTTCCTTTCCAACCCAAACCATTCTTTGATCTCTGGCCTCTATTCTCTCTGTCACAGTGACTAATCCTGTACCTATTTAATACTTAAACCCGTACAAGAACATCCACAAACCCTCTGCTTCCTTGGATATTGTGGTTTTGTCTGTGACCCCCCTCTGTGCTGCCCCTCCCCAATTCCAGTGGTGGTCCCATCACTGTTTCTCTGCAGCCACTGATATTTCTATTAGTGAATTTAAGGGATTGATTTGGGAAACACCTCTCCAGACCTTTCCAGGTCTTACAAGGAAATCCCCTCACAGTGGTGCAAAGACAAGCCACAGGAAGCACCTCTGGCTGGGGGGATGCTGAGAACTTAACTCCCGAGAAATCCCAAGTTTCTTTGGGGATTCTCTGACTCTTCCATTCAATAAAAGGCCATGGGATCCCTCACTCTCAGCTCAGTGATACTCCAACACCAAGAAATTAAAGTTTGCTGCCCAAGTGTTTCTGGAACTAATTGGCATTGCAGAGCTCCCAAAAAAGGCACACACCCCAGTCCCTGATTCCAGGCACGACACTATTTCAGCCTTCCCTGCTTTTGTAGCTTGGAAGCCTCATTTGTGGCCTCTGTCCCAGATAAGTTTCCCACCTGGAGGTGCCTCTTTAATTCTAATGGACAGAAAGCTCCTTTCCAGCTCTCCCAGGAACATGGAGGAGAATTTGCTGGCTCATGGATCCCTTTGTGTTCTCTGAGAAAAGTCACTGCATGAGGTGCTCCCAAAACTGAGTCCTGGAAATCCGAAGCCTTTCTTTTTGGAGTTGAAAGACTTCAAGTGTGTGTGGGGGTTTTTCTAGACATTTAGGCCTAATTCAAGAGGAAATCCTAATCCTCAAACTTCTAATTACTCTGCCAATCTGGCTTATTAATTCCTCTGTTAAATTTAGGTAATGAATAAGCAAGACTGACTTTTCTGTATAGTCTGTCTCTCTTTTCAGTCTAAATCTTGCCAAAAAATAAAAAAGCCAAACCCAGATTTGAAAGAAGTTCCTGTCCTTCTTATGCATCTCTCATTATATCTCCATTTACCTGATGATATTAAATATTTCAACAAATATTAATAAGGACATTTTTGATGTCAGAGCAGTTGGTATTCTTGACCTTTTAGGTCTATTAAAAAAAAAACTTCAAAAGTTTGCTTCTTTGTAATAAGGTAAGACCCAAGGATCTGAGGCAGGAAATATTTAAGTCTCTAATTTAGATAGAAATCAAGGAAAATTAGGCAGATAAGTATCTTTAAAGATCTAAGCTGAAATGATTAGACTTTTTGAAATATTTGAGATTTTTTTCCTGGTCTTCTGTTCTCTTGTTTCATCAGTTTTACTTCACAAATTCTGCTCTGGTCTCATCTCAATATCAAGTGTTGAACACAAGGATTTGTTCCTGGCCTTTTTACAGAGGCAGAAGTGACCAAACAAATGGCTCTGACTTCCAGAAACAAACTCCCATCCCTTCCCTTCAGAAGGGAGAATTCTCAGTGTCCCACTTTCAGGGTCACCACGTTCTCTCCTGAGGAATTTCTACAAGTTTGACAGGAATTTTTAGGTTTTAATTTTAGGGTTTAAGTTTTCTAGGAATCCTACCCTACAACCTTCATCAAAATACACAAAAAAGGTCCATCCTCCACCTTCCATATTTATTTAAATCAGGTTTTGTGAGCCAGGCTGTGACCCCAGGGAAGCACTGGGAGGTGTGAGGGCTGTGAAGGCAGAAAGCCTCCATTTATTATTCATCACGAGACAAAGCCAGATGCGATTTTCAAAACACAAAAAAAATCACCTTTCAGAAGCACTTCTAAACTCTCTGAGCTGAACTGGCAGGTGACCACAGGTGAAAATAAAAGCTGCAGCACAAATACAGTATCATTTTCTCTCTGGTGTCGTTTCCATCAGGTATTTTCACAGAGGGCACCGTGACATCCCTCCCCCTAATCACACCCCATCGGTGAGGAGGGCACACAACAAAAAGGGATCTTCTGTAAAGTTGTAACCTTTTAAAGACCATGCCAGTCATCACTGAACCGTGGGGAATTAGTGTGGGGTTCTAAGAGCACAGACAGAGGTTTTTGTCTCACGTGGTGCTGTCCCAGGGACACCAGAGCTGGCAGAGCTTTGTGCCCCCAGCAGGAACCACCCCTGGAACAGATCAAAGTGGCAGCAATTTGCAGTTCTCTGGGCAGACACAGGTTGGGCAGAGCAACCTGCCTTTCCCCAGGGGAAAAAAACCTCCCCCTCCTTTCTGTCTGACACAGAACAAATCCTTCCTTCTTCCTGCAGGATTTACATCTGGTTGAATCTGAAGTTTGAAATAACCTTTGGGATATTGTTCCCATCTCAAACCAACACCCTGCCCTGGGGCATCTCCTCTGAATTGTGTGATTGAATGACTGGAAATATGATTTGAGAGAGAATTGGGATTGTTCAGCCTGGAGAAGCTTTGGGGTGACCTATTTGTGGCTTTCCAGGACCTCAAGGGATCCTAAAGAAAGATGGAGAGAGACAATTTGCAAGGGCCTGGAGTGACAGGACAAGGGGGAATGGCTTCCCACTGCCAGAGGGCAGGGTCAGATGGGATATTGGGAAGGAATTCTTCCCTGGGAGGGTGGGGAGGCCCTAGTACAGGTTGCCCAGAGAAGCTGTGGCTGCCCCTGGATCCCTGGAAGTGTCCAAGGCCAGGTTGGACGGGGCTTGGAGCAACCTGGGCTGGTGGAAGGTGTCCCTGCCCATGAGTTGGAATGAGATGATCTTTAAGATCCCTTCCAACCCAAATAATTCCATGATTCTGTGACTTATGAATTACTAGAACCACTGACTAAAGCATTTCTGAGCCTGTGCTGAGGTGACCCTTGGGAAGCTGAACCCCAGAGCTCCCGAGTGACCACAAATTTCCTCAGGGGAAAGGTGGAGTTTCCAGTACTCACAGAGGGCAGTGGTGAGCTTCTCCGGCTGGTCATAGTGCACCATGGCCACACAGAGGGTGTTGAGGGCCACCACACACAGGACAATCCAGTAGAAGCTCTGAGCCTTCACCATGCGCCGGATGAAGAACCGGAACATCTTCTCTTTCCTCCTGAAGTAGGACGAGCTCTCGTTCTTCCCGCTCTTCAAACTGGCGCGGGCAAAGGGAGACCCTGGGACAGAGAGAAGAGTCACCACACCCCACCCTGGCAGGCAAAAGGCTGGAGGACATCTCCTGGGCACACAGAGCCTCTGCCAAGCACCGGGAACACGGCTGAGCAGAAAGCTGGGCACGCTGGCCACGGGCTGAGCGAGGGCATCTGGCTTGGGATGGTGCCATGAGGGATGAAGGCTGGGGTTTTAAAACTTCATGAGTCAATGAATCAGTGCCCAGCTCCGCCATCTAAAGAAACTGGGCTTCCAAACCTTTGGAACAATCCCGATTGCCCCAGTAAAACTCATCCCTCGGGCTGGAAGGACAGGAAGCACCAGGCCCGGTGGTGGTTCTGCCCGTGGTGTGGAGCACGTCCTCGTGGAGCTGGGACCTGGCAGCAGGAAAGCTGGTCCCTATTTCTCCTGCTCCAAGGACCAGCCCTTACTGCTGAATGGAATGAAGTCTCCTTATTTCATTCTCCAACTGCTTGTATTTCCTGAGCAGAGGCCTCGATCTACCTCCCTGCATCAGATTTTGGGTGCAGCTACTCATTTGTACCAATTCTGCCTAAACCAGATGTATTTCCACTCTGGTTTGAAACCCTGGAAAGAGCCAAACAACAGGAAGCTGATGGAAGAAATTCTTTCTGCTGTTCAAATGAAGGATGAAAGGGCAACCTCTGGCCAGTGCTGAGCAGGAGAAATCAGCACAGGTTAGGAGTAAACACATGGAGCCATTGGGGTTCCTCTGCAACTGCCACAGATGCTGTTGCAAGCAGGGAAAATCATGATTGTTGCTGTCCACTAGTTGTGTCACGCTCTGCTGGCCCTCAGGACCTTTTTTCAAGCTGATTTGTGGCAGGATAACACACTATTACCCTTCCCCATCGTGGGATGGAGCATCCCTGCAGGAAGGGCTGAGCAGGACACATGGGCCTGCCTTGGACCAAGCAGATGATTTACATGGAGATGGCTGAGTTACAGGAACAAAGTGTTCTGGCTGCAGCAGCCAAATCTTGGGGTGTGAGCACCTACATTTCAGCACTTGGAAGGGGCAGGAATCTCACCCTGTTTCGTGCTGCAATAACATCAAACACAACACCCATAGAAAGGATGAAGCATCCAGATGTGACAGCAGCAGGTTCTCCAAGCCTCACAGCTCCACAGGAGCATGATGTCTCCCCAGTGGAACGTGAGCTCTCCACTCCATGGCCCATTTCTGGCCACCCACCAATACACAGAGCTGGCCTTGGCCGGGCTCTGAACAAAGTCCTTGCAGAAAAGCTTGGTTTGCTGTTCTGTTAGTTTGCTAATCCTGCCTTTGGCAGTTTAAAAAATAAATCACAGTGCTCCTCCATTGCTCTAAGACAAAAAAAAGAGCTCCAGTTTAGGATTTTGGCTGCACTGTTTAGCAGGTAAAGAGCTCTCAGATATTCATGCCACTCTGTACTCCCAGATTTGCAAGGGAATAGTCTCATCTCCTCCACTGATCTTTCAGAGGAGAAAACCAGTTTGTATTTAAGCTGATCTAACATAGAAAATATCCACTTCTCTGGGCTTTGCTGTCTGGGAATCCAGACAAGTGTCCTGTGTCTGGGACAGCGTGGAGGGTGGGAAGGCAGAGAGAGCAGCTGCACACTTATTAGTGTGGAATGAGAGGCTGAGAGTTGGGAGAAGAGAAAAGAACAAATGCTAAGAACAGCTCCAGAGAACACATTGGGAAGTGTTCAGCACTACAGAGCTTTATAATGCAGTTATGAGGCTCCTTGAGGTGCTTGTGTTGGAATTCAAGAGCCAACGGGCAGCGAGAGCCCTGTCAAAGCCTCTCCCCCTGGTCTGCACCTTCCCCTGGCACTCAAGAATGATGCTGCTGGTTCTTCCACCCTCCTTCTGCTCCCACCAGAAGACATCACAGAAAACCAGCCAAAAAACCCCTTTGCTCAAAAAAACATATTCTTCATGCATAATTGCCCACGTGCTGTGATTGTTTGTGTTCTGCAGAGCCTCAGCCTCTTCGGGAGCCCGCGAAGGAGCTGCTTCATCCATCTCTCCTTCTCTGTCTCGTTCCATGAATCAAAATCAAAACCACTTTTCCCAAGTGGGTGAAGCACTGCTGTTATTTTCCCTGCCATATGCTCCTGAGACAGTTCCCAGCTCTGCAGCAGATTATTCACGAGCCCAGATGCTCCGTCATCCGTTGCCACCTGAAATGCCTGAATTCCAAGATCTGTTGGCGTGGCATGGGTGCCCAGAGCCTGGAGGGACTTGGATGGGAATGCAAAGAGCTCGTAATTATTGCAACCACGGACAACTGTTCCAAAAATGACCCTTCCTTGTTATCCATGCAGGGATCCTGGGGGAAAAAAAAATAACCGAACCAACCCAAAAATGCACACGGGTGCTGCATTTTTGCCCTCTTTCAGCAACGAGCCTCTCGCAGGAGTGTCAGCAGTTTAGGCACAAAACCTGCAGCCTGGGGGACCGTGGGTGATGGTGTCAGGAACATGCCAAGCAACATTCAATTCCTGCAACCAGGTCTTGGTTTAAAGGGGAAAAAAAAAATCCCAGCAGCAGCTCTAATCCCTTAAAATCTTAATGCCAACTTTCCAAAGGGCAGTCGAGGCACTCGTGCTTTCAGAACTCTGCAGACACAGACTCTGAAATGAACTGTTTGTGCCGCTGCTCTTGTGCTCCCAGGATTTGCTGCTTGGTGGGAAATGGGCTGCCAGGATATTTCTTTGGAAGATAATGAGAACATCTGCTGCTCCAGCAGCAAAACCATGTCCAGACTCAAACAACAGGGCCAGGGAGAAGCAAAATACCCAAGTGCAGAGCAGGCAGGAGATGTGCCCCCAGCCGGGGAGGAGCAGCCCATGGCTGAGAGGTGTCTCTGCTGGTGTCCAAACAGCTCCCTGAGCTGGGAGCTGTGGGCTCAGAGCCTGCCAAGCCCTGCCAGCCCCAGACCTGCCTCCTGCCTCTCCACCTGCCTGTGTCTCAGGAGGGAATCAGCTCTGGGAACTGCAGGACAGGCAGCACCCCCATAGCCTGGCCACGTCCTGGTCTGCAGAGCTGAAGACTCCACATGCCCCACAGGGCAGGATGCACTGGAGGTGTGGGGGTGACTGGGTGCACACTGGTGTGTATCTCCACATCTGGCTTGAAAAATGTAGAGAATTGCTTCAAGATCTTCTCCTAAGGCAAAAATGAGGGAACTGGGGCCACTGCCCAGGGTTTCCCAGTAATAACTCACACAGCAAGGGCTGCAAACCCACCCCTGTGCGTCGGTGGCAGATGGGACTGTGTCCAGTTCCTCCAACAAAGAGCCTTAGCAGCGTCCTTGGACAGATTTGGGGTTCATTAGCATGAACAAGCGTGCTCCAAGCAGAATCCCGGGATGGGTGGCACAGCAGGGATTCTCCCAGCGCCGGGCAGGGCTCTTGGAAAGGTGCAGCATGCAAGAGCTGAGCCAGGCAGCGCAGGGCAGAGGGTGAAGCCACGGAGCCCTTTGCTTTGGGAAGTCGAGGGGACTTCTCCTTCTTGAAACCACAGCTTCTGGAGCAAAGGAGCCTCTCAGAGGAAAGATGGCATGGACAGGTTTGGGTGGAGATCTGAACCTGGGGCAGTGCGAAGCCGGTACTCACCAACGGAGCAAATGTCTGTGAAATGGTCCTCACCTTCTTCTGCATGAATCAGGTCGTTTTTGCTCTTCTTTATTGCGGCTCTTTTCAACACTGTGTGCAAATTAAAGAGAAAATGCCCCGTGAGGATGCAGAGTGGATTCTCTCTCCCCCTCCCTTCGCTCTCCAGGGCCAGCATTTCCTTCCCAATGCCAGCTTAGAGCTCTCACACAAGGGCAAGCCGGAGCAAACCGGACAACCTACAACCTTGCAGGGCCCAGTGCTTCGGTGTCGGGGTCCTTTAGCTGTTTGACCTTCCAGATCTTGAAGGTCTGCCAGGAACGGGGCTGGGCGCTCCCGCTGCCCCCAGCAGATGCAGGAGGGTGGGGGAGTCACTGCAGCTGCTGGAGCTTTTAGCACAGCAGAAAGGCTGGCCAGGGTCACTGGATCTTTGTGAGCCCCAGTGGGTGAGGAGATGAGTGCTTCCATCCATTAAAGCCATTAATGCTGTTTACAGTGGGCACCATTAAGGAGTCAGCATTCACGGGCTCCGTTTAAGCACCGAGCAGTGCCTGGAGGAGCAGAAACGCTCCGAGAGAAGCAACTGCCACAAATCAGGGAGCAGCCTCTTAATAGCACCCAGTGTACAATCCCTGCCCTCTGGGGCTGCTGTAATTCTTTGAAGACACGCTTCTCCCAACAGCATCTTTTGTGGGGAGGGCAGACATCCCTACAGTGTTTTATTCCGACAGGGAAAGAGGCCGGCAGCCTAAAAGGCTCGGAGAGCTCTGCACTGTCCAGCCAGTGCACGAGGGGTGAGGCAGGAACAGTGAGGATGCCGGTCCCATGACCACCTACCTGCAGAACCTCGAGAACTGGCAGAAAAAGATACGTTGATACAGTTTGGTAACAGGTTCAAGACATACAGTAACTAAGCACCATTTTCTAGCAGCAGTAAGACACCCCACGGTGTGGTGATACAGACTGGTCAGAAGGCACACACAGCAAACCCACACACTCTGAGCCACTGGAGTCTCCTAGAGAAGATCCCCTCACTCTTCACACGGATTTCCCTGACACGGAAATGGATGTGCTGCTTCCTGCACGGCCAAGGCAAGGGTTGGTTCTTTGGTTGCTCAAACACCCAGAGCATCACCTGGGTTCGGAGAGGCTCGAGGAGAAGAGGATGCTCTGAGCCTGTGATCTGGATCCAGGGGTTTTTTTTGGCAAATAACCACTTTTGCACCTTTCTTCCCCACCCAGCTCTAGGCTGAATCCTCAGTCCCAGCAATACCAGCTTTTGGGTCCTCCAGGCTCCATCTGTCCCAGTACACTCCAGCATATCCAGGCCATTCCCAGCACTGGAATGTAACCTGGGAGTAAAATTTTACAACACTCCGTGGCATGAATTGAGCAGCTTCTTTATCTTCTCCCCCAGATAACTCCTACTTGTGTTTAGCAGTGTGCCATCTCTAGAGGCACCCTGGATGCAACAGCCCTCTGTTTTGGAGACTGAGAGGATTTACCAGCATAGACATGGGCTGCTCCACACCAGTTGCTTCAAGGCTGGGAATGTTGCCGGGCTCCTTTAGTTTAGCGGGATAGAAGGAGCCTTAATGTCCCTGGGTCTTGACTTGTCCCCACCTCTAGTTTGCTCACACCACTCAGCTTTCCGGGCTACTCTTCCAGACGCTCAGGGCTAAGAGCTGCACCCACGTGCTGGACGAACTCCCCCAGCGCACACGACCCACACACACACACGAAGACTGGCCAGGCACACCTCGAACCCTGACCTCCTGCAGCCCCAGCTCTTCCGTCCATCCCCGAGTCCTCCCCAGGTGCAGGTCACCAGGCTGGCCAAGGCGGACCAGCAGCCGGGCGCCCGCCGCCCCGAAGGAGCCGGAGCACAGGGTGCAAAACCACCCGGGAGACACCCCCGGTGACCTGGGCACGGGGGGCTGTGGGGTGAGGCTGCCCCGCTGTGCCGCCTGAGCCCCTGGTGATTTGCAATCCACTCACTGTTGTAGCTGCTGCCGCTGCTAGTCTCTGCCGGTGCCGTGCCTTGGTGGATCGGCCCTTCCGAGGCGGCCCTCCCTGACAGTGAATGGGAGGAGAAAAAAAAAGAGGAGGGAAGAGGGAGGGGGAGGGGAAAGGAGGAGGAGACATGGGAGGACGAAAGATGGTCAGAAAAGGGAGAGGGAAGAATCTTTAACTGAACTTTGACTGGCTGGCGCGTTCCTACGAGCTCATCGCTCTCGGAGGCACAGGGAGGGCAGGTCCTGTGGCCTCGCTCGGCTCGGTCCCTCCAGCCTGGGTCGCACGTTGGAAGGTAGGATCACCACACCCTGTTATGTCTTACTGCTTACAGCTAACAGGGGTCTTAGTCTCTTTGTCAAATCCGTTTGGAAAACCTCGGTTTGGAGCCCTGCCTTCTCCTGGTCAGCGCGTTCCTCCTCTGGCATCCGCTCTGCAGCCTAACCCCCGCCACGGCCTGGGGGTGGGACACGGCCAGCCCCGCTTGGACAGGCTGACGGGTGTCCCTGTGGTCCCACAGGCAGCGTAGGGACCGACCCCAAGGGCAGATCCCCACCCCAGGGCGGTGTCACATGACTGCTCATCATCCACCTGCAACCTCGAAAGCACCCGATACGGGCGAAGGGACTCTGCAGCCCCATCTCTGCCAAGGGCATGCAAGAGTGTGTTCCTCACACCCTCCTGGGCACAGTGGAAGGCCGTGGCACTGTCCAGCAGCTGAACCTCTCACGTATCACAGGAGGAAAACGGCACAGCAAAGGGACCTACCGTCCAGAGGAGATTTCTCTTCTGCGTTCTTGTCTTCCTCCGCCAGCATGACCTCCTCTGGAAAAGATAAAACAGCGAGGTTCAACCTCAGGTTTATCACATCCCTGCTCTAAAACCAGCTGCCACCTGCCTTACCCCCTTGTATCACCCAGTTACACCCAGCCTGGGGAGGAGAGGATGGCTCAGAACACTGTGCCCCTCTTGCTCAGGGGAAGGATGTCAGACAAACCACTGGGAGATGTAGCTCTTCCTGCATGATATTCCTCTTCACAACCACCCACCCAGTCCAGTTTCTCCACCCAACTATCATCCACAAGGGACTTCTGGGTGCCAAGAACCTTCCTTCAGACCCAAGAAAGCCACAGGGTGGTCCCTCATGTCCTGTCACATGGGAGACACCGTTTGAGAAGTGAGAGATGCTCCACACCCGTTGCTGCTCTTCTGTCTCCATCAGCAGGACCAGGACTCAGCCCAAGGGTAACAGATCTCTTGTGGCACAGGGTGAGACAAGCAGGGCCAGCTGCTGCATGTCAGCAGTGCCACATCTCAGGAGACACAGTGTCACCAGAAAGCCACCACGTCAAATCTTTGTCCAGTTAAAACCCACAAGGTCCCGGGGGGAGCTCTGCTCAGCACAGTTCAGGCTGTGCAGTGCAGGAACACCATCCCTGCTTTCCACTCATGTGTGATCTCCAAAATACAACTTTAGACTTCCCTAAAGTAAAAAAAAAAAATCATAAAACACTGTAAAAACCAACCTCCCAAAAGTGAATGATTTTTATCTGAGTGAAAGACAACCAAGTTTCCTGAGGTTTCCCGGTGCAAATGTCATCACCCAAGGCAGTTTGCGGAACACACCGCGCTGTGCCAGCACTGGAGAAACACTCAGAACCACAGACTTTAACTTGCTGCTGGAAAAATTACGTGAGGATTTTCTAAAGGACAACCCAAAGCAAACAAAACATCGAGTTGGAAGCTGGTGATCTGTACACTTCCTTCTATTATTATAAATGACAAAATCCTCCACGTGCTTGGCACGGATATGATTTGACTGAAATATCTGATGCCGTGTTCCCACAAAATTTTGCTTTAAAGTCCAGTTAAGCCGGTCTAGATTGAAGGGTAACTAAAAAAAATATAGAGAATAAACACAAACAAACCACAGGCCAAACATCAAAGTGTGTAGCTGAGAGCTGTCTAGAAGAATACTAGAGGGATCAGCCTTATATAAGCCTATATAAGCCACACAAGCCTTATATAATCTCTTTATTAATCATCTGGGAGAGAGAGTGAATGATACATTAATAAGACAGTAAATTGAGAAGCCTGAAAAATAATATCCAAGGACTGAGGGAGGCTGGAAAGGCAAGAAGAAATAAGAAAGTGCAAACTAGTGCATGAGAGACATGGAGGAAAGAAGAGCTGAGAGAGGGTTAAAAATGTCAGGTGAGCTAAAAACTGCACTTTAAAAGGTATAAAATCCTTCCAAAATCCCACAAGACAAATCAGGTGCTTTTTGAGGCTTCTTAGGATGGGTCAAAAAAGTAAAATGGGCTTTTGTAGACAGTTCAAGAGACTTCTGTGTCAAACCAGCACCTCTTCAAAAGTCTGGCCCAGGGAAAAGCTGTACCCATGGTTGGGGCTAAAAATGTTGGAAGGAAATAAAAAGCAATTACCAGTGAGTATGACTGTCCTAAACCATGAGGAAGGGATGGCTTGGACATGGACACCCCTTCCCAAGGGCTGCTGGTGTCAGTGGATCCTCACCCACAAAGGACAGGTTCCTAAGAGATAACTGCAAACCAGCTGGGCCTCTGCCCCAAACTCAGGGCCCCGAGTTGGTGCCCAAACACATCTCCATCCATGGACACATCTCCATCCATGGACACATCTCCATCCATGGAAACATCTCCATCCATGGAAACATCTCCATCCATGGAAACATCTCCATCCATGGAAACATCTCCATCCATGGACACATCTCCATCCATGCACACATCTCCATCCATGGACACATCTCCATCCATGGACACATCTCCATCCCAAACTCATCTCCCTACACAGACACATCTCCATCCATGGACACATCATCCATGGAAACATCTCCATCCATAAACACATCTCCTCCCATGGGCACATCATCCATGGGCACATCTCCATCCATGGACACATCATCCATGGACACATCTCCATCCGTGGGCACATCATCCATGGACACATCTCCATCCATGGACACATCTCCATCCATGGACACATCATCCACGGATGCATCTCCATCCATGGACACATCTCCATCCCAAACTTATCTCCCTACACAGACACATCTCCATTCATGGACACATCTCCCATGAACACATCATCCATAGACACATCTCCATCCATGGACACATCTCCATCCATGGACACATCATCCATGGACACATCTCCATCCATGGACACATCATCCATGGACACATCTCCATCCATGGACACATCTCCAGCACATGGGCTCAGTTTTACTGTTCCCTTTACAACCCCAGGTTCCACCAATGAAACTCCCTCAATCCCAGCTCTCCACCCCCATTGCTCCCCAGTTCTGTCCTTTCACAATCACTCCTGTGTGCCTTGAATCCTCTGGGAATCCCAAGGAACACATCCACCCTGGAAGGACTTCTCATGGGTTTTGGGGCCTGCTAAAAAGCCAGCTCAGCAGGACACTCAACACTTCCAGGAGGGGGTTTAACCACACAGAGGATCAGAAGCTGATTTGCCTTTAGTCATCACCAAGCCTGGAAGAGGATAATTGGAATGCCCAAAAAACCTCCCAGACCAGTGACTCTACATTAGAAGAAATATTCCACAAAGAGATGTTGTCAGATCAGCCACTTGGAGCCTCCAGACAAAGGTTTCACCAGGATATCAGAGCGAGAGGTGTCTCAGCAGTGACAGAGCTGCTGGTCATTAAGTACTGGAAGGACTGGAAATAAAGACAAACCTGGCACTGAGGAACTGGAAGGTGAACAATACAGGCAGAGCAGCAGAGAAATGTGGTGCCCCTTTGGCATGGGGAGAGAGGACATTGTGGGCTCAGATAACTCAGTTCAACAGGCAACAGAAGTTGGGGGGAAAAAAGGAAGAAAAACTGACTTTAACTGTCAGACTTGGTAAAGAGAAAAAAAATGAATAAATATACAGCCCTTAGAAGAAGCTGCCACACTCTCATGGGGAAATCTAATTTGTCTTTCTGGCAATTATCCTTCTTTGCCATCTCACACACGTGTCTCGTTGGTGTAGGTGGCTTTTCCCACCTGGATCAAAGGACTTGTTGCTCTGTTTCTTCTCAAGAAACCTGAAAATTCATAAAGCTTTGTCATGTCAAGGGGCAGCACTGAAGTTACAGTGGGCTGGGAGAGAGAGGTGAAACCATTCCCACAGCCTGTTACTCCAGGAGAAGGGAAACCCTCGGAGTCAGTGCTGGGGGAAAGAGCTGGAAAGAATTAAAATGCAAAAGACACACGACTTGATTAGCCCTGAACTGAAAGACTTCTGAGCAGAGCGTTTTCAAACTGATGCATGTCCTTGCAAGATAAGAGAAACATCTTCAAAAGACTATTTGTGGGCTTATAAACTCTTTAGTCTGTGCACAGAACTTCTGGTTGGAAATGCAGCGTGACAGCCTAATGGATGTTACAGGTTTGGGGAGTTTATTGGAGAAAGTGGTGGCAAAATCATTTGCATGGATTACATGGCTTGGCTTCACCTCTGTTTAATTCCTCTGAAAGGCACAAGTGCCTTTAAACTGAAGGAAGGTAGATTTAGATGAGATATTGGGATGAATTTTCCCTTGTGAGGGTGGGGAGGCCCCAGCACAGGTTGCCCAGAGAAGCTGTGGCTGCCCCAGCCCTGGAAGTGTCCAAGGTTGGATGGAGCTTCCGACCCAAACCAGTCTGTGATTCTGTGATAATATAATTCAAATTACAGAGTAGGTTGTGAGAAACATTAAAGACACTTCAGAGAGGTCAATAAATTATAAACATGATGTTAAATTAAAATCCTTGTTGGCCAACAGGAGGTAGTGTAGAGATGGAGTGATTTTAGTCACTCACATACTTGGTCTTAAACCAGTTACAGCCCTTGGGGTAAAAACTTGAGTACTACCAAGGCCAAGGAAAATGCCTTTCCAGCTCCAGCAACTCAGAATATGTCAAATATTACAGAGCAGAAACAATCTAAGTATTGAGATGCCATTTGATAAACCACTGGAATGCAGCTTTTCACTCTTCCCACCTTACATCAAAAATAAACGAGAAAAAACAAGCAACCAAAATGCTCAGGAAGGTTCTTATAAGTATTAGAAGCCTGGTGAACCTTCCATGGGAAGAGAAGGGATGGAGCTGATTGGTTCTGTGTGCTCCGGAGCAGAGAAAATAAGAGGACACAAGGTAGAGGGAAATTAAAGAAAGAAAAGTAATTAAAAGAAGCACAAAGTGCACTCCTGAGCTCTTCCTCTCACTGCAGAAAGGATTTAAACTGAGGGCAGGACACAGTTTGGTGGCTTGGTTTATTTTTTCAAATCAAACCAGCTGTTAACATGTGGAACTCTTTGCTACAAGAGTCAAGGATGGGAAGGATTTAAAACCCATTAGATATTCACACGAATAATAAGAAAACCCTCCAGAGTTCCCTCAGAGCAGAACACCAGGACTTTTGCTCTTTCCTTTATTGCATCTCCCTGCCTGGGGCTGGGCCAGGAGATTTCTGTCCTTCCTCCACCACAGTCCTGGACAAGGAAGAACAAAGATCCAGTCTGAAAATTCCAGATCATTTCCCAGCTGAAATCCCGGCCTTCAGAGCAGAGCTGGGAAATCCCTGTCAACGGCACAGTCCCAAATTTCAGAGCCTGAATTCTAAACACTCCACTCCCTGTTCTGCTTTGCCTTCACACTGCATTTGGTATTCAAAGATTTTATTAACACTGCTAAGCTGATTTTAATTACTGTTATTATTCAGCTGTACTAGGAAGCTTTTTTATATTCCTATTGTATTTTCAACAATGCCTTTACACAGTATTTTTATTATTCCCTGATTCAGCTCTTTTGCACACACTTCCCTGTTCTACAAAACCTTCTGGATCTTGTGTTATTAAACTACATCAAAAGATGTGCATTTTACAGCAGTTTTACTCCGTGTTGGTGTGGCATTTATTCAGCCCTGGCAACACAGAAATAGAAGAGCCAACCATTCCCACGGGGATGCAAAGCTGGAGCAGGGATTGATTGTACATTTTATAACTTTTCCAGCTCAACTTTAACTCAAGTCCAGCCGATGATATCTGCATGATGATCCCTGCGTGGCTCTTCTTGGCAAAACAGGCACCTAAATGAAAGCTTTGTCCCTGTAAGGGAGTTGTCCTCTTTATTTTAAAGATGGCAAACCAGGATTCAGAGACCAAAAATCACAGGAGCCTTGAAGTAAGATGGCATTAAACCAAGAACCACAGTGCACTCTGCTCCAGCCACTGCACAGACCACTCATTAATTTGAATTTGAGGTCGCTGAAAACAATGAGGAGACAAATGATAAATGGAAAGGGAAGTGAACGATTCTTTTTCTGATTCCTGCAGAATCCCGGAATGAGGAGTGGCTGCCTGGCTGGGGGCAGTTGCTGCTGAACAGTCCCAGGGAATAGAAGCCTGACAATAATAAAACTGGTACTCAATTGTCACTTTGTGCAGGAAATAATGGGCTTGAGCCACCACACAAACAGCGGCTACTTCGTCCTCTTTTACATTTGAAAGCCTCAGTTTTCCCCTCTGGCCGGGTTGTCAGAGCTCATGCCCAGATCTGCAGAGAAACCTCGGCAAACCAGAGGGCTGGGAATCACCAACCCTGGGAAGTTCAACAAGGGAAGTGCCGGATTCTGCCCCTGGGATGGGGCAGCCCTGGATATATGGACAGAGTGGGAATGAGAGGCTGGAAAGCAGTGCTGGGAAAGGGCCCTGGGGGTCGTGGTCAGTGGCCAGTTGGCCCTGAGTCAGCAGTGCCCTGGCAGCCAGGAGGGCCAAACGTGTCCTGGGGGGCACCAGGGAGGGGATTGTCCTGCTCTGCTCTGCCCTGGGGCAGCCTCACCTGGAATGTTGGGGCAGTTTGGGGTGAATATACAAAATAAGGAAGATATTGAGCCATTAGAGAGTGTCCAAAGGAGGGAACGAGGGTGGGAAGAGCCTTGATTTGAAACTGTGGGAGGACACTGAGGGCACTTGGGGTGTTCAGCTGGAGAAGAGGAGACTGAGGGGAGAGCTCAGGGCAGTTCCAGCTGCCTGGGGAGGGGCAGAGGAGGGGCAGGGACTGAGCTCTGCTCTGGGGGGACCAGGGACAGCAGCCAGGGAATGGCTGGAGCTGTGTCAGGGCAGGGTCAGGTTGGATCTGAGGAAAAGGTTCTTCCCCCAGAGGGTGGTTGGGCACTGCCCAGGCTCCCCAGGGCAGTGGGCACAGCCCCAAGGCTGCCAGAGCTCCAGGAGGGTTTGGATGCTCCTCTGGGGCACAGGGTGTGACCCTTGGGGATGGGTCTGTGCAGGGCCAGGAGTTGGACTGGATGATCCTTGTGGGTCCCTCCCAGCTCAGCAGATTCTGTGATTCTGTGATCACTGCCCTCAGGAAGGTACCAGGACCCACAGCAGGGCAGAGCCCCATTCCCTGGGCACAACGAGCCCCTCAGAGGAGGAAGAAGAAGCAAAGCAGCAGGAGCCAGGTGAAAATGCTCTTCATCCAGGCTGTGCACATAAAACAGAGGCTGTAACTGCAAACAAGGGCCATCTAGAACAGCCCCAGGATGCTCTGGTTTGTCCCTGGCTCATGCAGCTGATGCTGCAGTGAGTTGCTGTGGCCACACAAGCACATTTTAGCCCAGCAGGCCCCTGGCATCAGCAGGATGAGTGATGGCATGGCCAGGAGTGATGGCATGGTTTGAACACGGTGCCAGCCCATGTTTTCTGAGCTCTGCCAGGTCTATCAGCTGATGTCAGGTGAGTCACTGTGTAACTCTGGCCCTCAGCCTTCCCGTTTGTAAAGGGCAAGGAAGGAGCTGGTCTGTCCACAGAGGCACCTCACAGCCTGTTTGAGAAACCACCACTTCTTTTTCTCTCCATCATTGTCTCAAAAGGGGTTTTCACTTTACTCAGGTGTTTCAGCTTCTCAGCAAAGCAAGCAAGGAGGAAATTACCCCCCAATTTCCTTGATGCTGCATGAAAGAATTGCACAGTGGTTATATGAGGACTTGTATGAGTAGCCTATATGATCAATATAAGCTACTGTATAATGCAGAAAGATTATTGGCAATCAAAGGAAAAGCAAAGCAGGCTATTTTTTGTTAAATGGGTATGTCTGGGTCCTTGTTAAAGTTGCTCAGGGCTTGCAATAAAGTGCAATGTTCAGATATAATGGTTATGAAGCAGTGTTAATATGTGCTGGGGGGAGTTTCATGCAAGTGAGCTCCGTAGCTCATAAAAATGACACTGGGGTGTATTTTACCATCCCAGCAAGAAAGGCTTGTAAAGCAGCTGTGCTGGAAAGTAAATAAAATAGAAATGACTCAGAGAGAGAAACAGTTTCCCCACCGTGGAGACTTTGGGCTCTGTATCACTTTTTATATTATGCTGTATTAAGACAATTGCTTTGATCTCAGCAATAAAGGAAGTTGGCTCAGCTCCTTTAGTCTTGCTTAACCAAACCGAGATCTTCTGCAACAACTTTAGTGGGAGTGCTCAGAAATAACTGAAATTATCTTCTGCAATAACTGTAGTGGGAGCGCTCAGAAAGAATCCCCCCAAAAAACCAAGCACAGCCTTGTGTTCCCTCCATGGCCAACCACACCCAGGACTGCTTCTGGGGCTTTGTCCTCTCTCACCACCAGACTCTACTGGCCACAAGAGCGAGGTGAGGAGATCTCTGGCCTTACCTGCTTTGAAGATCCACTCCAGGTACCCGTTGAGCTCCCGCTCGATCTGCTGCTGCCGGCGGAGCTTCAGGAAAGCTCGGCGGTTCTCCACCCGCTCCCGTTCCTTGGCAAATTCACTGCGGAGAGGCAAGAGAGAGGAAAGCACCTGTCACCAGCGGTCATGGAAAACACACAGCCCTCCTTCAGCCTCTCAGGTTGTGTTCATGAAGCTTCTGAAGTCGACAGCAGTGAGTGGAAACCACAGCAAGCGACACCCGACAAAGTACGACTTGACTGGAGCTAAACCGAGTTTGTTTCTCTGCCTCTCTCATCCTGAAAGAACCTGAAAGATTGTTTCTCTGCCTCTCACATCATGAAAGAACCTGCAAACTGCCCTGTGCACACGTTTCTTGTGCCCCGTGGCCACACCACAGCCATTGCAAGGAGATCCTGGTGCACAGCCAGTCACGCAACACCAATTATTTTCCTCAGCGCTAAAATCCGTCTCTCTCAGCAGCAGAATTTCCCCTGGAAGCACAAGATTAAGTCACAGAGATATCAGCACTCCTGTGAAGAGATCTGCTCTTCCATGACAGCCTTTCATTTTTCCCAGGCTTAAGATGTCTGTGAGAAACAGGAGCTGCGAGTGAGGCTGGGTGTTCTGGGGTTGAGGTGAAGCAGCTCAGATTCTCTATGTTGAGGGTAAAAATGATCCTGCTATTTGCTAAAATCACATGGAAAGCAAGTATCTGGTATCAAATTATTCGCACAGGGCTGTACAGGGAATTCAGAAAGGAAGGTTCATCCAACCATTGCAATAATCATGTCCAAGTACATCCTGCTGCCCAGCTTGAAATGATGCTGAGACAAAAGCACAGCCACCAGCCAAGACAACTCACTCTGGGGCTTTCCCCAAGCTAATTCCTGTCACCTCTGGGAAGTTTCTGATGCCTCAAGTGAAGATGTACGTGCCATTTATAGAGCTCTGAGCCAGCCTCTGCAGCCCCTCCCTTTGGGCACACACTGGAGTGACTCTCACAGAGGCTTCACCTCTCTGGGTAAAATGGGATCAGGATTCTGTCCCTCAGGTACTCCAGAACCTCACTCATTCGGTGATGATGTCGTCAGTTAACTGTTAATTGTTGTAAACTTGTAGTTAGCCACAGATTTTGACCAAAATCTCATGTAATCAACACACAAATGTTCTCAGAAGCCAGCAAGGAGCAGGAGATGGGAGGAAGGACTGGGGAAAAAGGAACTCCAAATGCCAGACACAGCTTTACATTCCCAGTCTACACTTTGTCCTCCAGAGGTGACACTTTTGCTTCGTTTGGCAGCACTGTCTGACCCGGGAGAGGGGACTGGGAGGAGAACTTGGCTCAGCACCGACCACACGGCAGAGCCACCGATGGGAGAGCTGCCATCAGCTGAGCCCTTGTCTCGATGTTGGCAGCACATCCCAGTCTCCTGACTCCCCTTTCCTGTCCCCCACCTGACAGGACAGCCCATGACCCCATCCTTGGAACAGAGGAAGTGAAAACACGGCTCTGAACCGGCAGCTCCTCCTTGGCATTCAGCACATCCCTGCCAGGCCGTTCGGGACCCTGCACGTGTCAGTCTGGGCACTCTTCTCCACCTCCCTTTCTGATGTTCTCATTTCTGGTTCAGTGCCTGCTGGTTGGGGCCATGGACCTTCTCTGAGTGTTGATTTCCCCCTGGAGCAGCAGGAAGGAGATCAGACAGCACGAGGTGACAACATGCATTTGAATTTCCAGGCGTGGAGGGGCCACGTTCAATGTGTTACAGGCTCACGTCACCACAAACTTCCCAGAGGAGGAGGCAACACCTGGTAGGAAGTTTCCTGGAGGACCCCCATGGGCAGGAAGGACAGCAGATGAGCCATGGCACTGCTCCCTCACCCCTCAGGAGCAGGGAAAGAAGAGCTTCCCTCGCAAAGCTTTTCATCCTCTGCCAGCTCCGATCCTGCCTAAGGAAAGTAAAACTCCCCAGGACTCGTCCCTTTAATCACAACTTTATGTTTCAGAATCACAGAATATCCTGAGTTGGAAGGGACCCACAAGGATCATTGAGTCCAACCCTCAAGTGAATGGCCTGTACCTTAAATGTGTGGGAAGGTGAGGGAGGAACTGGGAGAAGCTGAAAACCTTCAGCAGTTTCTGTACAGACACACACATGTCTCACAAGCCACCAGTGGGGAACTGCCCCCTCCTGCTCCCTGGAACTGGCAGGTTTGGCAGAATCACAGAATTATTTTGGTTGGAAGGGACCTTAAGGATCATCTTGTTCCACCCCCTGCCATGGACAGGGAGACTTTCCATGATCCCACGTTTTTTCGAGCCCCGTCCAACCTGGCCTTGGACATTTCCAGGGATCCAAGGGCAGCCACAGCTTCTCTGGGCAACCTGTGCCAGGGCCTCCCCACCCTCCCAGGGAAGAATTCCTTCCCAATATCCCATCTAACCTGCCCTCTGGCAGTGGGAAGGCATTCCCTCTTGTCCTGTCACTCCAGCATTTGTAAATAGTCTCTCTCCATCTTTCTTTTAGGCTCCCTTCAGGTCCTGGAAGGCCACAATTGGGTCACCCCAAATCTTCCCTTCTCCAGGCTGAACAATCCCAACTCTCCCAGCCTTTCCTCCCAGCAGAGCTGCTCCAGCCCTCTGATCCTCTTGGTGCCTCCTCTGGACTCTCTCCAGCAGCTCCATGTCCTCTCTGTGCTGTTCCCCAGGGCTGGAGCAGCTCTGCAGGGGGGTCTCACCTGAGGGGCAGAGGGGCAGAATCCCCCCTGCCCTGCTGCCCACGCTGGGGGATCAGCCCAGGGCATGGAGGGTTCTGGGCTGGGCCATGTCCAGCCTGTCCCCCCCCAGCCCCTCCAAGTCCTTCTCCCAGGGCTGCTCCATCTGCTCATCCCCAGCCTGGATTGATCCAGGGGCTGCCCCAACCTGGTGCAGCACCTTGGGCTTGGCCTTGTTAAACCCCATGAGATTCCCATGGGCCACTGCTGGAGCTTGTCCAGGTCTTTGTCCTGGCATTGGAGCTTCTCCAGGCATTGCTGTGGAAGCTGGGAAGGTAATTTCCAGGAGAAGACAATACCCTGAGTCCCTGCTCACTGAATTCCTTCTGAGGGTACAGAGCTGTAGCAAAATCATCCAAGTTGAAGACTGGAGGGTCTTGATGTAGGGTCTTCCTGGCAAAAGGATGCATCACTTCTTCCTTCTCCTGTCTCCAGGAGATGGGAGAGAAGTTTGATGAAGCCAGAACTTGTTAAAAAACAGTTTTCTATATGAAATGTATTAATAAAAATGTGTGTCTCTTCCCCTACATTCATCACCATTCAGGAGCTGAAATAGTCCTTCTTTGCTCCCAGATTTTCCATTTGAGAGCTCTTCAACAAAATTCCAGAGCACATTCAAAGGAAGGGGAGAGGAGGGGGAGGGGAATTATATCAAAATGCCATATTTAATCTGAAAATATTTCAACTGAAGTTTTCCTGCCAGCTGAAAATGAAAACACAGAAAGTCCCCTGGGAATGTTTGGGAGCAGTAAATAAGTTCCCTCTTCTATTCAGCATAATTCCTATTTATGTCACTGACTTGTAAAAATCTCCCAAACCACCAGAAAGGAAACCTGAGCAGAAATATGCAGGAATTTCTTCATAGCTGGTCTCCCATCCTCTGGCCAACCCTGGAATGTGTTTATTGTGAGGGTGGGGAGGCCCTGGCACAGGTTGCCCAGAGAAGCTGTGGCTGCCCCATCCCTGCAAGTGTCCAAGGCCAGGTTGGAGCAACCTGGGCTAGTGGAAGGTGTCCCTGCCCATGAACAAGATGAGCTTTAAAGTCCCTTCCAACCCAAACCATTCCATGATTTTATGGTTCACCCACTCTCATCCCTGGCTCTCATCACCCAAAAAGCCCCCAAAGCCCTCGAATTGTTCATCTTCCAGCGTGTCCAGCTGGGCACGAAGAGCTGAAAGGTCAGTGCTCCTGCCCAGCACAGCAGCACGAGGTGCTGGGGGGTGACTGTGCTGCCTTCCAGCTCCTCTGTGACAGTGTCTGCCACGGAACAAACAGGATCCAAAGGCAGGACATCCATCCTGGAAACCACAGGGCAGCCAGCGGAGCTCAGTGTGTCACATTTGTCTTCTCGAGAGGGGTCGGTGCTTAATGTCACCGGGAAATGGATGGTTGCTGCTTATCACAGTGGTGGGTGGAGGAGGAAAATAAATCTCAGTGTAAATATGCACTGAAAGAGCCACTTCAGGGCAATTCAAGAGCCCCCCAAGCCACAGAAGAGGTACAGTCAGCTCTCAAGTAACCACCGGGGTCAGTGAACATTATGAGCTAATGAAATTCTTACAAGTCCTTTATCCACGATGGTCTCAAAACAAAAATATTGTCACAGCAACCAAAGAGGGATTAAAAAAATAAACAAACGCCAATTTTCATCCCTAGAGTCTCTGATTAACCTCCCTACACGACAGCAGAGAGCTGGGATGGAGCATCTCCTGGTCTTGGCTTTGGTGGCACAGGCGTCAGCAGCTTCCTGCGAGTCGAATCACATCATTAAACCTCTGCCAGTCGGGTTTTCCGCTTCGAAAGCAGACAAACTGCTTCCCGCTGCCGGGGAAGAGGCCGGGAGAGATGATACAGCATCGCTGTCACCGCTCCCGCTAATCGTGCTGGTGATTAGCGACTCGGAGTAACGACACAGGTAATTAGCTCCTCGTTCCCAATAATCACACGGTCTTGCGAGCTCATGAAATCTCAGGTCTTTAAAGGGGAGAAGAGCCTTCAGCCGCTGAATCTGAAGCGTTCGGAGTGAACAGAAAGCTGCACGGATCTTGGAAGGGCTCTGCCAGTGACTCCTGGAAAGCAGCTGTCAAGAAGTTTTAGAATTTTAAGTCTTAAAAATAAATTGAGGGGGGGAAAAAAATCGGTTTTAGATCTCAGGTCTTCGCCAACAGCTCCTGGAAAGCAGCTGTGGAGAACTTTCCGAATTTTAAGTCTTTAAAGTATAAATAAGGCAATCAGTTTTAGGGTTGGCTTCGTCTCCAGTCCAAGCACATCAAAGGAAGGCACGAAGCTGAGCCCGGGCGACATGTGACATCCTGGGACACGGC